ACAGCAATCATTCTGCAATCTGAAAAAGATGAAAATAGTTGAATTCCTTACGCAGCACATTCTGCAGCTGGGATCACTTCTATGGCTCCTCCTAGAGCTTCTTTCAACCCATCTTAATCACATACTCTACACCTGGGTACCAGAACCAGGTAAAGCACTCTGCAGTGATATTACTAAAACTGAATACACAGAGAGGATCACTTCTATCAGTGCTTAGCATTTGCAGAGAGTGGTACATACCCCCATGAGCAGATGCTCAGCTTACAAACCCACCTTGATTACAAACCCCCATTTTGTGTATTTGATTCCTGCCAGTGTGGGTTTTATGATACCGAAGACAGCTGGATCTGAAAACCAAACTTCACCACAGGCTTTCCACTGTACTCGTTTAATATGTAAAATTTTCTTGATTCTGGATGAAATAAAAGACTTTGGGGAAAGCCCACAGAAAGCTTTAATGCACTTCTGAGAGCAGTACGCATGGAAAGATAGAGAGATTCAATACATAAAAATGTATGTCCCAATTTTTGTTTAGAAGCAATCCCAACAAAACGGAGCCCTCTTTGCTGATGCAAAGCTTGCAAGGTTTGCATGGCTTGGATTGTTCTGAAAACTTCCGTTGAGAAATAACGAATTCACGTGCAATTCAGAATGGCCATTCATCAGCTGCATGTGATGCCCACCCAGCAATAAGCATCATGGGGCTCAGAAGGGTAAGAAGTTCAACCTTGTAGCCACAGCCCTGCTGCCAGCTTATCTTTGGGAAACGTCCACTTGCTGCTGGGATTCCTTCCAGGACGAGGTGCATGGCCAGGAGTCCTCGGGGCTGCCCCCTGCCCTGCCCACACTGCCCTGCTCTCAAGGGAGCATGGAAGGCCAAACATTGCTCCTAAGCTCAGCTCTGGATGTGGATTGCAATGGCTCACCTTTCAGGTACACTTCAACTATGTTAATGCCAATGACTTACACTATACCAACCCTACAGCATATATGGTGCCAATCCTGTACTAATACTTCATGCCCACATTTCCAATGATCCATCTGACCCAAACAGTTTCTTGACCACTGTCATGGAATCAGAGCATCACCAAGGTTGGAAAAGACCTCCAAGATCACCCAGTCCAATCGCCCAACGCACTTTCACTGGGCGACAACTGCCTTTGTAACTGAAGGCTCTGTCCCTTTCCTAAGACCACTTTTACCTTTTTGAGCCGTACGTACGTCCCTCCCAAAGGCACTTCTCTCAAGCTGTAAGAGCCGTTCTGTCTGTTTCACTTTTCTGCAGTTCCAGTTCTGAGAGTTGGTGGCAGAGCACTCAGACAATGACTTTTTTCATACCGCAGTCAATACAAGTGGCTCAATTATTGCAGCCTTGAGTTAGTTCTTGTGCATTACTTAACACTAAGTCAAGAATATCCTTCTGTGTACTCTAGTACTGGCTGTTCCAAGAGGCAGAAATTGCCTCTTTGAACTCACTCTTTTTGTGCTATCTGACCAGCTTATTCACAGGTAATTTAAGTCCCCATTATCATTTGGTTAGACTTTCCCACTTCTTTGATCTCTGTCAACATTATGCACTTAACATCCTTTTGTTGATCCAGGAGCTGGTAGTATATAAAGACTACTAATATATTTACCTTCTTATGGGCTGGGAGTGTAACCCTCTACAAGCAGCTAAGTAGGCCATTGTAATTCCCCAACAGCACTGTGCATTGCAAGGTAGGAAACGTCTCCACTTCTGGGATGGTCATGTTGGACTCACACTACCAATGCCCTACCAAGGCCCTGAGCCTTTGGGGAGCCCCTTCTGTGCTGTCAGGCTTTTTTTCTGCAGTCATAAGCCAGAACAGTGTGCTCAGCAGGTAAATGACAGTTGGCTTTCTCATGCAATCACCTAATTATGTAACTCTTAAGCCTGTCTGGAAAGGAAACAAAGTATTGGGAGACTTGTGATAAAGTAGGACTTCTGCTACCTGATTCTTTCCTGCATGCAGGCATGTGAGGTGATTGATCACTGGGCTGCCTTCCCTGCAGTGAGGACAGCACTGTATCTCTTCTCAAATGTTATTTTTGGGGACTTTTTCAACATTTTAACATTATTTCCAAAACATCAGCAGCAGAACCAGAAGGAGCTCCAGCACAGGAGCAGTTTGCAGCCCTGCCTGTGGCAGCGGGTTTGGAACGTGATGATCCATGAGGTCCCTTCCAACACAAACTGTTCTATGATTGACTGTACCATTCCCAGCTGCACTGTGTCCACCAGCAGCACCATCCTTGTACATATCAGCAAAATTATCAAAAGCAGAGGCTGTGGAATCTGCCTTAGCAATCACTGGAAGGGAGCTTATCTGAAAACAGCTGCACCTGGGAGTGCATACTGAGCCCTTGCTGCTGCAGGATCCCCAGTAGCAAAGATCCAAACACAGAAGCAAACACCCTTCTGGCCCACTGGTCTGAAGGGTTTGGTTCTTACATTTTGAATACAGGGACTTCCCTGGGCACAGGCTATCACAGTGTGACCCACACCTCCTGCCATCTGGAAACTGCCAGCACACACACGGTGCCACTTCTCCTCTGTTAGGCAATAGTTAATGCTCAGCCTGCAATAGCCGAGCAATATCGTGCTCTGAGCAAGCTGGAAGATGATTTCTGAAAGAAAACGAAGGTGTTGGTTTTTTGACCTATAAAGCCTGAAGTGGCTCTGCCTACTTGAGAAATTCTTCTCCCTTTGCATCATCCCTGAGCCTGGCTCCAACACAGCGCTCCAACTTCACCACTGCTCTGCGACCCAGAGCTGTAGAATGGGACCCAGGGATGGCCCAGAGAGCTGGGGCAGGTGGGCATGCTGGGGTCACTCTGTGGAGAAGGACAACAGCTCTAAAGGTGGTTCCTGTGAACAGAATGCTGTGACCACAGTAAGCCCAGAGCTGTGGGTTCCCCATCACTGGAGGTGCCCCATGGATGGGCTGTGGGCAGCCTGAGCTGGGGGCACCCAGCCCATGCAGGGATGGGGCTCGGGGGGCTGTGAGGTGCTTTCCAAACCAACCGTGCTGTGATTCCATCATTCTAAGCTCTGCAGTCTGTGTGCTGTGTGTGAGGACCAAGCACATTGGCATAACCAAGATGACCAATCCAACGCAAAATAAACAAGACTTCTTAGTTCAATAACTGCAGAGATACCTGAATTGCACACAGAGAAGGAACGATGGCAGTATGTGTGAGCAGGATAAACTTCCAATGAGATTTCCAATGACATCAAAGTGAAGCATGTGCCCTGCAACATCCTTGCAAGAGCAGGATGCTGGCCACCACACACAAAACAAGAGTTCCCAGTGTGTATTTAGCACCTCACTGTTTAAATGTGAACTGGAAATGGTTCCTCCTGTTAACTTCTTATTTTCAACCATTCCCCTTTGGGTCTCAGACTTTGTCTTCCCAAGGGATCAGGACCCCAGCCCAACACACATCAGTGTCAGCCTACACAAAACAAACAGATGAGAACGGCGTTCTGCAACCCTCTATCCTTCCAAAGATGGTTTTAAAGAATGAAGTTCATTCAACAAATGCTGCGTTTTGTGGCTGAGAATGGACGACCCCTCCATGGTTGGTGCTCAGGGTGGGCTCCTGCGGCCACACGTGACACAAAAGCACGTTTTGCATCACCGTGTTTGGCTGAAAACAGCCCAGCGTCACACAGGAGAGGTTATCGCCTCCTCGTCCCGAAAAGGTCCACGCTCTACACTTTGCGCTCAGTTGCAACACCACTGTAGTTTTTGTAAGGAATAAATATTGACTTTCCTGGACATTGCCTCACAACACGGCGGGACCTTGAGAGCATTTGTCCAAGATAGTTTTTATCCTGGTAATATAACTTTATAACATCGCTTTCATTCCGATTAGTTCAAAAGGCTCTGCGAGCAGGATCTACGAACGTCACCAATTATCTGTTTTCACTGTCAGCCACATGACCATGTTAAGACTGCCTTCTTCTCCTGCAAGGCCTGCTCAAAACTTCTGATTCTAATTTAAATCCACAGGTTATCAGCTTCATTAAGACTCTGAAAGCCAAGCATGGAAAACCTTCAAGGTTAATGCAGGCTGCTCTGTCAGTTTTGGTTTTCAAGAGTAAAGCACATGGCTGATGAGCAAATGGCCATCGGAGTACAGAGCTCTGAGCTCACAGCATCTGCATCCACGGCAAGGAGCCAGAGGCTCTCCCTTCATAGCAAAGAGCAGAAACAAGCGTCAATTTCACTGAAAAACACACACATGGTGACAGCCCAGAAGCAGCACTGGATGGGAGAAATTCAGCTTCCAGCACTACATGCAGACTACAGCCAGCAGGGTCAGTGCTTCTGCTGGGCAACACCTGGAGGTGTATTTGGCTGCAGCAGAACCCAGCAACGTGAGCAAAGTTTTATAGATTTCCCACAGTAAAAAGAACTGTGTTTTGGTCAGATGCTCAGTGCCCAACATGTGACTTGAGCAACACACTCAGCTTTATAACATCAATTAAGATAGGTGATAATCTCCCTGCAATCGACCGGCCGCATCCAAAATTAACACTGCTGCACGCAGAGCAAAAGACCCACGCTTACATAAGCACTGGGGCCTGAAAGCACAGCACAGTGAGAGAGCAGCAGCACAAAGGGGAGGGTCAGGATGGGTATCAGGAATATCTCTGAAAGAGTGGTGCTGCACTGCACAGCTGCCCAGGGAGGTGATGGTCACCGTCCCTGGAGGTGTTCCAGAGCTGTGGGAATGTGGCACTGAGGGATGTGGTGGGATGGCTTGGGCTTGGACTTGGGGATCTTTTCCAATGGTAATGATTCTGTGCTTCTATGGAAGGCGCAGAGCAAAGTGGTGGACAGCTCGCATCAAAACCACCTCGTGTGCATGCAGCCATAAAGCCAAACGCATTCGTTGGGAAGCACGGAGAGGAAGAGGGGTGAGAAGGGTGGGAGCATGGAAGGACGCAGGTGAAGCACAGCTGCCCCTACCTGGAGCAGCTTTCCCTCGGCGGGAGTGACCTCGGCCACGCTGGCAAACTCCCCCTCCAGCACGATGGGCTCCACCTTCAGCGGGATCACCCTGATGATGGCCTTCTGCACCGCCGCCCGCTCCGACTCGACGGCCGCCGCCAGCGCCGGCCCGGTGCGGCCGAGCCCTGCCTGCAGAGAAGCCATCAGCAGCCAAGGCCAGAGGACCGCCAGCTGCAGCTGGGGGCCACCGCTCATGCTCCCAGCTGCGGCCGCGTGCCCGGGCCACGCATACCGCTGGGGACGCGCTGCGCCCTCGCCCTGCTCCCAGCCGCGGGGCTCCGGGGGGTGCGGGGGGCACGAGGGTGTGGGGAGCACGCAGGGCGGGCGGGGGGAAGTTTGGAGCAGACTGCTCACTGCACAGCCGCCCGGCTCCGTGCCATCGCTGCTTCTCTTCCTCGGTGCCACGTGCTCAAAGGCTGCTGGGAGCTTGGGAGCATACTTTGATCAAATATATATATATATATAATGATAATATAATCCAAAGTTTCCAAAAAAGAATCCTAAGTTTCCAGTCAGTCCTGCAGAAAATAAATCCAGGGAAAGTGGCGGAAAAGGCCGAGCAGGTGGCAAGCAGGGGGCAGTTCAGGTGCAGGGGGGGTCCCAGAGCTCAGCTCCGCAGCGTGGGGAGCAGGGAGGGCTCTGCATGGGCACGGTGTCCCCGTGGCTCCTGTGTCGGTCCCGCTGGGCCCAACGCACCCATCTCTGGGCCACGCCGGCACGGAACCTCCCAGCACGTGCCGGAGCTCGGCACGCCGTACACCGCCTGTGATTATTGGGATCCTTCCTAAGAACCGTGCAGGAGGTGCTTCTTGAGTCTGCGGCAGAAAGAAAAGTCTGCTACTGCGCCGTCCCCGTCCAACCCGAGGCGATCCCATCCATCCTCATCGCACCAGAAATGCTTCATTCAGAGCAGCTCGGGCTCTCAGCCCGTACTCCCGGCTCAGTCCAACTCCGGCTGCGGGTCCCGGGTCGGTCACAGCACGAAGCTCCCTGCCATAGCTGCCGGGAAACGTCCGAAAAGGCCCCGAATTCTGTCAGCCCTTATGCACGGAGCGGGGCAGGTACGGAGCGCAGCGCCGCAGCGTCTCCTGTTGCTCTCACGCTGCGAGTTCCGGGAGCTGTGCGTCCAACACCGTCCCAACCGAAGGCCCCGTGCAGCACAGCAGCAAATCCCATGGTCCGCCCAGGGGTCACAGCAACGCGCCCTCCGCACCTGGAGGGCCGACACGGGGCGCGCCGCCGGGACGGGAGGGACCGCGCTCAGAAAGGACTGAAAAATAAAGAATCATCTGCAAACCTGTTGGGCAGCGCAGTACAGCACAGCACAGCACAGCGCTGCTGCACCGCACGGGGGTCCCCAGAACCCCCCCGAGTTACTTCCAGTGGTTGAAGCACACGGCGCGCCTGATGCCGCGTGTTCGCGATCTTCTCTTCCTTCCCTACAGAGCGCGGAGCGTCGTTTAAAGCGGAGATCTTTGCACGACGGGGCGGCGCGAGGCGGAGGTGCGCGGAGGTGCGCGGGGCGGCTTCGGGGCGGAGCGCTCCGCGTGCGGGCAGCGCTGGGGACGGAGCGGCGCCGGAGCCTTTCCGAGGGAGTCCCGCACGGCGGCTCTACGCGCCTTGAGCGGCAGAGCCCGAAGCATCGGCCGCGGTCCCGCGGGGAGCCCGGCCGGGCCGTTCGGGCATCATCGGGAGGCGAACGGATCCCGCGGGGGAGCTCCTCCGGGGCAGCGCCTGCGGGAGCGGAGGGCGGAGGAGCGGCTCGGCCGTCGGAGCCGCCCGGCGGGGCTGCGGGCTGCTACCTGCTGACACAAAGTGAGGGTGGAGCGGAGCCGAGCGCCCGCCCCGCCCCGCCCGGCCCGGCCCGGCCCCGCTCCCGGGCGCCCCCTCCCGCCGATCCGCGGGCTCCGGGCCGAGCGCCGCTCCGCACCGCCGCGGTTCCCCGGGCCGTCCGCCGGCTCTGCCCTTCGGCCGCGGCCCTCCCGCTCGCTGCCGTCCGGGAGCCCTCGTCCGGCTCCCTGCTGCGGAGGGTTCGGGTCGGGCTGATGTCAGAGGTCTGGAATTCAGCTCTTATTCGGCTCTGACATCGCTGAGAGGTGAATAATGCCGCAGGTCAGAGCCGTAACCTCGGAGCGGGGCTGTGACTGGAAGTGGGTGAAGCGGCCGCGGTGGAGTGGTGCTCGAGGAGAGCGCTGCGAGGTGACCGGGAACAATGGCCGGTGCTCAGCTGTGCGCAGGGCCCAGCGCTGCTCACGGAAGGGGCATCCGAGCAAGCGAACAGATGAATGGCGGGTTCCTAAATAGTGCCTGACCAACCTCATGGGTTATGCAAAGAAGAACAGGTTCGCTTCTGAAAATAAGAATGGGTCTGTTGGGCAGTGGGTGTCTGCTCATAAAGGTGGCAGTGGGAACTCAGGAAATCAGGGTATCTGTGATGGAAATCGGGATAACAGGAAAAGCTTCTCAGAAAGAGCGGTGCTGCAGTGGCACAGGAAGGTATGGGGTCACTGCCCCCAGAGGAGCTCCAGAGCCGTGGGGATGTGGCATCGAGGGACGCAGTGGGCACGGTGAGATGGGTTGGACTCGGGGATCTCAGAAGTCTTTTCCAACCTTAATGATTCTAAGATTCTATGAAACATGAAAGATTTTTTCCAACCATGACATGTCCTTTGTAACTAAGAACACACACAGAAAATACAGATGCAACATCCATAGTCCAGTTTCAAAGTTTAATTCATTGCAGATTGCTGCAGCCACGCCGTTTGAGCAGGGCTATAAAAGAGCATTAAGTGCCAAGTCTTCTGGGGGCAAACAGGAGTAAGGAAGGTAAGCTGTGAAGTTCCCTTTATGCTGTGCGTGAATTAAAGAAGTAGCAGCTGCAGTCTGGTAAGGCTGAAGTCCTTTAAACTCCATCTCCTTACACCCCGAACCCATGAGGAAAGTGATGGACTCCATTTGGGAAGCAGGACTTGGATGTGCCCACCTCACCCCTCACTATTCACACCGACTGGAGTTGTACTGCACACATGTAATGTACGATACAGGAGAACAAATCTGAGGACAACCAGCATGGAAATGTCCCCCCCAGCCTTGACCTTAAAGCATCCCCAGACTGTATTTGTTTGGACGGCTGGTGAATAATTAAAGGCTTTGCCTCCGCTCATCCCACCACTCAGCACTCACTTGGGACATCCTGCCCACGGCCAGAGGCTGCACGAGGTCCCGCAGGGTAGAGCTGGGGTGGTCTTGGCCACTTCTCTCTGCTCCTCTCATGCGTGTTTTGTTCAGGACTGGCTCTAATTAATTTTTAAAGAATATGAGCAGGGACGAACCAGCTAAATTTATGTTCTAAGCACTCTTTCATGTACATTTCCCTGACAGTAAAGTCTGTGCCCCCTTTATCCTTCAAACAATATTTTAACACAAATACAAATACATAGCTATTCAAAATTTAAAACTACTATTAAATATGATTGCATTTATATTGATAAGTTAAGAATGTATCTAAGACCTATGAAAGTTCTAAAACAACACATAACTTACATTACAGAGAGCATCAGAACCACAAAGAAGTTACTAAAACAGAAGACTTCTCCATCAGTGTAAGAGATGAGCAGCTGTTGTATGTAATGGATACCCACTGGGAGGGCACCGTGCTGAACAGAGCGCTGCTTTAGGAAGGAAGAGCATTTCCTGGGTAATCACTCAGAAAATTAGCTCATCTTAACTACAGCAGCTCTCCCGAACCCCTGACCCGTTCAGACCTGCAATCTTGTGACTTCCCTACGCTGTTGTTTCATACACAATTCCCTCTGCAGGGTCGCAGTGTGACTTCAAGCAGAGATGGTGAGAGCACCGAACAGCGCAGGGTGTGCTGTGGCTTCCAGCAATGACCAACAGAAAGATTCTGAGCACAGCGCTAAGAACAACTTGTTTCCCAGTGAGAAAGGTTCAGACAAAGCTCTCAAGGTTGTTCCAGTTTACAGGGAGTTCAGACTCACCAAGTCTGAGAAGATGAGCAGCTAATAATTGGTTCATATTAGAAGTTCTGACCACTCGATGCTTCGTGACTTGTCAGCTAGAAAACGTCATGAAAGAGGTGTAAAAAACCACGGGGTGACCAATATCCAACAGAGTGAAAGTGGTTAAAAAATAGTGCCTTTTTGTCGGTGTTGGTTTTTTTCAACAGCTGAAACGATGCAAAGTGCTGCTGTGTGCACTGCACTGCCTGAGTCTGACACCAGAACCCAGCTGGCAGCTGCTGCACGTTTTCACATACTTGTCACCCACTTCTCACTCTCTTATTTCTTCCTTTGGAAAGTGCTCCTGCTTGCAAGCGACATCCACCAGCAGATGGAGATCTAGGAAGAAAAGGAAATAACGAGTAAATATCAGTCTGCATGTTTTGCTCAGTGTCACACGAAGGGATTGTAATTCCAGCAGGTAACGTGGAGCACGGCCTGAGAGGCTGCAACAGCAGGATTGGAGATCTACAGGAACAGGAATTGTTCTCATTTTGCAAAACTTTAAGTGTAAAACAAGTAACAAAAAAAAAAAAGTGATTTATGTGCCCATTCATGCCATGGCAAAATGGAAACACTTCGAATGTATGGCCAGATAAAATTCAGCACCTTACAGCTCAAGGAAGAGAACAACAGCATAAAATCACAACAGGACCACTACCCTTGTGAACTTCCATCTCATAACAGATACATTCACGTCTTAGGAAAAGAATTCCAGCCCCGCTGTTGTTCTGTGCTGCAAAGTACCTGTGGAAAAGGCAGCAGCTCTGTGCTTCCTCCAAAGCAGACTGCTGGGAACAAACCCTGAAGAGCTGCATGGATTGAGAAGTGAGGCAGCTGGTAACAGCACAACTCCAAATTGCTTAAGAAACAGCATCTAAGAACCACTCATCCAAAACAGCAGACTGACAGCACAGGAAATGTGAGAGTCCTTCACTGAATAGATAACAAAACCAAAGTAGTGGCAGTTGAGCTGGAGCAAGAAGCTGCAGTTCAGACTCCTGAGAGCACCTTCTCTTCATCCTGCTCCAGCCCAGGACCTGCTGCAGTGCCCCTGGGCCAGGCCTGGCCCTGCACAAACACCTCTGTGTGGGATTTCACCTTGTCTTACTAGGAATGCTGGATGAGCGGTGAGATTGTTTTTCTCTGGAAGGTGCAGGAAATAATTCAGATGAACACATGATAGCATGGGAGACCTTTGCTGAATGATGATTTGCCCTTAGCAACTGCACTTATAAATCCATCTGCAGCAAACGAGAGGGAATGCGTAATGGCACAGCTGTAGTGGCAGGGCTGGTGGTAAATGTCTGGGGCACCCTGCAGCACGGCAGTGATGGAGTCAGCAGAGCCAGTGGCATCTCAGTATTATGTCTGTGCTCCTGTGCAAAAAAAAATTGGAGGAAGTTGCCAGACTATATGAAGAAAAGGATCACATAACTCACCAAAAATAATACTTAAAAAAATATAGCCATAGGAAGAGAGCTTTTTCCTAAATGCATCAGAATGCTTCAATTCAGAAGTAACCCCATCTGCTCCATTCTGAGACTGCTATTTCCAGAAAAAAAAGGCTGCAAACAAAAACCTCTCTAGTGAGAATCTGATCCTTCTTATGTGCTTTCTTAGAAGAGGGAACACAAAGCACAGACATCTGCTCCACTACAGAGTCACTAGAAGACTCTAGTGTGCCTGTGGAGTGCAACACATAGAAGACAGGAGAGGATGCAGTCTGTATCAGTCATTTGTGAAGGCCAGGACACCTGTTGCAGGTATAGATGCTGCAGACAGATTTATTCCATACTAAGCTGACACAACTATCCCCCAAACCCCACTGTATAGATGAGCTGAACAAGCAGGCAGTCAGTACACGGAGACTCACCATCAGCATCCTTTATAGCCATGTGCTAAGGGCAAGCTAGGGGGCTGAAAAATGTGGTCCCTGGAAGGTGTGAGCTCCATAAACCAATAATAAACCTGCCAGGTACTACAGAGCTGTGCCAACACTCCCATGAAAGAGCAGGAAGGGAACAGATGACACAGCCCATTCAGGATGATGGATCTGCTGCAGCTTCTGATTCTCTGAAAGAGAACTCAAAAGCAGCTCTGCTCTTAACAAAGGAGATGAGGTCCTACTGTTAGACTATGATGTGCAAAGACAACTAGCATATGAGGAGTGAGGACATGCTTGAAGGAAACACATTTAAAACATTTTGAAACAAAAAAAAAGAACAGGGTACTTCACCCTCTGTGTTAATTACCTTAGTTACCCTGTGTTAATTACTTTCACTTTCAGAGAACAATAAAGCTTGCAGAGCTTTGAGAAGTGACTAGAGAATTTGATGGAAGAAAAGTTCACTGAGGTCTTTTTTTTACTTAATAGCACAAAAACGCCAAAGATGTTTTTGGAGACAGGACACGGGACAAGAGACACTCTTCATCTTCACCGTTTGACAGACATTCCTACTCCAGCGTGTGATACCTTGAACTTGGTGCCAGCACACAGCAAAGACAAGGGAACAATGTCACAAACCTACTGAAGTAGATGGAACAAGAGTCTGTTCTGCAGCACAATGTGTGCCAAATTGTGGGCTCAGGCAATGCGCAAATGGGCACCCAGGGGAAAAGAGGTAAAACTGCAGGACTTACACTCAAAGGACATGTGTAAAGATAAGAGGAAGCAGATACAGCTGCTTTAAAACAGTTTTGGATCACCCAGGAAAGACAGCAGTCACAATCCAGTGATAAAGAAGGAATTGCTTACCCCTTTCCAAAGACCGGGGCTCACCAAGCACTCCAAAGGAGGTGATCTCCTCCTTTGTGACTGCCAGCCCTTAAATGAGGTAGGGAGGGGTGCCTGTGCCCCCAGGGCTGGCTGTGCCCCTTCACCAGGTGCTCAACCACTGGTTCAGGCCGTGACCTCACGGCTCCCATACAGACATGTTGTGAACAAACAGCTGGAAATGGTCACTGTGCCCATTTTTAGCTTAGAAAGGTAAAAGAAGAGGATGTGTCCGAAGACTCACAGAAGAAAGGAGGTACAGACAGACAAATGCAGAAGCTAACAGAACACTTAAATACATCTCCAGGCTTGCAGTTGGAACACAGGAGATGGGCACTGCATCCTGAAAGCCATTATCATGTGCCTTATTTATTCTGGGACAACTTGACCCTGATCATGCTTGGTTCACGCGTGCTGTCTCTATCCTCTGTCCTACCAACCCTGAGAGGTACAACAGTGGAGATGCACACCCAGATGACTATCAAGTTTCCCAGAGTGCTACTATGCTAATCATTGCTAATTATCCAATTAGCATAGCAATGTTTCATTTCTGTAGAACAATCCCATGGAAACACTTCCCAAACACTTTCCAAAATGTTTTTGCAACATCACAACCGTTAAGTAAATTTGTTCTTCTCTTTGCAATTAAGTATAGTATGTAAGTATACTATATTTTTCTTAAATAAACTTTTGCTGTAGATACAAAAACTGAGAAGCATACTGACTGCCCATGCTATCATTAAGTGGACCAGAACCCTCAGTTCTGCATTTTAAACAAAAGTTCAAGATGGCATCCAATTTATTTATTTTATAGCTTCCAGGTAAAAAGACATTATTCCTCACTTACACATTTGAAACTGATGGGCATGTGAGCTGAATTATTAACTAGCATAACTGGAACCTGGAAACTACCCTTTGAAGTGAGGAACAGCTCTTCAAACTCTACAACCTATTCTTCGATGATCGGCTGCGAGGGAAATGCCTTCCTCAACACCTGGATGCCACACCAACTTTTCCTCCAGAATGGATCTGAAGAACTCTTGGTGTCCTCTCATGTCTCTCTGTCGTGAGGATACTGAGGTTTTCCTTTGGCTGTTAGATCTGGTGAATCATCTGGCCTCAGCTGCTCTCCTATTTGTTTCTCTCATGTATGTCAGCAGACACAGCAGCATTCCAGAACACAATTTTTTGTCAACTTCATGAGTTCGTTGGTTTTTGCTTTTGTGTGTGCGTGGCTTCTTTTTCCCCTGCTACTTCAACTGTCATTTCATTACTCAATCCTTCCCTGTGGCACTGCCATGCTCCAGCACACATATCTATGGGCTTCATCTCAATGTTTTGACATCTGTGTTTCTCACACAACCCCCAGAACAGCAGGTTTCATTTACTCATAATTTATATTCTTTCCCACATGAGTAATTGGTGTATCACAAAAAGGGTATCAGTAAGTACACTAAGAGGTTGTACAGAAGCAGTATTTAACTGAAGGTACAAAGAAATACATTGCAGACAAGAGCTAATCTGGTCTGATTTCCCCCTTCTGTACTGGCTAGTTTCAGAGCAGCTCTATTGCTAATCTCTAAAAAAAAAAAAAAAAAATAGAATCTCTTCTCACCTGGGGACTCGTACTCCTGGGAACTGTTTTTAACCTCTCTGTTTCTGGTTTTTACAGACGAAACAGTGTTTTCTACAGATTTCCTCACAGGCCCAGTTTCTGAAGTGAGGCATCCCACCTCTTCTGTCTCCGACCTCAGGAATGGGCATTTAACACTTGTATCCACCTGAAACAAAACACAGCAAAGAAAGCAAAGATGACTCAGTGTTTTCTTTTAATCACTTCAACGGAACAAATAAATACTTTTCTCCACTCCAAAAGGACATCTAACAAGTGCTGAACAGTACCTGCATGGATTGTATGAGCGTTTTTAGCTCACAGTTAAGGCTGCCAGCTGCAAAGCCAAGCTCTTACAAAACGCCGTATTAAGCAAAACATGAAGTCAGAAAGCCAGAACATGAAGAGTACTTGTACTCACAGCGTCAGCTTCGCCCTGTCACCACACCAGGCATGAGAAGTGAAGCAGAAGAAACCCAGGTGCGCTCACTGGTACCAACAGCTGCATTGCTAATGGCAGGTGTACCTGGACAGCCCAACGGAGCTGTGTGATGCAAAACTACGCAGCTGAGCAGTGCCCTTCTGCCTGCAGATCTCACCCCACCCCATCAAATTCGTAAGACATTGCATTATGATGTTGTTGCTTGCTTTCTGGAGCCCTCTGCTGCTGCTCCACATGTATTTTGCAGGCAACCATTTCATGAACTTGAGTATTTCTTTAACAATGTGGCAAAATGTGTAGCTTTAAAAAAGAAAAAGGAAAAAAAAGCCAAGCAACCAAGCTATGATTCTGTCCCAATAAGGAAGTAAAAATAAGCACAATTAAGTGCCTGGAATTTACCTTCAGACAGAAAGATGTTCTCACTATCATCTGTTACAAAGCATTGAGCTCTTCTGCAAATATCCTATCAATCAACATCATAAGATGAGGGATTGTTCAGAGCCTGCAGTGTTTCCTTCTATGAAGGCAAAAAAAAAGCTTCCGAAAGCTGGTATGTGTGAGTTAGCAGAGGGCAAAAGGTCATCACAGGCAGTAATAAGACATCTGTAGTTCCAGAAATCACTCTCTCCCTCTTGGGTCTGCCATTGCTCAGCATTAAATGTGCAAAAGGCAATGTGTATGCAGATTAACAGAAATACAGACAGATTCTCTGTTGAAACTGTACCTTAATTTTCAAACAGGCCTCTGCAAACACAGCATCTGAGACACCCAGGGAGACAGAGCTCCCCCAGCCCCTGGACTTGCTGGATGTTCAGTCACTTCATGGCATGTGTTGTCTATATGTACTGCATTAGTAGTGTTAATTAGCTAATAGGAAAACCATCTGGATGGCTATGCCTTTTTGTCTGCCATCAGAACACAGCTTCTCACTAAGAGTAAAAGCAAAGAGAAGGAAGGAGGTCTGTAGTTCATTATCTTCACCAGACAGAATGCGAGTTAAGTCTTGAGACAGACTCACAAACAGGGGAGGAGGGCAGGTCACAGAGCAGCTACAGACATCAGCAACTGCGTGGTCACACTGCTTCACACGCTGACCTGAACCTTCCCGTTCCCACTGACTTCTGTGCAATAAAACCTTCAGGGAAAGGAGTACGCAGCATTCCCTTTTCTACTGTCTATGCAGGATCCTACCCACCAACTCTTCTAATAACCTTTTGTGAAACTAGCAATAATACAATTTCCATCCTAACAGCATCAGTCTAGCCCACATAAATCTGGTTCCAAAGCTCTCTTCATTTCTTTTATTTTTGTAAGTGAGCATGCTTCTCATTATGGCTTTGCCACATCTGCAGACTCCTCACTCGGGCCCAGCACTGCTGCAGCTCCGTCCCTAATGCTCCTTGGCAGAGAATCAAACAAAGCTACCAAAGCTGACAGATGTGAAAGTTTTGCCTTTTCACTTCAGTTATTGAAAAAATGCCAAATTGTTTGCAAAAAAAAAAAAACACAAAAACCACCCTGCTGTGCCTCAGTGGTTACGTGACTCCGGTGCCCAGCTGGAACCACCATGAGAAACGTTAGTAAGATCAGCCCCTGTCTCTCACAAATGAGGTCTGCTGGATTAACCTTCCCCAAAGCAAGCAGGAGTTCCAGCCTTCGGCCAGAAATTCTACAGAGGAGACAACAGAGGAGGCACATTCCCCTCGAGTGATAGATGTGCTTCTTTTCCACTTTAAGAAGAAAACATTTCTTATGAGTAAGAGTGGATTGAAATATGCCCGTCTGAGGCCAAAATGTGTAAAAGACAAGGACACTTGTCCTTCACTGAGGTGAAGATGACAGTGCTGAACCTGGACTGTTGAATGCACTAAGACCTTTCATGCAAAGAGTTGCTCTTTAATTTGCTGTTTCTTAAGCCAAGAAACAGCACAAAGCAGGTGAACACCTTTCCATGCTGGAGACAAGGCACAACAGCTATCCCCAAACTAATCAAATGATAGGAAATATTGTGGAAGAAATAGAAAACAAAATATCAAACACCTCTGCATCACTGTAAAAATCCATTGTTTTCCTGCAGCTTCTATGTGGTGTGCAGCCACGGTCTCTTCATTTTAGAAAGGATTTAATAGAAACAGAAGAGGCTGAAAGCAAACTCAGAGATCCACAGAGCAGCTGCCATGCAGAGGATGCTACCAGAGGGAGTCTGGAGAGCAGAGTGCTGGGAGGCTGCGACAGACTTCCCAAATCACAACTGCATGGAGAAAGTGGCTGGAGGTGACCAGTGAAGCTCTTCGTCAGTGCACAGTGAGCACAGAATCCGTTTGGTCAGAGCTACAATTCATGTGGCTTCAAGGGCTGACTTCAGCCCAGGGTAGAGAAACTGAACATCAGGTACGCAGCATCATCCCAAGTCCTCCCACTGGAAATACAAGGAGCAGTGCCCTGTTCCAGCTGCAGGTTGTTCTTGCTCTTCCCTGAGCATCAGGTTACAGCTGTTGTCTTGAGGCCTGACACCGGCAGCCAGGCTTTGATCTGACCCAGCAGAGCTGTTCTGATGTTCGTTTATTAGCACCAGAGGAATTTGCTCCTCCTCTGCTGCTACAAAGAGGAATAAAACGGCCTTACCTGCATGGGCAGTATTTTACCATACGCCTGCCCTGAATTCCATGACACGGTGTTACTGAGAGCTGTGGAAGCCTTCCAGTTTCAGGGATAAGGAAGAGAGTAAATAATGTAGGAGCCCAATGGATGTACAAGCATAGGAATCTACTTTGGAGAGTTCTGCACCTGTCAGGATCCCAGGCCTTGGAAATACTATTGGATGAGAGGCAGCTGTGGGGTCAGGCCAACCCTGCCTCAGTTTGGCAAGGGGAGACAAGTAAGAAGTAGAATACTCCTAACAAAAAGAGCAAAGCTGTCAAACAAAAGACCTGGGATCTCCCACCACAAAATTTGGGCACAAATTTTCCAGAGAAACAGACTGTGGCCAGCACCAGGATTCTCACACAGGACAAAAACCACAGCATCTTCCTCCTCCAAACAACACCATGGCTCATGCATTGAATTCATGGAATCATAAAATTGTTTGAGTTTTAAGGGACCTTTAGAGGCATTTAGTCCAACTTCTCTGCAGCAAACAGGGACACCCACACTCAGTGCTCAGTGCCCATCCAGCCTGAGGAAGGACTTCTCCAAGGATGGGGCACCACTTCTCTGGGCAACCTGTTCCAGTCCTCCATTCTTAACAAGAAAGCCAGGACCACAAAATCCCAAAGTCTTTCACAGAGGAAAAGTACACTTCTAAAAATGCTGTTCCAAAGATGCCAAAGCTGAAAACATTTAAAACGTGGTCAACAGTTCAGATGGTGAATGGAGACTCCCTAATGAGCAATTAGCACAACACAAGGAAGTGCTCTTCCCTACCTGAGGCTGCGTAACTAGCTTGATCTCTGCAGAAACTTGATCAGAATATACATCTTGTTCTTTAAATGTACATCGTGCCTTCAAATACTCTTTTTTTATTAAAGAGTAAAGGAAGCTCAAAAAAGCTACCACTTCATCTCTGTCAATACAACTGCACTATGCATTTTTCCCTTGCAACTGAGTGGCCTAAGTTGGCGACCATAGGCCAAGTTTTGGACATCATAATGGATGAATCTTCGGTTCTTAAGAATGCAAAAGAAATTAAAGCTATCAGACCACAACCCAGCATTACTACTGAACAGTGTTATCTCAAAACACGGGTTGTTTTACCTTCACCACTTACCTTCTGTGGACTGAGTGACTGTACTTCCCGAACAATCATGGCTGAGAACTGAGCTGGGAGGTGGTCTGGCTCTTCTCTCAGTTTTGCTCGTGCTTCCTGCATGGCCACAGGTTCTCTCACTGCCTGAGCAGCTGCACATTCTACAGACGCAGTGGTATGGAGAGCGTAAAAGTATTCCGAGGGCTGCAACAGAGAGCAAGCTACCTCCTGATCTCCCACCACAAAGGATGTAACGTCTGACACCACAGGGGTGAGAGGTTCCAGCTGGCCTTCGTCATCTGAAGGTGGATCGTCGTTCTCAGGATCAGCCAGCAGTGGTTGACCTCTGTTGGACTGAGGGCTTGACCACTGGTTCTCCACAGGCTCCACCTTCACTGTTCCAGCTTTCGGCGACGAACGCATTTCATCAACAATCTGAAACACAGCTTCAAGATTTACTTCTGTCTTCTTGCTTTCATCAGGATGGTATGGCCAGTTAGAGGGCAGGAACTCGACCGCGTAAGGTGACTGCATTGGAGGAGTCTGGGTGAAACAAAACACGGTCAGTGTGTCTTCCCAAAAAGTACAATGACAGGACATGCAATGGTTCTGCAGTGTTCTGTAAATGAACCCGAGCAATCAACAGAAGAGTCTGTAAATTCAAAGGCATGAAAGCTTGTTTGTTACTTGCGCTTAGATCAGCAGGTTTAATTATGAAAAGGTTACTGATTTGGCTTAGTTTTTGTTAACCACCTTACTCACAGCAAGCTCATTTTCTTCTGTCTGCCAGCTGTTCTTAACAGCACCTGAGCACTCTTTCAGATGCATGGTCTGCACACTCTTTGCACTGCCAGTGAACATACACCCAGGTGTTCAAACCAGAAACTTCTAATCTTAGGGGGATCTGAGCAGTCACACTAGAACCACTCCTTCACGTGCAACATCTGTGATAGAGAAGGACAGAGTGCATGTAGCTGATATCAGTTCCTCTAGAGCCCAAGCAATCCTGTTACATACAAAAATAACATAAACCACAGGATTTTTAAGCAAGAGAAGAAAGTACGTAAGCTGTAAATGTGCAGAGGAACAACTCAACACAAGGAGCTCACAGCTGTATACCAATAACATCTCTTCCCTCTTCTGTCCATATATTACACTCACACAGTGAGTGATTTCCAAGGACACTCCTGTCCCAAAATGAAAGGGACTCCAGATACCTATGAAAACAAAATACTGTAGGATCTCCCCATCTGTCACCCCTCAGTATCAGCACCTCTCACAGATGTGTGACTCAAAGTCTACATAAATCATACACAGTCCTACAGATCTTCAGGCTGGAAACACCTCTTGGAGAACATACAGAGGCTGCCACTGGACTGGTCTGAATGCTACTGACAGACTTCACTGGAATGACATGGCTAGATAATAGGACACAATGAGCAACACAGTGATCTTTTTTAAGTAGAATTCATATAAATCAAAGACATTTCAAAGCAGAAAGAAGGCAATGAAGAGTTCCAAAGGCAGCTAGTCCTACCAAAGGAAATGACAAATCACATTTTAACAGCTTGTGCCTGTACTGCTATTTTTTCCTGGAGGTTGATCAGATTTAAAGAATAATCAAGGGTAATATCTCCTGATAAATAAGCAATACAATGACTCTGAACAGAAACTTGAGTACTTTTACAATACAATCTTACTTTGGAAGAGACCTAGTAAGAAGTCTTTAGAGCTGATTTTCCTCAAACATTCTAGCTGAGGTAAGGGCCATTGAAAAGCTATTTCAAAAGATGAATACATTAGAGAACAGGAAGCCACAGGATTAGGAAAGTCACAGAAGATCAAAAGTCACTGAAGCATCTGGTCTCTCAGCAGCACGAACATCAGAAGTCCTTGAAGGAAATACCACAAACAGATGAGAGAATATCAAGATCCCTTCTTCTGGGTATATGAAGACAAGTCCTGTAGCTGACAGATACAGTTGTGCTGGTCTGCAGTCAACTGTACACTTTTAGGGAGAAAAAGAAAAAAGATAAAACCTTGAATCTGAGAAATTTAGGTTAAGCGAAATCTTTTCATTAGAGGCAAGCCACCTTAATACTTTTAAGACATGAGTTTGACCTTCATGTATTTTTTTCCAGTTGTACTTTAAAAAAATATTAATCCAAGATTTTTCTTGTTTATTTATTGCACTGCTTATTTATTGCCTTAAGTAGCAGGATTTTAAGGAAGATCTGGGTAAACAAGTCAACTGCCCATGCATGAGATCACCCCTGGCAAAAGGAAAACAAAACCAAAGAAGCAAGTAACCAATCAGCCAACCAACACACTGCAACTTCTGCCTCTTGTGGAACTCAGCTTTAAGCTGTTAGAACACAAAACCATCTTCTTGTGTGTGCTGCAGGATCTAGTATGCATTTCCAGTAGGAGAAATGCCCACACACAGCTCAGTGTCTTACAGAACCAGAGAATGCACTTGGCCTGGCTGAACCTCATTAGGTCCCCATGGATGGCATCTCTTCTGCCATTGTGACAGTTCCAGTCACTGGTTAACAACCTCTGACAGTTTGGTGTAAATGTACTGCTGCTTTTGAAGATTTGTACAAGTGGTTCCTGATGACAGCACGCAGTCAGGAGGACGGCCAGCAGTGCAGCTGGCACATCCCTCAGCAGAAGGCTGGGGAAGCATCTCCCCAGAGCACACAAAAGGGGAAATGATTATTCTTCACAACTCATTGGAAACCACAGGCAAATTGCAGCCCTCTGCCCCATCACCACGCTCCAGGAGAGGCAACCTACACTACACCAAGACTCACAAAACTTAAGAAGTTTTATTGGTCTATTCTGTAGGATATTTGTGTTACTCTGCTCAAGAGAGCAGGCAGAACTGATCTGGGATTGCCCTTGGGCTGTTCACACACAGGAATACCTTCCAGCATCCTCTGCCCACATGCATCAACAGCTTTTGACCTGGGATTCCCTGGTTACAGCTGTATTATCATCACAGCATCCGCCAGTAAGCAGCTGAATCTCTTTTGGCTCTGCACACTGCCCACGAGCTTGCTTCTTCAAACAGGTCACTTTCACATTTATTCACCTAATAACAGTGCTGATGACTCTCTTGGAATGATTTGCTATCCCAAATGCAGTGATAAGAATTTGATCATCACTTCCCATCACCCAGACTCATTCCCATGCTCTAGCTGGAAAAAAATCTCCCACAGCTCTCAAATTGAAAGTCAGAGGACAAAGATGTGCCATGTGCAAAATTAATATGAGAGTACCAGTGGCATGATTGGCCAGTGACCATTTATGTACCCACAGCAACACAATATTCCAGCTGGAAGATGAACATCTTGGATAAGATGATATTTAAAAAAAAAAAAAGCCGTGAATAAAAGACAAAGGTTGATATTTGCAAGACAAGAAACTGGATAATCAAGCTTGGGTAGGTAAACCCTTTCTCAGCATACGAAGCATAACTTGCTTTGCTTGCCTCTGTGACAAAAGGAGGAGTATATATTTTATTCTCTAATACAAAAGGAAGGCCTTGCAGTTTTACTTAAAATCTTTGACAATTGATCAGGCAGCTCCTCCAAATAAGGTGCTTTATATAACTTGGGTGAAAATGCAACTGCAGAAAATACTGAAGTTATTTTAACAGGTCGTGTCTGAGGTGTGGCTGATCCCAAAAATCATCTCAGGTTTTCTCAGTCATTGCATGAACCTGCAGAATGCTGTCTGGGATGACAAAAACAAAACATAACAAGAAAGGAGCTCCTTCCCAGTATTACCATAATATTACAGAAATGCATTTTGTCCAGGCAAAGTTATTCTTCAAAGATAAATGCAGACCTGTCAACTAGAACAAATTCTGGTGAAGTCAAGCACAGATTTCATACAGAGGAAAACACTCCACTGAAGAGGAGATCCACCACAGTGCTACCTTGAACCTATTAATAGTATTACCAAAAGTCCCTCTCTAAATACTCAGTGGCTCTTTGAAATAAACCTTGTAAAACACATTACTCTTACTTTCTCAAGTACATCAGTTTTCAAATTTCCATCCTTCATTCCAGAGCCCATAAGCTTAGAGCTCACCCATCCAGCTCTCCCCTGCTTTCAGCTGATGGCAGCACGCTGCACTCACCTGGAAGAAGCTGCAGTGGGTGTAGGTCAGAGCTGTAGGACTCGCACAGCAGGTCAGAGGGCTGATGTGGGTAGCAGGGGAGCAGCATGGCAGCGCGGCTACAAGAATTCAACACAGTTATCAGACTTCCAGAACCTGTGTTCAGGACGCAGGGTTCTATTGCTTACTTTGATTAAACAGCTCAGTAATCACACTAGTGATATATAGATATATAGCGATAGTGATTAGTGAACTAACTAAATTCCAGAGCTGTATAATCTCCCAAATGATTTTACGGCTGATTTCTTCATCTGAAAAACATTTGTTTTACATACGAACATGAATACATATGTTTAAAATTGACATACACAAACGTAGAAACTTCATAATCACAATTTCTGCATGCTGTTATTACCTCTTTTGTTAAGCTGCTTGTCTTCTTCCACCACAGCATAACACAGAAAGGGGATTCACACAAGAACACACAGGTGCATGCATTCACACTGGAATTAAAGAGCATTTCATCCTAAACAGCATCTTTGTATATGAGGCGTTGTTCTGCAGGTATTACCTTTGGTGACATGCAGAAATAGTTAAATTAAAAGTAAAGGCCTTGCTTGCATGACAGATAACCTCTAAAATCTGCCATCATTCTGAGAAAAATAAATGCTTATGGTATCAGATTCAGTCCAATGACTGAAACAGAGACTAATAAGGATAGCTTGAGGTAGCAAACAGATCAAGTTTACTTGCAGTGCTGGAAATTTACATGGGATTTCACATAAGACAGGTGTTACAATCACCAAACTTGACTTTTTTAGAACACCTGTTCTTACTGCCCTTCTTAATGAGACCTGGTGGGATTTTTGTGCAGTTTACAGCAACAAACAGGGGAAAACAATAAAGAAAGAGCCAGTGGACAGCCTCTAAGCAAGCATGGCACGTGCTTATAATCTGCAACTTCAAAAGCTCATTCTGAGCAACTCCATGATCAAATTCAGACCTCTTTCAGGAGAGCACCCTATGACCTGCGGACATATCCCTGCTCTGGATATTGCCAAAAAGCAAAACAAAACTTGGTTTGGTAACATTTCACTCACAGGAATCTCCAAACTATGTTAACAAACTCAAAACATCCAAACGGCTTCTGAAGGACCTCTGGAAAAGCAATGGCAAAGAAGCTCCTTCTAACCTACTAAAGTGACCCTAAGGAGAAGCAAACACATCTTATAAAGAATTGCCTTCTAATGAAAAAAGAGGAAGGACGTGAAGGGAAGAGGTGCTTGTGAGGTACTACATGAGTTAAACACCAACTGAAGACTATTTTCTACAAAATAAAGACAAATGGCAGCACTCTTGTCACAGGCAACAGCACTCACAGCAAAAGCAACTCATGAATCAGAGACATTGCAACGTTTGTAATTCAAAGCGAGGAACACAAAGCTGTGCAGGACACGAGGAACTGGTGACAGATTCTGAAGGGGAGAACTGTCACAGAACGCTTTGCACTCACAAGGATGCATTTTTGGCAGCTCGTGACCCAGCAGCACAGCGGTGTCTGCGCACTACCGCAGCGCGCACAACTGAAGGCGCTTCCGAAGAAATCCACCGTAAGACAGAACAACCCGACGTAAGTACCAGCACCACCCGTGGTCACAAAAGGAGATGCATCACACATCCGAACAACTCCGTAACGATGCTGAAGAAGGTACTGGCTGACAGGTCACTCAGAGTGCTTCACGCCTTCAGATGGAATCAAGGTGCAGCAAGTTACCTGCTTCGCTTTGGCCCTACATTGCCAACTGCAGAGGATGAATTTCTGAGCCCCGCTGCCCAAGGCACAACTGATCGAGTCCTGCCCAGAAGAAATCACCAGAAAAGCACAGTCTGCTATGGAATTCTGACAGCAAACACAGCCTGAATACTGAAGAGACAGGGATAAGTGGTATCTTATGGAATAAATGAATATTTATTGAACAAGTTAAGAAAGAGATTCAGCCTTTTTAAATAAAATGGAATAAGATTATCGGCCTCAGAACAGATTCGGTTTCTGTCAAAAACCAGACATACTGCTGCCCATAGAAGCCAGAGATGGAAAATTTCTCACAGTCTGCAGGATACAACGTGCAGAACATGAACACCAGCTTACACAAATGGAATTGCTGGCAGCAGGACTGCAACCAACCCGGCGACAAAACCCTCAGGACAAGTGGAGAGCAATGAAAAACACAGCTCACAGAGCAGGGGAAGGGCTGAACCACGCACTGTGAATATCCTTGACTGTATTTCAAACATGCTGAACACACATATCCATATTCAGAGAGGTCACAGAGAACTTAAAGGAAATTATTTAGAAGCACACTAATAAAAATATTAAAAGGAAACAGAAGTCAGAAATCCTGGCAGTTGAACAAGAAAAAATAGAAGAAAACAGAACAGAGAATTAGGTGACACTGGTGAATATGTAATGAGAATGAGTTAGTCAAAATACTTTGTTTTCAAGAGAAGTCACCCTTTGCTGTTGTCTGCAGAGACCTGCAGTAGGTAAATGAGGTGTTGGCAATCGTGTTGATGTGATGGTTGCTAATAACACCAGGATTTTTCATGGCAGAAAAGAGCAGAGCTATGCAGGCATGGAAAAAAAACCTCTGTGAAGTCTCCCAAAGCCACCACCTACCAGATAAAGTTCTGTACTTCAGAAAAGTAAACTGATTTCATGTAGAAAATGACAGGTTCTTCACTGTCCGACAATAATTAGGAGCCAGATGTGGGTGTTATACTAAATAGCTTCAGGAAAACATCAGCTTCACACTCAGAAGCTGTCAAAAAAATTCCCAAAGCCACTAAGACATCGTTGTGAACTGTGGAAAAAAAGGAAGATTATTATTGACTGCATGAATTTATGATTTACTCACACTTTGACTGCTGTGTGTCTTTTTGGGCTCTCCGTCTCAATAAGAAACTAACAGAATGGAAAAGACCACAGGGAAGGCAATGTGAAGGATGCACCAAACACTTCCCCAAACAGCCAAGTTTGTTGCAGCTCGAGAAAATGCAGCCAAAGGGAATGCAGCAGAAACGTTCAGTATCACAGAAGGTGCAGGGAGGGGGACAGAGATAGATGCACAGTATGGAAAATGATGTAACATCTAGCTTCTGGAAAATAAACAGCAAAAGTTTCAAAGGGTTACAAAGGATCCCATACAAACATTTATTTCAAGGCTTTCAGAGTCCCAAGTCACCATAGATAAATAAATTACACAGCCTCAATCTTTTGTCCAGGAATAAAAAACCAGATTACAGCGAAACACAAGAAATTACAAAAATGTCCTACGTACACTGTGAGGCACTCCATTAAGCAAATTAGAAACCATTATGACGAAATGGAAACTCTTACCTACCTCTCTCTCCTCTTGAGATAACATTATTCTACATGCTCACAATATTTCAGTCGACAAGTACAAATCAACCATTTGTGCCTCTGCTGAAGGCATAAAGGCTACAGTTATAGCAGCAAATTAAATGCATCCAGATCCATTCTTGGGCACAGACTCTGCTAATACCATTAAAATCCCTTACTCTTCCTGGTCGTAACAGCTACATCCCAACGGCCTCTTGGAAACGGTCCTACCTCCATGCTAAGTGCTGCTTTTCAAGCATGGTGCTAACCAAGCTAACCATCTAACGACGGGGTTGATGCAGCCTTAAATAATCACAGTGATGTCTTCAAAGATCTGCCAGAAATTGGAGAACATACATCATCTCCAGGTACTCAAGGGGGCAACAGACATCAATAAGCAGCCAACAGGCTGACGTGAGCCAGCAATGTGCCCTGGTGGCCATGAAAGCCAATGGTGCCCTGGAGTGCATTGCACGCAGGTGGCCAGCAGGGCAGGGAGGAGATCTGCCCTCTGCTCTGCTCCCAGTTCTGCTGCTCAGTTCAAGGCAGGTTGGGAACTGCTGCAGAGAGCTCAGCAGAGGGCTGCAGAGATGGTCAGGGCCTGGAGCATCTCCCTTATGAGGAAAGGCTGAGAGCCCTGGGGCTGCTCACATGGAGAAGAGAAGCTGAGGGGGGATCTGACCAGTATTTATCAATATCTAAGGGCAGGTGCCAAGTGGTTGGGGCCAGGCTCTTTTCAGCGGTGTGCAGCCACAGGACAAGAGGCAAAATGCACAAACTGGAATGTGAGAAGTTCCATCTGAACATGAGGGAGAGCTCCTGGGGTGTCAGCCCTGAACAGGAGGTGGAGGAGTCTCCTTCCTTGGAGATATTCAGAACTCATCTGGATGCTTTCCTGAGCAACCTGCTGTAGGGAACTATTTGGCAAGGGGTTGGCCTGAATAACCTTCCAAAACCCATGATTCTGGGATCCTGTGTAAGCCAAAGGAGATGAGACTGACGCTCTCCAGCTTTTTCCATTCCACTTGAGCACAACCTACACATGAAATACTAAGGAAGGACATTGAAGACCACCCTTTCAGTGCACCTTTATGTCACGTCCCTAAGCTGTGTCTAAGGAAAGCTAATTACTCATCATACAGCTGGGTCAAGAAATTATGGAGAGCACCTGTGCCTGTTCCTGCCAAATCAATGAGCACATGGGGATGGGCCTGCAAACAACAGCTGTGCAAGCTCTGATCCTTTACAAATTACAGAATGAGGAAAATGAGGATGACATCCAAGATCTCTTCCTTAAAAGAAAATGGGAACTGTCTTAGAGATTTAAGTAGCATGGATTGCATTGCCACTTTGTACTCTGCCAGTTTCCAAAACCTGCAGTCTGTGCTCTCTCTACAGTTCATGGAGAAACAGACTCACCAGAAAGAAATTGCCTTCCAACAGTACAGACCTAAGAAAGCTGGATTGACTCAACTTCTGGGAGGTGCCTGTTTCTCTCTACTGACTATAAATGTAATCTAGATGACAAGCCCAGGCAAATACAAGTGAATATTATACATTCAGATGAATCTTAAGCAAGATAAATCCTACTACTAGTTTTACAAGTGCATTACTAATGCATCCAGTCTGCTTTTCTCAAGGGAAAATGTGGTGCTATTTATGCTGTTTTAAAACAGCTACTGTGCTTTCAGCTGCTTATTTATTTTAAAAGTCCCTTTTGACCAAGGCATACGTGAATTTTAGGCTTTCATTTTATCTTACAGAGCATATCAGTCAGAATAACATGACTACTCCTGAGCTGTCACTCACAAGGTTATCACATTTAAACAAGCTCTACAGCCACAGGTGTATTCAAAAGGCACAGCTGGACCTGCAGTATCAGGTGGCATCAATAACTAATGTTTCTCACATGGTCTCATTGACTGACCTTCCATTATTAGGATATTCCATGACAATCAAACTGCACTACGCTCCTGCGATGCAATCCCACAATTCTCAAATGCTCTAAGAGTAGCAAAAAATCCAGATGAACATCTCCTGTTTTAGTGCCTTCTCAGTAAGAATCATAATGAAAAAAAAACAAGGAAATCTTTTTTGTTGCTTAAGTTAACAAACAAATTTGAACAGACGTAGAGATAAATCTTTTCACAAAGCCCAACGTTGATTTAATTTAACAGGACTTCAAAAACACGTTCATTAAATATGAAATGAAAAGAGCTCCAAGAATGAGCATGCATTCTTCAGCCCCTTCTCTTATGAAATACATACTTTAAGATGAATTATCACCTTCCAAATAAGCTAATCTTGGTTTTGTGCTCTCAAGATGAAGGAAAGCTGACTTTTCATGTATACATATGAAAAAATAAGCTTTCAGCATTCTGTATGCTGTAGTGTGCAGAGTAAAGGATGGCAGAGGGATTAAGAGGAACACAGAATCAACAGTAAAAACACTGCCCAAAGTGGCAGCGAAAATGCAAAGATTTTTAATGCTGCCTAATGAAGTGGCAAACTTTTCTTCTCAAAGCTACTAAAGAGTCTACTGAAATTTCAAAAGCCTCAGCCTCCATAACGCTCTCTATTTGAATTCCACCTTAATTATTACACCTTGCAAAATTTGGTATGCTTTTATTGTGCTTCCCCCCCCCCCCCCAAAAAAAAAATAAATAAATAAATTCTGCCTCTACTTCTTTCATGGTATTTTACAGGAGAAAAAAGTTTTTTTCAACAGCATAACTGAGTTCTTCTTCACACTTTTATAACTCCAGTGAAAGAGAACAGTGTCACCCAGCCCCAGGGATCTACGTCTGCTGGTTTAAATCTAAGCCAGTCAGCCTCAGTTCCTCCACATCCAGTGCTGCAAAATAGAGTGAGATCACTCATGTCTTGGTAGCACCTCCTAACAAAGCCTAAAAGCTCAGTGAGTCACAGCCCACCGCTGCCCAGTTCCTTTCCGACCACAGAAGAGGCCCGGAGGAGTAGTGGAGACAGAGGCACCTACAGCTGCAGATGCTCTGTACCCACACAGAAACAAGAAGGGACATCTCCCATCTGAACCTGGCGTTCTCAGCTCACCCTGCTATGGGAGGAGATGTAATAACGCGCAGCTCGTAATGCCAGCGAGCTTTGTAAGCACCACAGGGCAGGGAACGCAGGGCAGAAAGTTCCCTGTTTCTTAAATCTTTACAAGTGTCCACAGGATTTGCATAATTCCTCAGAATCCCTCCCTGACAAGAAGTGTGTAACGGAAACCATGGCCATTGTTTGGGATGGACGCGCTCCCAGCAGGTCTCAGAGCACAGAAGGCACGAAGATTTCGCTGTGCGCTTCTTGGGGAATGACAGCAGCCACCACATGCAAGACTTCTGAACAGGGATGTCTGACTCAGTGAAGGTGCAGCTGCCAAGGGAGGAACAGGCAGAAAGTGAGAGTAATAACTGAGCTTGGGTTTGTGCGAGCCAAGTCACTGTGTTCCAAGTTTCAGAAGTTCCAGGGAAATAAAAAAAAATAATAATAAACAAAACAAGCATGTTTTTGTTTTTTCCAGTTAAAGGCAAGAGCAGGAAATAGGAGAATAATCTGCTTCAATTCTCCTCCAGAAAAACAAATCCCCGAAACTTGTCTGCAGTAGGACTGAAAATTCTGGTGGCAGTGCTTCAGACAGAAGAGGGTAGTGAAGATTTTTGTAACCCCCCCAGCCTGCAGCACATAAAAATACACTGTTGAGGAAGGACAGAAAACAGTGACACAGATCACAGAGCAGAAGGAAACGTTCTGCAGAAGACTTGTGCCTGATCTTTGGCTTTAAAAAGTTACTTGGGAGAACACGAGAGCAAGGAGTAGCACCTTACTTTTCAGTAAGTTCTCTGTGCTTTAACGTCACCCCCTTCAGTTTTTCTTAATTAAACATTAAAAAAAAAGGGAAGTTAGGCTAACAGTGCCGACTTGCAGACTAATGTTCTTCTCCTCACCCTTTAGCCTCCAGAGGCTGTGTGGAAAATCACCAGAGGATACCAAGTGTGGAGGGAGGGCAGGAATACGGAACAGATCTTTTTGCTTTCAAAGTCTTTACAATTTCTAATTCTCACTGAAACACACGCGGCAGAGCACTGTGAAAGTACACACGTATATATATGTGACTTTTAGAATTTTTTTTCTTACCTGTTGGATAATAGGCTTGTGAGTAGTGCAGGGGAGACGAGTAGCTGCTGTACTTTGCAGGGGAGGTGGCGATGGCTTGAGAGACCTGCTGAAGCGGCACAGGAGCGGCGCTGGACTGCAGGGTGTACGTGACCTCCGTCGGAAGCCTCTGGAATATGGGGAAGGCAATGCCCTTGTCTGGGAAGGCTGCGGACGCCTTGTGTCCCGGAAGCAGCCCAAGAGAGCTCTGCCATGTTCTGGAAGGGACTGGAGTCCGATCCAAGCTTTTTGCTGGTAAGGAGCCGAGGTTCTGCGCTGAGGCCGAGATGTAGGAGTAAGGAAATAAGCTGTCTCGTTGATAAGGCCGATGAAACTGTCCTACAGCCAGCAGCCCTGCACCAGGCACAAGATAAAGCAACGACAGGAGTTGTCACAGGTAATGAAAAGTAACACGAGGAGCCAAGGCCCTGCAGCTCTCTTTGGGAAGGCAACCCCTGCCACCGTATCCCTAATGCACAGGCTGATTCTTCCACCCGATCACACAGTGACGGATGCACTGACAGATTTATTGTTGGCTCTGAACAGAGAGCAGTAAGCAAGGATATAAAAGCAACTGCTTCCTCCCAAGTGCCATGCCTTGCACCAGCCTCTCATTCTCTACTACGAAAAACTCAAGCTGCACATTAGCACTGGAGGAAGGCAGAGCTGCAGGTGGCTCTGTGTAAGTTACAGAAGGGCACCAGTGATAATGATAAAGGGAACAAGCATCAGAAGTGAACTGATGAAAAAAGAATAATCATTTGTACTTCAGATCAGGCAATGCTTACAGGTTGTCATTTACCCCCAGTGGGTTTTGGTTTTTGCTACTGTTGTTTTCACAACTTTTTGAAGTGTTAAAATTCTAAGCCAGATCGCTTCCTTTGCCAGACTATGTGCTGGCCTGGTTTGGGTTTCAGTATTTCTGCAAGAACAAGCAAGTCCTCAAGAAGAATGAGAAAGGATGCTACAAGCTCAGCAGTTCATTTGTAACTCGTTATTGGGTATGGCTGTAATAAAAACATCCTCTCTTAAGCACACAAACTCACACTGATTAATAAGATCAGCTGTCATTCCTAAGTCAACTTCTTCCCAGTCAGCTCAAACACTTCAGTTTAGACTAAGACAGCCCAGTTTTGCTATTTCCTTTTATCCATCTCTGGGTTATTATTTTGTGAAATGTCACTTGCTCTTATACTGTGGCAACAGAGTTTCTGTTAGAGGTTGTCTGACATGCTTGGAACACTGACCCAGAAAGCCTCACTGAATTCAGGGAAGTATTACTGCACTTGTGACATCTTCACAGCACTGCATACAGCCATGCTAACAACGAGCTTCAGAACAGCCTGCATCAAACCAATCCTTCTGAAAAACAGCCTCACATTTAGCTCCTTCACTCCTCTGACAGGAACTAATCAGAGAAATAGGTGCCATACAGCCATTTGTCTGCAAATTCACACCAAGTCATGAAGAAGCACTAAATACATGCTAACTACTCGTCCCCCAAAATTCACCCAGAGTTCGTGCATAGGGCTGTTTATTTCCAGTTCAGCATTTTTATGACACAGAGAATGAAGAGAGGTATGAGAAGGCCTTTGTTTATATTTTACATGTAGATGGGGAAGTTAAGATAATGTGGTTTAACACACAAACAAGACATCATTGGATGTTAGGTTACAATGTGCCAGCTGCTTTACAGGAACTGTTCCTGGACATTTAACATGTTGCAATGCACCTGGAACAGAGGGACACCTTGCAAACAGGAATATCTTCCATCTATCAAATTACCTCATATTTGCAGCAAAGTAAGACATGCCCCTAAATAGCACCGAGCGGGGAATTGTCAGCCTGTCAGAACTCGACTGCCGTAAGAACTGATGTTTTCTTTGTTCTTTTTTTTCTTTCTAGAAACTCAGGCTGCTAGAGCAAACAGCAGATAACAACAGGGGCAAAAACACACCCATAAAAGGGGTAATGATTTAACGGCTGTATTTTTCTTAGGATTTACTCTATCCATGGCCTGCATTACACCAGTCAGATGTGATTCCAATGAAGTGGTAGAATGACAGAATCATTCAGGTTGGAAAACACCTCTGAGATCCCCAAGTCCAACCCGCACCGTGCCCATAACCACATCCCTCAGTGCCACATCTCCACGGCTCTGGAACACCTCCATGGATGGTACCCCCACCACTCCCTGGGCAGCTGTGTTGGTATCTGATGACTCTTTTCGACAAGTTTTTCCTAATATCCAACCTGAACCTCCCCAGGAGCCGCTTAATGCCATCACCTCTCATCCTATCGCTGTTACCTGGGAGCAGAGGCTGACCCCCATCCCCACCAGCTCCTTTCAGGCAGCTGTAGGGAGCAGTGAGGTCTCCCCTGAGCCTCTGCTCCACACTGACCCATCCCAGCTCCATCAGACGTGTGCTCCAGAGCCTCACAGCTCCGTTCCTTCTCTGGACACACTCCAGGGCCTCCATGTCTTTCTTGCCGTGAGCAGCTCAAAATATATAACGTTAAAAAAGCAACAACAAAAAACCTAAATGTTTTCAGGCCTCAATATCAAAGCACATTTCCTCCCTTCTGAAAGGTTTCCTTTTGTTTTCTCACTATTACAAGTGTAACTTTGCACACATTACCCAAAACACCACATGAGTTACATGACAGCTCCTACTGGAAACAATAACAGAGCACAGACATCCAGAGCTGCGATGGCTGTGTGCAGGAAGCGGCGCTGCTGCCTGCTTTACACCCTTATGGTTGCACAGCCCTGGTCCACCTCCGAATCACAGAATCACAGAATGGCCAGGGCTGGAAATGACCTCAAGGATCATGAATCTCCAACCCCCCTGCCACATGCAGGGCCACCAACCTCCCCATTTCATACCAGCCCAGGCTGCCCAGGGCCCCATCCAATCTGGCCTTGAACACCTCCAGGGATGGACGGGGCATCCACAGCCTCTCTGGGCAGCTGTTCCAGCACCTCACCACTCTCATAGTAAAGAACTTCCCCCTGACATCCAACCTAACTCTTCCCTCCCTCAACTTCAAACCATTTCCCCTTGTCCTGCTGTTATCTACCCTAGTAAGCAGTTGACTCCCCTCCTGTTTGTAGGCTCCCTTTAGGTACTGAAAGGCTGCAGTGAGCTCACCCCGCAGCCTTCTTTTCTCCAGGCTGAACAAGCCCAGCTCCCTCAGCCTGTCCTCATAGGGGAGGTGCTCCAGTCCCCTGATCATCTCTGTTGCCCTCCTCTGCACCCTCTCCAACAGTTTCCTGTCTTTCTTGTACTGGGGGCTCCAGACCTGGACACAGCACTCCAGATGGAGCCACAAGAGCAGAGTAGAGGGGGACAATCACCTCCCTGTCCCTGCTGGCCACCCCTCTGCTGATGGAGCCCAGGATCCCATTTGCATTCCGAGCTGTAGGAGCACCCTGTTGGCTCACATTCAGCTTTTCATCCATCAGGACCCCCAGGTCCTTCTCCACAGGGCTGCTCTCAAGGACCGCTCCTTCCAGTCTGTAGGGATGCCTGGGATTCCTCCGGCCCAAGTGCAAAACTCTGCACTTTGCTGTGCTGAACCTCATCAGGTTCACCCGGGCCCACCTTTCTAGCCTGCTGAGGTCCCTCTGAATGGCATCCCTTCCTTCCACCGCATCAACTGCACCACTCAACCGCACCACCTGCTGCCCTGTCAGCCTCAGAAAGGCCGTGTGCTGTCCTTTGCCTCAAGGCAACTCTCGGGCCAGAGAGGGGATCGCACATCGCTCATCGCACATCTGCCCCACGCGGCATCTCCCGGCCGCCCCATCGCCGCTCACCGCTCCTGTCTGCCGTGCCGGGCGTCGGGGGCGACGGCGGCGGCGGCTCTCCGGGCGGGCGCTGGAAGCGGTTGGGCGGGCGGCTGCCGACCTCCAGACCGGCCGCCAGCTTGGCCTTATTGGCGCTCGTCATGCGCTTCAGATGGACCAGGAGGTCGGGGCGGTCGCGGCGGAAATGCGGGCTGTGGAAGTGATGCAGGTGGCCGCCCGAACCGCCGTCGCTCTCCGGACCCGAGCCGGTCCTGGGCCCCGCCGGCCCCGCCACCACCTTACGGAAACCGTAAAGGTTGAGCTGGCGGATGAAGCTGGTGAAGTTGGTGGTTTTGAAGAGCTCTCCCGCCGCCCCGTCTCCGCCCGGGCGCGGCCCCGCGCGGCCCAGCAGCTCGGCTTCGAACAGCGGCTGGTCGATCAGCAGCCCCTCGCCGCGGGCGTCCCAGCGGATGGAGCGGAACCGCGGGCTGTTCACCAGCCGCCACAGCTTGGCTGGGAAGTTGTTGGGGTTGATGGCGGCGGGCGGCAGCGGCTCCTCCATGGCCGCGGGACGGGGCGGCCGCTCTGCACCGAACGGCCGCCGCGCGAGGGCCGCCGCAGGGCAGCAGCGGGGCGACCCGAGAGCCGCCGGCCGCGCGGCACCGCCGCCATCTCCGCTCCCTCGGCACCCCTCCGTCCGGCCGCGGCCCCGCCGCCCCCCCGGTGCCTCCGATCCCTCAGCCCCCCGCGCTGCCGCCGTCCCTCGGCGCCTCCCCGTCCAACCGCAGCCCCGCCGTGCCCTCAGGTCTGCCCCTCGCACCCCCTCAGCCCGGATAACGGCTCGGTCAGGGACGGCTCCTCCGGAGGAGCCCCGGCTCGGGGCTGGGATGGCCGCCTGCCTCCTGTCGGCGCCTCACGGGGAGAGAGAAACCCCCGGGTTGCTTCTGCAGAAAGGAGAAGAAAGTGGGGTTAGATGGGACCGGGAGAGATGAGACGGTTGTCGCTTCTGCCCTGAAAGTCCGCGCGCGGTTCTGGTCTCTCCCAGTACAGAACAGATTTAATAGAGTTAAAATGAGACCACGACATCGCGGACGTGGGTTAGCTTCTGCAGGAATAAGTGCTAGGAAGAAATCTTTGGCGGCGTGGGGGCAGTTGGAGGTGTTGGTCTGTGCCCAGCTCAGAAATGTTGGGGTGGGGTCACTTCAGAGCAGAGCAGACAGGTAAAACGAGAAATGGGGCAAGAAGTGATCGTGAGGAGGGCTGGGAGAGAGTGCTGCCTCTCTGCCAGAGGATTATTTCTCCATCCTGAGCAGATGGAGCACATTTGTCCTTATTCTGAGTTGGTAGCAACAGTGGGAAGGGGCACTGTCAGCATGAAGCATATTGCCAGCATTGGCACAGATAAACCCGGGCCGTGGAAGAGTGGCTCTAAGCAGTGCGTGGTGGCCCACAGCTCTACTCAGCGCCTCCGACACATGTGAAAGGTGACACATCTTCCCAGGGGCTCTGCGCTTTTGTATCTTAGGTGGTGATTTATAATTTATCCTCTCAAGAACTGTATGATGGCTGCAAGGTGTAAACAGCACTAACTTGAAAGTAAAGCACACTGAATGCAAACAAAAAGTCAAGAAAAAGCCCACAGAACATTTTCTTGTCTCGTCTCCTGCATGACACCGGTGAAATTACTTAAAGCTTCTCTTCTTTCCCTCTGTAGCTGCACTGCAAGAAGACACAAAGGCCTGATGTTGGGAAAGGAGTGGTTTTATTGTGCTATCCATAACTCAGGCCATACTCAGCAATATGTAGTTCATAACTAAAATGCTGAGAATGAGTCCTTGTAACTAAGAAGTCCCTTCAAAGTGTTTCCTCCAGTACTTTGTAGATGAGCCCATAGCTGCAAAACAGATGACTTTTTAACGATGGAATGTTTTTTCATCAGCATCCAGAGTGCTGCATGCTCCAGGCAAAGCCAGGGCTTGCACCTTTTGGTGCCTCACAGCTCATGCCAGGTCACACGAGACGATTTCATAGCAGATGCAGCAGGAGGGAAGCGTGAAGGAAACAGCTTCATAGCTCTCGGGTGGCTGTGTCACACGATGGGAGTGCCCTCGACTCACCAAGCAGGCCTGACAACAAGGAGAAGGTAACGATCCCCTTTGGTCCCTGGGTAGATCAGGCTCTGATCTTTGTCTTTGAGCAGAGATGTTTCTGGGGAGCACTGGAGATTTCTTCTCGCTTAAAACAGGCCGGTAATAATGACGTGCTGCTCAGTAGGAAGCGCGGATCAGTTGCAAGCTGCTGGTCAGTGCAAGGTCTGCATTGTCAGCTGGCAGCAGTGCCCGGCCTTCTCAGCCAGCCTTGCTGCTGCTTCCTCCCCACATCTCTCCTTTCCTGCATGCTTTCATCTCCCCTCCAGCCTTCACTCAACACCTGCCCTGTCACCCTTCCAACCCCACGCATACTTCAGTTTTTCTTCCCTTTACAAGCAATGCTCTGGATGCCTTTGCAGCCATTTTTTAAAGAATGCAAACGTGAAGAAAATTTGCTTTTTTTTTTTTTTCAATCACGAATGAAAATGCATTGTTCTTGCATTTTCCTGATATATGTTGTTGATAAACAAATATACCATCCTTTGTTGCTCATCTTTGTACAGCACGACTACTTTATAGAACAGGAAGCACTTCATTGTGTGACTCCGAAACGAGGTCACAGTCACAAGAGGGAAGTGGCACTTGTGACACTGAGCATTTTGTCCCTGGACACGTAAAGCACACAAGCCACCCCTAAGCCAGGCTTACTCTCACCCAGCACCCCCACTCAGTGCCAGGCCAGCAGGCCCACGCAGCCAGCAGCTTTCAAACCCAAAGGTTGACGTGGGCTCAAACTGCATTCAGTGAGAAAGGACACAGCCATGCCAGTAGAAACTACACTTGCATTGCCGTGCTGGAGACTGAAGCTGTATAACTAACCTGGACTCTGTCAGACTGGAGATGTGTGCTGCTTTCAGCAACTTTTTTTTTTTTCCTTTTTTTTTTTTTTTTTTAAACAGACTGGGACTGCATGCAGCAGTTTTTTCCTAAGGACAATTTGCTGTATGTATCACTGTTAACTTCTGAAATACCACAATACACAATACTGGTATTACAGTACCATAAACTGGACCATACCAAAGTTAGCATTTACAGAAGCGTGCCATTTGGGGAGAGTGTTTTACTACTATTATCTGTTACACTGAAAATGGAAGGGTCGGAAACACATCAAACACACCTCAGAAAGCCTGCATCCTTCTTGTCTGTCTCTCACTTCAAACTGTTTCCTGTTCAGTACTTGTAGGGTTCACAAGAAGGCCATCTATCACATTCTTGCTTTTTTTCCTCTTTTATAACTGAGGCTTAACATGTCTCTTCACATCCGCTGCAGTTCTAGCATTATCTATTAATGGCTTAGCAACTGAATCCCATCCAGCCATCACAGGCTTGACCTGACTTCTCACTACACCTAAATCTATGTTTATTTTGTTCAGTGGCTGATGAGATATTATGGTACATCATAAGCAGTTCCGGTTGTTAATTTGCTAAGAATTCGTGGCAGTTACTGCACTGATAGGGGAAGGCTTTGATCTCACTGTTTGTGCTGGGTTTAGACACATTTCAGCATGCACATATAGATTACTTCAGGCTGAACATGTTGGTAAATTATGGCTTTATGCTCTTGAAGCGATAATGCTTTGTTCTGTGCTCAGTACTCACGAATGTGCAGTGTCCTTGCTGGCATGGCCAGCCTGACAGTACAAGTTTCAAGTATCTCCAGCAAAATGTTCACAGACAGCTTTGAGTGCACTTGGGGCAATTCTGCTCAAGTGCTGCTCCGTCTCTCCCTGAGATGCCACAAGAGTCATTGAGCAGCCAGCCCTTGTCTGCACAGCCAGATGACATGGAAACATTACGACTAGAGCCTGGAAGTTAATCTGTGGGGTTGTTGTTTTTTCCAGAAACAGCATTCATGGTTAACATCCAGAAACACTGCCTTCAAAGGTGATCTTCTGTGGTATGACTGTTTCAGGAGCAACGGATGGTTTCTAAATGTGGCAAGCTATCTTTCTGCTAATATTTCTAATGCAACAAACTGTGTAGGTACCTGTCTGACCTAAACTATTGGGGCACTTCACAAGAGACCAGTTCAATTCCCCGGATGCTTTACATTGAAGACAGACTTTCTAAAAGATTCACTCCAGCTCCACAACAGACTGGCAAGGTACCCACGTCATCCCTGGCAGGGCAGGTTGACTTATCAAAACAGCCCCCAGCTGCCATTCTGCAGCCAGGAACACAACCAGCCACCAGAGGTACAGAGGTGGAACGGGCAGGAATGAGCTCACCAAAGAACACAAGAGGAATGCTGCTTCTCCTGGACGGGAACTTGGGCACTGATCCAGCTATGCAGAAGCCAGTAAAACCATCCCATCCCCAGGGATGCTCAAAGCTAATGCAGCTTAAGAGGCAAAAGTGGTACAAACATGTTGGTGAAAAGCCAGTGAATCCTCCCTAGCAGCTCTTCTTCGGAAGAGAAAAATTCCTCACTGAGTCATTAAGGGAGAGACTGGAGGGTGTTGCTGTCCTGGGGAGCCATGGGTTTGTTTGGTAAAGAGCACAGGGCTTTGGAGTAGACCATGACACAGCGTGCTTTGTGTCCTAGCCATGATTATTATTTGTGAGAAGGAATACCAAATGCCTAACATACCTTAACCAAGGGACAGGGCAGCAAGTAACAACCAGGGAAATGTTCAGCAAGAATGTACCACAAATGAAATAATGGGTCCAGACGCAGCAGCACTAATATAGAGATTTTATTTCAACTGTATTGAGTTGTACAGCACATTTTGTTTGTCACAATGCTATAGAACTGATTTTAGAGTTTTTGGCCAGCACATTGTGACGCTGAAACTCACAAGAGCTAAAAGCAGTTTGGACTAATGGCCTGAACGGAAGGGCCAGGAGTACCTAGTTTCTGGCTTCCTTATTGCTTGCAGTCATTCCAACATGTGTAAGACAGGAGCAGATTCTTCTGCCAGCCCAATGGTCACTCTTCCATGTCTGGCAATGACTGCAAGGTACAAGGCAGGGGAGAATCTGAAGCAAGGTGCCTTCTCGTCCCAAAGCCATATTGGTTGTTCCCAGTATGGAAAAGAAGCAGAGTCCAAGTAGGTACAGGGTCTTCAGATGATGCTAGCTTTGTTTGCACTACTGGGATTTACAAAACCAGAGGCTGACATATCAAAGTGCAGGAAAGGGTCATTGTTCCATTCCCTCTGATGGAGATGACAAACCATTAGCAAAAATCCGGGAGGTCACAACAGCATAAAGTACTTTGCCTTGCTTGACCAAGTGCCCTCATAGGTCCTCCCTCCAAACATATGAAGTCTCAGCTCACGATGCAGGCATTTTCATGTCTTTGGGAAGAAAACCTGCATTTCTGGAAAGAAACGCCCCACATTCAAACTCTTCTTCCTCACTAATACCTGCAGATATCTTAGAAAGGAGGCAGGATGGAAACTCCCACAGAGATCTAGCAATTAAACTGAAGTTCACCCAAAGTCATCTTTTCTTTCAAAACCTTTCTTACTTCCTAAACCCAGTTACTTTTCTTTTTTGGAATGAGTTGGAATTCCTGCTCTCTAGTTTAAGGAACAAGCAGAGAGGCAATTACAAGTTGGCAACTCTGAACTCTGACCACTGTACAGGAGACAAAAAAAAAGGAAGTCAAATTCAAGAGGCATTTTAGGTAGCACTGGGGCAAACCAGAGATATTGTTTCCACCACTGAACAGATGCCACGTGTCATGTTTATCACTGTAGCTTGGTTGTACATCCTAAAGTGAAAAGCACAGACCGTAGTGTCTATGTCAGCCAGTGTCTTTCCCCACCTCCATTTTGGTATCAATGCTTCATTCTCCCTTTTTCGGGTTACATTAAGTGCACAGAAATATATAGCAGCATTTGGACTGAAACCCTCACATACACCAGACAGCACATTCCAGGAGGTAAAACAACATATTATGGCCTATACCCTCAAGGTATCAAGTTTTCAGGATACAGAGCAGTAGGAAGTGGAGAGCAGAGGGCAGAAAAGGGGAGGAGGAGCAACACGGGAACACGAGTTCTGTTTCCATGCCAGGAGAGGATCAGGGTGCCATTCCTGTGTTAGCACCAGGCTGTGACACTACCGCAGACAAAGCAGACGGGCAGAGCAGGAAGTGAAAAAGCCAATCTCCCATCGCCCCGCACAGCTGGCGGGCAGGGGCAAAGTCAGGTGCATTCACCCATCCCAGCAGAGCATGAAAACAGGCAGAATCTGCTCGGCCTGTTTTCAGCCAGAATGAATTTCTCTTCAATGCTCAAGAGAAAATCAATTAGTGATGGCTAATGAGTCTTGTTCACCAAGCTGATCACAAATCACACTCATGGAAAGAGAATCTACAGAACTGCTCCAGGCTGAGGCCCTTCCAAAGCACACAGTACCACCTCAAGTCTGCCCTCTTCCTTCTTGTACAGCAGCCTGCCTTTGTCAGGGGAGTTGGTTCTAAACATGCCTTTCTATTGCTTTGGGGGTACTTTGCACGGGCAATATCTGTGAAAACATTGCTTTCCAGCCCACAAACATAAGAGGTTGCAATCCCCTCTTTTGCCCTAGGTCAGACTACAATGTACGGCCCGCTGGTACCAGAGTGGAGGCACACCGTGCTCTCTAATCTGAGCTCCTCTGCTCCAGTCTGATCGTAAGACTGCTGAAGACAGTGCATTCAAGCTTGGTGTTCAAGTGTTGCACCAAAGGCCTTCACAATTACAGTGGAGGCAGAGTCACCCTTCAAACCCATGAGAGAAAAGGCTGGGCTTAGACAGGTCCCTTGTCTGGCATTCAGCTGGAAGCTGTGGCGATGGGCTTCTTCAGGTGTTGGCTCATGAGCTCCCTGGCACGAGACACTTGGATGTGGTCATAACAGGAGTTACAAACAAGGACAGGGTCATACAACTGCTGATCAGGGATGGGCAACTTCAGGTGGCAGCAACCGGCACAAAACACATTCCCGCAGTTCCTGTCAGGAAGAAAGAAAGGCAGTGAGAAGAGAGCTGTAAACACCAGAAAAAAATTTCAGCAAGTGTAAAGGATCCAGTCTGGGATCAGAGGGACCAAAGACCTTGGGGAAATGGAAACAAGGAAAACATAGCAGACTGGGAATCTGCAGGGAATTTCTGAGATCTGGTAAATAAGGGAAGGTCCTAATACGTTCTCTTCAGAGAGAGGACAAACATTGCAGGCGTTTTGGGACGTCAAAGAGACAGGTAGAGAAGAAGAGTGGAATTGCAGCAAAAATATTGTTTACCTGCAGTGATGCCTCCGTTTTGCCAGCCAGAATTCACAATCACAGTTAAAACAATGCGAGGCCATGTGGTCTGGAACCCACCGCGTGACCTAGGGCAAACAGCAGTCCTCATCAGCTCCAAGTCTAACACCACACTGACCAGGTCTCAGGACCCAAATGCAGGCTGAGATGTTGCACTGGACCAGAACAGGCCAGCTCTGAGACAGCCCATCACACAGTGGTGTTTCTGTGGGATGCAGCAGATGAGGATGTAGACACTCTCTTGCCTTAAAGGACAAGGGTGGCTTCTCTCAGCCTTGCTTCCAGTCTATTCATCATTGCTGTAACCATGGAAATCAGCTGCCAGAAAGGAAACATCCTCTCCTGCTGCATTTACAGCATTTGCTGTTACAGCACACGTACCTCGGTCTCCTTCTTGTCAACAGGCTCCCAGCTCGCTTCTGACAAACAATCTTCACTGTGATCAGAGCAGAAGTCCTCAGTGTCGCTGCCATCTGATTCCTTCAGACATGTCTGAAAAAAGAGAGTCAGAAATCCTGTCCAAGGGCACTCGGTCTCCAGCCACAGAGTGCTTGCGAGGGGCACATGGGTGGCTCTGCATTTCCCCATCCAAGGGGAAAAGCACTGAAGCATTCACAACCACATAGGAGCCACTGCTTGGCCCCCTGGAAGCAGAAGTACCTCCAGGAAGCACTTGGACATGGCTTGTGGATGAGGGGAACGGGGCTGAAGAAACACAGTGATGGTCTTAACCATCTGCTCTGAAGTGAACGTGAATGTAGTTTGGAGCAGGCAGTGCGAGGGGGTGTGCAGGGACTGCTGCTGGCAGGGACAAGCACAGCTGAAGCTGTCAGAGGCAGATACTTACGAAATCGTCTTCGTAGTCCATGGGCGGCTCAGCCGGCGGGGCGCAGAAGTGGCGGATGTCCAACCGCAGCTGCAGCTCCCGCACCTGCCTGCGGAGCTGCTCCACCTCCTGCTTGTAGCTGGCCTCGATCTGCCGCAGCCTGTGCTGAATCACATCCGTGGGGAAAGGGAGCCCGTCATCATCCAGGTAAAGAGGAGGCACGGGAGAAGGACATTTTGGTGGCATGTGCTTGGGACCAGACGCTTGCTTCAGGTGGCAGGGTAGCCACGAACGGCTGGGCTTCCCTGCAGAGCCTGCAAAATGCGTGCCGATGTGGCCACAGCAGACTGAGCCTTTTGCACCTTCCCTTGCAGACCACTGGCCACTGAAACACAGGCCCGGTGCCCTCAGCTGTTTGCTGCTCAACCTCTTGCTACAACAACCGTAGGAGAAGAGCTGTCTGGGGGTGGGCTCCCCATTGGGGAGCGATGTCACCATTCCTTGAAAACTGTCCCAGTTGGACCCCAAAAAGGAGAACTCGCTGCTTTGGCTCTGGGAAATGGGCTTGCGCCATTGCTCGAGTGGAACTCTCCCCATCCGGCAGGGATCCTCAAAGAGCCCCTTCCTTCCAGTATAACCTTTGCTGTTGTCTTCGTCTGGGCAGGGGATGCCCGGCTCCTGACAAGGAGCGCTGGGTGCCAGTGGCTCCTGGCTGGGAATGTCTTGGCAGATGGTGTTTTTCTTGGGGCAGCCTTCTCCACTGGGTGCCAAGGCAGTAGCCTTCAAAGGTTCCTGGGAATGGGATTCTAATTGCTTTCCAGAACTGGTGGAAACCTTGTCAACATTTTCCTGTTTGGAAGGGTTTGGAGCTGGGCATGTACCATCCAGTTCCTCCGTGTATGTTCCATTTCCCTTTTCTGTCTCCACAGACACGTCATTTGCTGGCACAGATGCCCAGCTGCTCAGCTTCTTGCTTTGCTCTTCATGCTCTGTGCTGCTGTTGAAAGCACTGCTGGCTTGCAGGGGGGCATTTTCCTGCTGCTCCTCCACTTGCTGTGCCTCAGCAGCAGCCACCATGCTGCCTTCTCCCACGTGCAGCTCGGCTCCCTCAGTGGCAGCATGCCTGGCTTCCAGGCCCACACGCACCTCCTGACAGTGGTTATTCAGGTTTGGATCACTGGACGTGCGGGTCAGCGGGCTGCTGGAGTCGCAGGCTGAAAGCAGGTCGTCCATAGATCTTGTCTTTGGTAATCTGGAACCCCAAAGGAAAGCAAATATCAAAACAAAACTCTTTGAAACTCCCCTCATTTCAGCTGTAGCTGTGATAACGGAAAAGTTCCTAATTGTAGATGATGGGGTGGGAAGAGAGGAGGGGTGGAGCAGCATGAGCTGAAATGCAGAACACCACAGCCTGGCATCTGCAGTCTGCCTTTTTAGTGCAGCAGTGAGCTGTACATGTTCCCCTTCAAGTGAATGGACAACACAGCTCTTGCTCCCCACAGCAAAGAAAATGAGTGCAAGAGGTAAAACAGAAGAACTACAAGAAGGGAAAGATGACTGTGGGTACGAGGCAATCTGGAACGGAGCTCTAGGCTCTTACCTGTCCAAACATCTGCCACTGAACTCCTGGCTCTGAGATCCAGGGGGCATGTAAATGTCCATGTCATCCTGTCCCAAAGGGTGTGGGGAGGAAGCTGGGAGATACACTGCTGTCCAGACGTGCAGCGCTCGCACGTGGCACACAGGATGCAGCACCTGCAACAACCACTGTTCTTAGAGATGAACGCAGCAGGAAACCTTCCAGCCTCTCCTCATACAGTTCCTGGTGCCTGGCAAGTGGGCAGCCCAGAAGGCAAAGTCAAGAGCAATACTCACCTGCTCAGACCCTGGCATGTAGAGAAGATTGTGGAAGTTCTTATTTCCAGCCCGCAGGAGGGACCACACGGAGCAGGTACGCTTGTAGATATTGTGCATCTCTCGCTCACATGGGCTGTTCCCAAGGAAGGTCCCATAGAGGCAGGAATATGTGTGCTGCACCAGCTTCACCTGCAGCATCAAAGGGAGAACAGTTGTCATGGTTACTGGGAAGCGGTGTTGCCTGTCTCCAAGGGCAGCATCTTCCACCTCTCTGGGAAGATTCAAGCACTTCTCACCCAGCTGGTGACCTTAGTGCTGTCCTCTCTGTCACACAGGGCAGGACAAAGAGGGGATAACAGAAGGCACTTTCATTAAAGTGAAATCAACAGTCAACTGATACCATGTCTATGACCTTAAGCTGTATTATGTGGTAAGAGAGATTAATAGCTACCATTTCCCCATATTTTTTCTTAAATCAAGCTTTGGGTTAAAACAGTGCTGCTGTTGGAAGCTTTTGATTAAGAGAGCTACTGATGGTATGTGAATTCACTGGGCTAGAAAAGGACCTGCAGAAGAAGCAATCCAAAGAAACTGCAGAACATAAAACTTTCATCACTGCCCCATCTGCTTGGTCTGCCAAGCCTGCAGTCCCCACTGGGAGAAGGAAGAAATGTAAGCAGTTAAAGAGAAGCTGTCAGCAGCATTGCACATACAGAACCAGGTCAGAATGCCTCAACTAAAGGGCAGGGCTGAACCCGCACAGGTATGTCAGGAATGCCAGCAGAGAGCCCAAACAGTACTCAGACACTTCCCAATTTTTAAAGAATTCAATTTTTCTTGTCCTTCAACTATAACAACATAAAATATCACGGCCTCCTCTCTGCCTCTGCTCACAGTTGGTAAGGAATAAAGAAGTGTTTACATGTGTATTTCTTACCAAAAAGGCTTCATTAAATTCAAAGAGGCAAGGAAATTGCTTCAGAAGCTGATGAACAGCATCCAGCCACTGCAGGAAAACTGGGCACTGCTCATTCTGATCCTCCACCTTCTCCTGGTGACCACAGCGATCACCAAATTTGTGACCAAAATCCAGCCAATCTGATTCAACAAGCACCTGGAAACCCTGCAAATAAAAGAGAAAACTTTGCTGTAGGCACTGAGTGAGACAAGGCAAACACCACCAGCCAGCAGAGGCAAGTGATCTCAGGACTGGCAAGGAAACTCTGTTAGTACTCAGTTTGGGAGCAAAGCTACCTGAAGGTCAGAGGCTTTCAAACACAGAGCAACGTCTGTTATTTCTATATGACAAACAGCCTTGAGAATGAACATAAATAAATAAAATAATCACAAGGAAGAGCAGGGAAGCAGCTGCACCTTGAACACAACAGGTTATTTACCAATGCACTTTACCAAACAGCGAAAAAGAGGCAGGAAGAACATAGAGAAAATTCACTGCCCATAGTAACAGCTCTGAAATGCCAGTAAACTTATTGCTACATGGAGTTTTGCTCCTTTCTGTTGAGACTCAAAGACAAGAACTGCCATTTGACAACAGAAACAGCAGAGTAGCAGTGCTTACCTCCATGGTCCTGTAGTAGGGGTCCAGAAGAATCTTTGCCAGTGCTACGATCTGAGGGGTCCTGTCCCAGCCGTCAGAGCAATGAACCAGCACTGGACGTCCCTCTCTGTCAACTGCACTGGAGACCAGCACTGCTGCCTTCAGCATGACAGAAAGGTGCTGCAGCCACTTGGTGCTCTCCAGGGCTGAAAGCCAGCTAGAAGGTGTGCAAAAAAGCAGGAAGATGGTGGCTTAGTCCTCCAGTGGCAAAACGACACATTAACCCAAGTTGCTTTTGTCTTCTTAATGAAAATAAGACTCTTTTAAAAAATATGTCAAAAAGAAGAGTTAACCAGCTTGGGAATAACTACAAACCGACATCTAACTGCCATTTTTCCCTGATGTTTCTGAAACATAGAAAATAGGATATATACAGACAACAGATACTTAAATCCGTGATGCAATCTGTTCCAGATTACCAGAGATCAAAATGGGCCATGTGAGCACTTCATAGCTAGAGCAGGTGACTTACTTGCTGGGGTCTGGCACTTGACTGCAGACAGCTCGCAGATACTGGAAACTGTTCCGGATGGAGTGGATGTTGGCCATGCCCATGAACACAACTTCACAGTTTGGGTAATACTCTGAACAACAAGAGAGACAGAAACATTCAGGAACTGCTGCTGCCACTGCAGCGATTGCCTCCATGCACAGTTTGGTTGTTCCCCCACAGCAGCACTGCTCAATTCCAGTGACATGTAGGCAGTTTCTCTAGAAAGCCTCGTGGGCCAGCAGCTGTTTCTGTGGAGTAATGGACTCTGCACACTGAGAAGGGCAATGTGCTCCCAGAGACTGAGCACCGGAACGCCAACCTGACACAAACTGCTCCAGGACCCACTAGACTCAGCAGGTTCAAGAAGTGCTTTGGATGTGCCGTGTACCTTCGCATTCACAGCCTCCTCCCTTTGCCCTGTTGGCCACGGCTGCCGTGTAGGACCTGGCATCGAGGATCAGCAGCTTCTGAGGAGTGCCCACGTTCTCCACACCCGAACATGCAGTCAGGGACGAGTCTGCAGAGAGAGCACAGGCTGAGTGCTGGCACCTCCTTCCTTCCCTTCCTTCCACAGCTGTGTACCCACCCCACACACACGGCCCAGATTATGAACATGGATACCAGGTTTAAATCTTGCATTATAACATCCCTGTTAGCAGCAACAACATTTAGGTGCAGGGAGCGCTGTGTAATGCGCACACGTAGGAGACAGCAGAAGGAGGTGTGTTGTCTCACCAAAGTCAGCCTCGCAGGCCTCGCTGCCATCGCTGCTCCCGTTGTGCGGCACGCTGCCGGGTGCCTTCGCTCCAGGGTTCAAGGCACAGGCTTTGGCAATCGATGTCACAAGGTACTCGTCGTCAGCATTCCGCCAGCCCCACCAGCTGATTTCGGGCTGGCTGCAGCGTGCGATCACCGCCCCGTTACGCACGTGTCTGCAAAGGAAGCGCTGTGGAGGTGAGGGACACCCCAGCAAAACTCCCCACTCACCCCGAGCCAGTCGGTGCCTGGGCAACCCTGCTCACTGCTTCACCCACTGCATCTGCCCTGCACCAAGCAGTGGGACGGGGCACTTCAAACAGCAGTTATTCGCAACAACAGCAGTGACAGTGGTTGTCCAGAGAGGCTGAGGATGCCCCGTTCCTGGAAGGACTCAAGGCCAGGTTGGATGGCCTTGGGCAAGCTGATCTAGTACTCAATCTAGTGGTTGGCAGCTCTGCCTGCAGCAGGAGGGATGAACTTGATCAGCCTTCAGATCCCTTCCAACCCAAGCTTTTCTGTTATTCTATGATTCTATGGCAGGGAGGCCATCACTCAGATCACAGTGATGAGGAACACAGGATGGCTGCGAGCAGCGCAGGAGTGGCTGACAGGGCTGGAACAGCTGGCAAAATGAGATGGCAGCAGGGCAGGTGGCTGCAGGAGTGGCTGTCAGGAACACACAGTGCCAGCTTGGGGGCAGCTGCATGCCTGAACCCAATGGCAGGGCCCACCTGAATGAATCCCTGCAGCGGGTGGGAAACTGCAGTTGCTCTAGCCATTGTTTTCTTAAGACAGAACTTCAAATAATTGTGGCTGTAGTTTGGGAGTCATATCACAGTTACTAACTGTGATAGCACTCTGTTCTTCCCTTATCACCTCTTCCTTGCAGGACGTACTGGCTGTTAAACCATTTCATTCACTGCTTGTAAGTTGGAGGGATTAGCTCACTCAGCATCAGACTAGTTAGTTTCTGGGTGGAGGCCTGAGTTGGTGTTTATTAATAAGCCCTAAAATATGAACCCTACCCTGGCTGTAGGCCTCACAGAAGGGCCCCAAAATAGGGCTAAGTGTGCATTTTTCACATGAACATCCATCTTAAGTGGCCTGGAAAGGGGATGGCTGATTATGTGACAAAGTTTGCTGCTGCTACAGAATTATCCATGACAGTCTATAGCTGACTGGAAAAAAAAAAAACTGTTGAGCATCTCGTGATATCAAGTGATAAAAAAGCATATAAAATTTAATGATAATAAATTAAATGTAAAACACAAAGTCCATGGTGAATAGGCTCACTGAGTGACCACAGAAAGCATAGTCTCACATTCTCCTGACTACATGTGGCAGGAAATGGAAGATACTGGCTGCTGCAAAGGCCATGGAGGTAGAACATCTGCATCCCCATCCTGTTACGCTCCCTTCCTTGTGATGCTATCCCTGGTGTCTGGACCTTCTCAGGGAAAGGATGAGGAACTGGATGGTCCTGTATCTCCATTCTTCCTAACAATAACACTTGCCCCTCCCTGCCCTGCTGCCCCTCATGCAACATCTCTCTGAAGATGAGCCAGAGTAAGAACAGAGACACGGATAAGTACCTGACAAACAACACCCAAATACCTTTTGTAGGTCAACACCTCTGAAAAAGTTGCATTAGTGGCCAAGTAGAAGATATCACAGTTTAGATCCCAGTGCACACTAGCACAAGCCTCAACCCAACACTCAAAGGCTGCTTTAGTGCCAGTGGGGATCTGAGCAGCACCCCTGCCATTCTCTCCCTTCCCCATGCTGTCAGTCTGTCAGTCACTCTGTCCCACAGCAGAAGCCATCACTTCTTCCCTTTATTTGCTCTGAAAGGCAGCACACTCAGAACATGCTGAGGCTTTGGATTTCTTCTAACAGTGATGCACAGCACCTCACCAGCAGCTCTGCAGCTTGGAGGAATGGTTTTGCTTCTCAGAGACAATGTTCTCCTGAAGTAACTTGCAGGGAATTCTTTCTTGCTAACAACACCTTGTAGACAACACTGATGAAGACTCTAAACTGAAGACTTCAAAAAAAATAACATTCACATTCAGCCCAAAACACTTTGGAGCCCTTTTCTTTTGGTGCCATCCTCTGCTGCAGTTCTGTGTTGCAAGATGAGGAGCGGCGTCACTCCCAGGAGATCTATTTCTGGCTGCAGGATGACTACAGGATGGGTAGCACCAACAGCAGCAAAGGCTTTGTTTATACTAGTAAGTGAAACAGAGCCAAGGTGTGGACTGGAGCACCGGCCCGTGATCACCCAAGCCTGTTTGTTAGCACACCCACAGCTTCTGGCCTGTGCCAACTAGCACTTTCCCAGACAGTGCCTGAGCACGTTTTTGGGACATGCGGGTGCTGTGCCATGACTGCTCCCAGTGCCTGGCTGGGTGTGACGGCTCCATTCGGGACACAGAAGGTAGAAAAGGGCTTCAGTTGTGCCCGTGTGTGTGAAGCCACCTGCAGTCAGTAGTGGACTGCTTCATGCAGTGCTGCCAACGTGGCCGAAGAGTCACACCGTGCTCAGGGGATTCTCGGTGCCACAGACTTCTGAGCAGAGCAACAAATACTGGGCAGGGCATGGTCTTGAGGTAATCAGTTTCACGAGACATAATGATGTGTTAATAAACACAAGGAAGCATGGCCAGCATCAACGAGCATGAAGTCATCAGTAAGCAGAAAGTGCAACGGGTGCCAGTGGGAGAACCAAAGCCTAACCTGAGCCTGCACTGAGCTCCCCCAGCCCAGGGCACACACACAGCTCCACTCTGTGCTCACACAAGCACATGAAGCATTTCAGTTCTTTTCTTACTTGAGGTTTTCCTTGAAGAAAGCAATCCTTGAAACTGGAATAGTGCAATATGCCATAGCATTTTCACTTATGGGCCATCATTATTCCTTACTAATCCTCAGTTTAGTCTTGATGGCTCAAGACCCCCTCAGAACCCAAAGCTGGAGCAGGAGGTGCCTGCATTGAACCAGTTCACTTTTCACTCTCAGATTCACTCAGAGCACAAAGCTGGAGCACATCTGATGTTCCTAGCACATGCCACCTAACCCCCAGCAATCAACCAGAAAGCTGCAACTAAGAGCTTTCTGAGCAGCTTGGCTTAAAACATGAGGAATAGCTGAGAGAGGGATTCCAGCGCAGTGCCTCTCAGTCACACCTATGGGCTCCCATCTGAGATGCATGCCTGCAAGTGCTCCCAGTTTCCAGGTGTACGGGGAGAGCCCTGCCCCACTCAGCCCAGCCAGAAGGCCCCAGGCTGTGTGCTCTGCCACGGGGCTGCACAAACGTCCACCATTTGCTTGCTGTTTCCCTGATGCTTGCTGCAGCACGGGCACAGATAAAGGTGACTGGAAGCATCCGTGAGCAGCTCTTGGCTAGTGCAGTGCCAAGGACTTCTGAAGGTGGCTGTGCAGACAGCGCAGTGCCGAGGAGCGGCTGGCACACCATGCCCGTCTGCCTCTGTAGTCAGCTAAATAATTAATTGCATCCTCTGTGCTGCTTTACAAGTGAACCGTGCCTGGAGGCTCCTGCATCTCCACTGTGCATCTCCACTGAGAACTCAGCAACGAAGACCTGTGCTTCTGCTTTGCTCACCAGCTCAATTCTACTTTTTGTAAGGGAACTGATAACACGATACCTCTGGTGTCACACCTTACAGATCTGTCTGCCAGCCAGGAATTCAGCTGCATCCCTGTGAAGCTCTGAGTTCTACCAACCAGACCTGTGGCGGCTGAGTCCCTGGGGTGCATGCAGCTGAGCCCACCTGTCCTGAGCTGTGGGTGATGAGGAGCTGAGTGGGAGACGTGCATTTCTTCCCTTCCCCTGGTACAGCACAGGGCACAAGACCACAGCCCTCACAGGCTCTCCTGGCCAAACGCTTCCATTCTGGGAGCAAAGCCTAAAGAGTGCATGGAGATGAGAGAGAGATGGCGAAGGCCTTGCCCCATCTTGTAGCATCACTGTCAGCACCTTGTAATCTGATCCTAGGCTGCAGAGGGCTGTAGCTCAGCTTGTAAATTACTGGGTATCCTCATAGTGATGTTATAAAGCGCAGAACAAAATAATTGTAAGAGAGCAGCAAAAAGACATGCTTTTGCCCTCGGGTGGGGAAGCACACTGGGACAGTCTCCAGTGCCAGACCAATTTTAGCAAAAATAATCACAAACACAATTAACTTCTTAGCTGACTTGGTTACAAGGAGGGCAAAGCTCCATACGATAACCAGCACTCATTACTCTTCTGCTGCAGAATTTAGGCCTTGTAGAAACAACACGCTGCGTTTTGCCAGCATCCAATAGCATACAGCACAAACCACGTAACACAGAGACGTACAGTGAAGGTGTGCATAAATTCCCTGTTTTTACTTCCTGGCTCTACTGCTTCCCAGGGCTTTGCTTTGTTGTGCAGCTCTGGTATTTTCAAAGCTTTTTGAATTTGGATTTAATAATTGCTAACACCAAGTCTAATGCTAGAAACCACAATATACATTACAACACACACAGCTGGGTGAGGTATCTTCCTGCACACCTATGCAACCAACTTCCCATTTGTTTCAAAAATGCCAGTCTCCTAGAGATGTGTTTAAAGAGAAATCACCCCCTGCCCTGAAAAGCACTGCTTTACTTGCTGCCTAGCCGCATATATCCTCATATACAGATGATTTTTGGAATTCTGCTCTGACCAGGGAAGAGGCACTCCCTGTATTTTTCAGCTATCGACTCAACCATGTTCAGCCACCAGCAAACATTTCATCCTCCCTATTACCTCAATATTTGCAAACTCTCACAACTCACTCAAAACAGAAAGATTTGCAGATGGGTACCAAGAGGTAGGACCTGGATGGACCTGCTGGACCTACCTGTCTGGATGAGGTGCCATGAGATATGGTTTAGTAGCTTAGTGGCTAGTAATGATTATAGGATGACAGTCGAATTAGATGATCTTGTAGGTCCTTTCCAACCTTGTGATTCTATGATACTACCTAGCTGATAGGGGCCATGCAGCAGGCTCACTTCGGCCAAGACTTCTTTTCAAAGAAGCTAGGCACATATCATCTCATCAAAAGACTCTGAAACTCAGAGAAAGAGAACCTGAATTGTACATGGTGCCCTTGCTGCATCTCCCACAGCAGCAAAGTCACCCCCAACCTCAGATCTAACTGAAAGCAAGAAAGAAGCAGCAGTTACCAGAATCCCTCTGCTTTACCTGCACAGACTAAGCTTGTAGACCTGCCCAAAGGGCAGCCATCAGGGGTCTGGGGAGAGCACTTGTTTGTTTTGTGTTTACCTGTACACAACCACAGGAATCCTCTTCCACGACCTAAACGAAGCCACATTCTCCAGCTCCTTATCAGTGATCCAGACAGGCACCAGCAGCTTCTGGGGATAACTGGAACAAAGCCTGGAAAAAAAGAAATCAGCAAGGCAAAATGAGACTCAGCAACCAAAATCTGTACCAGAGAAACTGTACAGCAACAGTGCAGGAACAGATCACATTTTCCCAAACTCTGCACGCAGGAGGGGCTCTTCCTATCTGCCTCAGTACCATTTCAACATGAGTAAACTGACCCAAAAACTGCTGTCAGGAGTGAGCTAGGAGAAGACAACCTCCAGATCAGGCCTCACCTCTGGGCCTGTGCAAAGCATCACAGCACTTCCCAAGGATACCTCTGGAACACAGCTGGGGCTTAAACACGAGAGCTTACGTGGCGTTTTGGTTTTCTCACAGTGCTTTGTGAGAAAAACGTGCAGTCAATAATTAATTATGATCAGCCCATGATTACCTTATGCTTAAGTCCTAAGAAAACATTAACAACCCAATGGTAAGTGCGTTAGCAGCAGGACAAGAGGGGCCCCAAGGAAAAGAGGGGGAAAGGCAAACAGCATGCTGGGGAGAAGGGCTGAAAGCAATGCAAGCAAAGCGAAGCACAAGTGAAGATCCAGCAGTGCAGGGGCTTCCTGCTTAATGCAGCAACAGCTGTGCCTCGGGGCTCGCAGCATGTGGCTGCATGCAGGGCAGGTTGCAGACCCACACACAAAGCACTGCCTGGATCCTGGACCCGCTGAGCCCTGCAGCTCCTGCAGACACAAAGTCCTGCCCACAGAACATCAAAGAACAGCCTCAGGTCTAAGCTCCAACCTCATCACTTAAAAGGAATGTTTCAGGGCTGAGGAAGGTGAAATGACCCAGTGAGTAAACTGCAGAGCACAGCTCGTGCTCCCCTCAGCACAGGATAACCCAGCTGGTGGTAATGGGCATTGGTACAGTGCTCAGTGCTGCTGGGATGTGTTGCTAGCACAGACCTGCCTGCCCTGCAAGGAGATGTCACTCCACATGGGGTACAGACAGCTGCTTAGAAAGCCCTGGGCAGAAGGGAAGGTGGGTGTGTGGGACAATAATAGGCATGGAAAGGGAAGCCAGGAAACAAGACTGAAGCTGTCAGGTTAACAGGCTGAAAGCCAGGCCGTGTGTGGAACTGGTCAGGAAGTTAATCACATAGAAGTGTGACAGAGAACAACGGTGTGTTGAGCACGGTTAGCGTTTATTGGGAACTTTGAGTAGCTGCAATCTATAAAAGAAGAGTGTTCATCTACATCAAAGTAGAAACAGTTTCTTGGTACTTCAGATGAAACGTTATGGGAGATGTCTTAAAAACTGGGGAGAGTACAGTCAGGGGAATTTCAGTACAGGAGAACATCTTTTAAGGCACTGAGACTCTCCACTCTTAAAAAAAACAACAAATAAGTCAATACAATTCCAGCCAGGATACAGGACAGCCCTGAGAAGTTCAGTCAAAATTAAGGAGGGTGCACAAAACCAGGCAATGAGATGATGACAAACAGACCTGTGCTGCTAAGGCCAGGATCCCAAGGCCAAAAGAAACCGAAAAGCCAGGATAAAGGAGTGTGCTGGCTTAAGAGCAAGTTGGTACAAGATAGATTATCAGTGGTACCCTAGATTTCAGAGTAGAAGCTTTGTAGGAAGACCAGAATAATTGAGCTAGGAAACAAAGTGTGGTCTGTTCCTAGACAATGTGAAGGTAAAAGTGTGAGGCCAAGAGCTACCAGCATCAGTATGCAATGCAGGAAGGGCATCAAACAGTCAACAATCAAAGAGGATCAAAAGGAGGTATTTCAGTGAATGAAAGCTGGATTTCAGAAGTAAAACAACCTCCTACAAATAGAATCATAAAATGGTTTGGGTTGGAAGGGACCTTTAAGATCACCTAATTCCAATCCCCTGCTATAGGCAGGGACACCTCCCATCAGACCACGCTGCTCGCAGCCCAACCAGCCTGGCCTTGAGTGCTCCCAGGGAGGGGGCATCCAGAACCTCTGGGCAACCTGGGGAAATGATTCCAAAGAGCACAAACTTGAGAGGAGCCAAACAGGAACATCAATTTAAAAACAGAAAATTAGGCAGGTCAGGCCGGTTTTAAGAAATGCCCCGTGAAGAAATTAAAACTATGAAGACTTTTTTCCACCACCTTGGAGGTGTCAGCCTGCTACTGTGCCTGAAGGTCTGGTAGATAAGCACAGTCACAGCAGAAAATCAAAACTACCTGCACTGCTGTGAGCACACGGAGAGGCTGCCAGACCGATCCCTGTTTTACAGGTGACAAAGGCACCCCGAGAGATTAACACAGGAGAACTATCTGCAAGGAATGAGGAGCAACTAATCAGCAGGACCAGATAATGCTCTCCCAACATTTCTACAGCAACCCAAATGTGCACCAGGTGAATGATTAACTGAGATGTGTAAGCTATTGCTTACATTGGCTTGGGTGCCAGAGCAATGAAAGGTGGCAAACACGGCATCGATTTTGTAAAAAGCTCTCTGGGGCCAACGTGGGAAACCACTTAAGCCTGACTGCTGCACAAAGCCACTGACTGTCACAGTCACTGCAAGGGTAAATACGGCACACTTGGGAAGAGTCAACACAGCTTTTGTGGAGGGAGGTGGCACGTCATGTGGCACAAAGCAGACAGTGCGTGTGGCTGCCCAGATTTGGATTTTCAGAGCTGCTTTTTACAGGTTGCTCACCATAGGCTTGAAGGAAGCTCACCTCAAGTCTTGAGTTACTCTTGAAAAGATAAGAAATGGTTATAGACTTTAAATGGTCCTTTTTCATTTGGGAGGGAGTCCCAAAGGGAGCCTGCCTGGCCCTGTGTTGTGTATATGGGACCACGCTGACCTAGAACTGAAATTGAGGTTTGACCCCAGGAAAAGGTGTGTAACAACAGAAACACGTACATCAGCGCAAGCCACGCCTACAGATGAGCACAGATGAAGCATCTTCTTGCCACAAAGGCAACAACCAGTCTAGTGAAAGAGATCCTCCTTCACAGAATGTAAAAACGTGGGTTTTATCCCTAGCAGTCTCTCTAGACCTATTGTCCACAAATTCATACAGCAAATACAAGCAAGAACAAGAAATGCCACCTTTCCCATAGGCATGGAGGAAAGTACCATGATTTGTAGAGAATTGTAACATAACAGAATCATAGAAACATAGAATGGCCTGGATTGAAAAGGACCACAATGATCATCTAGTTTCAACTAGATGACCCTGCCATGTGCAGGTCGCCAACCACCAGACCAGGCTGCCCAGAGCCACATCCAGCCTGGCCTTGAATAAGACTAACTATGAATTAAGAGCAGTCACAGAAATTAGTGGGAAACATCAGCTGTCTCGAGCAGTATCATGGCACTCCAGGCAGCTTTTCCTCATAAAGCCAAAAAATAAATACAACCACGACCGTAAAAAGATCAAAGCTGGAAATAAGCACCAACAGTGAAAGAAAAGTGGGAATTTTTCATTACTTGTGAAAGAACTCTATGTGCACCAAACCTCAGCATTGTGAGCAACAGGAAGACAACTTTAGCTCTGGCAGCAGGGCTGCACTGCTGGGGGCTCTCAGGCTGCACACGCGGGATGACTGAAGATGTAAAAGCCACGAAGGGATTATGTAATAATTTTATTATGATGGTATGCTGAAAGAGTATACTTATATCAAGACTGAAGGAGTGGCTATTATATGCCTGTATTGCTCTATTTTTATGATGGCTGTCGCCAGGAAGAAGATAATAGTTACCAGATAAGGACATCTCAGAGCAGACTTGAAAGACAACGAACAAAGTCATTACCTTGGAGTATCCTGTCTCTAACAACACTGTTTTGCCAATGCTGGGAAATAAAAGATAAAAGGACTATAAACAGTTAAAAAGTAACCCGATTCCTGTGAATAGAGGCAGGTGGTAATGATCAAAAGCCAAGGCAGGATTTAAAGACACACTCCCTCGAGCACAAGAGAGAACTGGTTTCAGAGCTGCACAAGCCAGTTACACCACCTTGAAGATCTTGGGATGTCTGCTGAGAAGGGAAGCTGAGACCTGCCAGCATCCCCAGGCAGGAGCTCTGCAAACCCAAGGAAAGCATGGTCAGCTTGCCAAGGTTTCTTTCAAGTTCTTTCCTCTATGGTTTGGACAAAATTAAAACATCTGTTTTCAGAGAAGCTGGCTAATGTCTGGGTCAAAGCTCCCAGGAAGCAAAGCACAGGTGGGTAATCTCACTTGGAGACATTGAGGCAATCAGAGGGAACCACATCCCAGAACACTGCACTGAGGGGCAGCGTGGCTGCTTTCAAAGAGACAGATGTACCTGCAGCACGGAGCTGGGCACTCTGCCACTGAGCAGGTTGGGAAAAGAATTCCTATTTCTTAGTTCTTAGATAAACTGTGTCAATACTACCAAAACTGTCACATAACAGACCAAAAGCAACGATGTGACACTGCTAAGAAGATACTCTAAATCAGAACCCAAATGCAGTGCTTAATGCCTTGCATCCTGAGAAAAACTGCTGAGAGGAGGCAGACTCAGAACTCCTCAGGGATTTCCCCAAGCCAGCAAACCTGAGGCATCTCATGGTCTCCACAAGAAACTGGAGATACAAAAGTGGCGGGGATGCTTTAACTGCCTGAGAAATAGAGAAAGGACTGAGGGATCCCAGTCATTTCAAGACAGGGATTATAGGGAATGCAGAAATGAATACGTGACTCAACGCTTAATAAAAACCTGCTGGCTTAATGCCACCTGCTGCAAAGAATGCGGAAGCGCTTCTCCATGAGCTCCTCCAGGAGCACAGGACAGGGGCTGCTGCGCTCAGCTGAAGGGGCTCTGCAGATCCCTGCTCCATCCTCCTGCCCACAATGGGACCACCTGCAACACCAGGTAGACTGGGACCTGATTTGCTCCCATGATGGAAAGTCCTTACTTTCACATGGACCTGGCCCAGCACAGCACCAGTTTGAAGAAGGAATTTCCCCCCGTGTCCAGTCTGAACCTCCCAAGCTGCAACTTGTGACCACTGCTCCCTTGTTTTATCACCTGCCACTGTCAGAAGATCTTCACTCCACCCGCTTTGTAACTGCCCTTCCAGCCCTGTAGATTGCAAGCACATCACCCTTCAGCCCCTCCTACGGCAAACTCAAGACACCCCGCTCATTCCCAGACTCCTCAGCTCCACGGCAGCTCTCCAGTGCCTCATCCCCACTTTCCTGACTCAAGAGAACAGTTGACTTTATGTAAGCTTTTAAATTTTCAATGTGAGCATTTTAGAGAGACTGATCACAAAGGCAACCCTACAATGGATGATTTCTCCTGGACTCCTAACCGTCTTCAAGGAGGAGTTATGGCCACATAAATTGCCTGGGTCAGCATCTACAACTGCTGCTAGCTCTTATGTTTGAGGTATACTCTTCTTCAATTCCGTGACATGAAAGGAGGAAAGAAAGGAGAACTCGCTCGTATGCTGATCTGCCTGAGGGCTAGCACGACCCAGGAGGAGGATTAACTGGAGCCTGACTCATCCACAGCTCTGCGGGGGGAACTGTGATGGGAATAAAGAAAGGAAATAGGAGAACGGGGAGGGCCTGGTGGTGCAACACTCACTTGTAATTGTTGTTGATGTCAGAGACTCGCCAGACGTTCTGCAAGTCAAAGCCCATCCTCACCAGCTCCATCTCAAATCGGTATCTTACGTGGTCACCTGGAATAGCAGAGCACAGAGTATTTACTGATGAAACTTTAATATTAGTGGCAGCTCCATAGCAACTATTGGAGGCTGGAGAGAAACCACAGGACAGCTGGATGGCAGGGTTCTTGTTTTAGATACAATAAAGCCTGGTCCCTTGCAGGGGTTCTCTGCTTTTTTTTGTCAAGTCAGATCACCTCCCAGTCCCAGTGCACAGAACAGCACAGAAAAATCCCTCCTGTGCTAATGTGTGTTTTGGGATGGCAGCATTCACTTCATCCACTTTTCCCTTCCAAAGTAGATACTGGGAAGCCCATTGCAGAGGAGTACTGAGCATCTAAACCCAGGGGTAGTTTTTCCAGACAGCTCTCAAAGGCTGATTCATAATTTCCCCTCATGTTTTTGTCTCATCTTACAAACACTGGATGTCCTTGCTGCTTGAGTGTCAAATCTCCTTAATAAACAAATACTGAAGTGTTCTTTGCCTCACTGATATCCAGCAGCAACAATTTCTGCAGGTAAATGTCTTCATGCTAGAGAATAATATTTTCTCTACAGGAATTACATGAAATATCTGCTAATTACTGGCATTTGGAGCAGAGCAGAAACATAGAGCTTATTTTTTTCCCCTACCAACTTCTTTTTAATACCTTTCAGCTGCACTATTTATCCCCCATCTCTCCATACAAACCTGTGTTTGCACATCTCACTCAGGTTACTGCTTCTCTAATTCCAGCACATTTCTAAATGTAAAGCCATGATCATCACACTACTTAATTTCCTCTTATTCACATTGAAGCTTTACAAAAAGAAAGCAAGTGCAAATGAACTTTGTGTTCCAGGAGAGGGCAAACTCGCAATCCACACGAGGGCACCATCACAGCTCTGTTTCTTTCTATATGGATTCAAATATTTCATTTGAGCCTGAGCAAGAATCAGCCAGACACCTCTGCAGACCCAATCCTGGGAATGCCATGGCATTTCTAAGTGTTGGAGAAGAGATGGAGATGTGCTGATATTAATTATGCTGCCTCAGTGCAGATGACATTTGCTCTTGAGCTGTCTTGTTATCCTGATGAAAGTGTTGAAGTATGGAACGTTTCTTTCATTCACAAGGAGAAAGGGAAAGGGGATTTCTTTCTGCTGCTGCCTCTGAATGCTCCATATTTTGCATATGTTATCATTCCTTTTACTGTGCTTGTTATCCAGCTGCATCTGGACAACAGCTAGATGTCTGGGCCAGGTGTGGGATGCTCCTGAGCAAGATGGACTTGGGCTATGGCTACAGCACAATCTAAGACATGGTGAGAAACCACTTTATGAACAATTGCATCATTGTACTTCTGGATAGCTAAACAGGAAGGGGACAGGCCAGGATTTTACCTGGACGGCACAGATGTGCATGTTGATCTTCCTCATCAACACAGACTCCTAAGCACCACGCATGGTAGGCAAATGCAAAGAGGTCCTCAGGCTTCGCAGGGCGGGCAATGGCTCGATTTAGCCTCTTCAGCCACTCCTGGCACTGCTTAAAGGTGGAAAAATGGCACCTGCAAATGCAAATTGTATTCAGTGAGTACATACATCCACCTGGAACACAGACAGGAAGCTCTGTTTAACCAGAAAAATGAATAAAGCATCAATTCTTACAAAAAAAAACAGAGCAACCTTTAGAAACAGCTTCATTCCAATGACAATGCAAAGGCAGGTGTCAGAGCAGATTGTGGCAATTGCAGTGGCATCTATAGCAAGGGATACCTGATCACTTTGGAGTCCTTGCAGACGATGTGAAGCTGGAACATATCCCGGCACTCCACACTTTCCATCATCCTCAAAGGCACCTGCAAGGGACAGAAGGAGGGCATGGCAGCACACCGCAGCAGCAGACACAGCAGCCCTGCCCACAGGCCCGTGGTGCCCAGATGTGGCTCTATCAGCTAACACCAGTTCCCAGCCCAAACTACAAACCCACTCCAAGGTTTATGAAGCTTTATGATGCAGCACAGTCTCCTTCAAGAATCACCAGCCTGACTTCTAGTCTGTCCATGGCTGATCTCCCACCATGGGCCAGTTACAGACCAAATCACAACCAAACAAGCACAGACAACTGAACCAAACAAAGATTCCAATAAAAGATGGCAAGTGGAGACAGTGAGAGAAAGCCTCAGGCTCCCACCAGCTGACTCTCTCACGTTGAATAACAGTATCCTACCACTCTTAAAACCCCCGAGCTTAATGCTCGATTTTAAAAAGAAGAACAAGGGAAAGACCCTGTTATCATCCATAGGAGCACCCCACCTGCACTCCAACAACTGCATGACCAACAGTAACAAGAGACAACGTCAGGCTTGGCAACTTAGATGCCCAGTTCCCATGTTACAAACCAGAGAAATTGCTTATGTCTCCTTTACTCCCCCCAAAAATACTGCAAGAAGTAACAGTTCAGGAAGAAAGAATGGGAAGACCCAGACTTACGTTGATCACAGAATCCTTAAATTTGATATGAAGCCGGTAGTTGGAGATGGCGATCACAGCATCGTTTGCATGGCCAAGATACTCCACTCCCTCACCCTGCAACACAGTGAACGGGACCTGCAAGGAGACATGACAAGTTCAAGGCATGCTGGGGGCTCTGAGCACCACGGAGTGCCAAGAGCCGCTCCTCCCACTGCCTCTGTGGTGTACTGCCCCAGAGAGAGGAGTCAGCAGCACCACGAGGCTGCTGGGTATCAGTGTAGGTAAATGGCAAAGACTGGCCCACCCTCTGCTAACCAGGCTGTGAAGGAATGCAGTGCTTTGTTGTACAATGAAGTAACCTATGTTAGATTTTCTTCTTTAATCCAGATAGCAGATAAATTAAAACATCTGTCTGGTTTTCCCTATCAGCCCAGAACATGCCGTAGCAATGCTGGCAGATGGCCAAGTTTTGCATTCTTTTTGTGTATGTGTGGAAAAGAAAAAGATGGCCCACCCTAAAATTCTTCAGGCCCCTTTTTCTCTAGCTAAGCAGGCTCCTTGTTCCCTGAATGCCACCCACACCAGGTGGTGTTGGTAACCAGTTGTGCAGAAATGTCACAACTGTTCATCACTTCAACCAGAACCCTTTGCTTTCCAGGCAGGGCATCTGATTAAACAATTCATTATACTGTAATTAGTACAAGTCAAACCACGCAGCCTTTATTTCTGAGCTGTTTCTATGGTTTGAATATGCACTGCCTAAAAACTGGTTTTCCTGGCTTTCAGGCATGATGTACTGTGCGAGTGGCAATTGCACCAAGGAGTCCTTCCTTCTTAAGTTACTGGTACAAAAATAACAACCTGTGGCTGGCACCTGTCTGGAAAACCTCTAAAATATTAATTATTTGACAGTAAGAAAAAATGCTCTCTTCATTTTGGCAGTCTGTTACGCATGCTTTCCTATGCTGCTTTTAGCTGGCCTGTGTTGCAGCCACCCCAGGACTCCATCCTCTGAAGGCTGCAGCCCCACAGCATCCTCAGCCCATGTGCTCTTGCCCAGCCAAGCCTCCAGCTGCCACATCTCAGTCCTCCTTCCCAGTACTGGTTACCAGACAATGCTGGCCACTGAGCAAACTCGACTGCTGCAGCAGTGGGAAGACGACACGCAGCAGGCCTGGCTCTGGCCACAGGAGGATGACGAGTGCTGGGATGAGGTGGCAGCAGACTATGCTAAAGGAGTGAGGAAAACCAGGTTTGGCTCTGCTGCCCCTGCTGCACAGCAGCAATAGTAGCTGGGTCTCTTTCAAGGGCCTCTTGCAGCATGAGGCTGGCACAACACAGAGACTCCTCTTTCCAGCAGCTCAGCAGCAGGAATGCCAGGAGCAACATATGTGAGAGCCAGATCAGCTGTTGCAATACAGCACGCTATTGCCTCCTACGGCACAGCCCAGCTCTGACATGCTACCTGTCCCACAGAGGGCCTCCTGCTGCACAGCACCAGAGCATCACTGCTCCTCACTGCCAGCGCAGGTGGAGGTTGGGGAACACCCAGCCTGGCAGTGTTGCATCATACTCCAGCTGTATTTCCCAGAGGCAGATGTGATGCTGTGTGCACTGCAGAGTCATGGCAGGGCTGGGAAGGAGGGCAGCGAGCACTGAGCAGCTGTTCCCAGCCTCCATGCACATGGAAGGGCTTGCCAGCATGAGCTGATGTACAGCGCTGCTGAACCTGCGGCTCCAGAGCACGTCCTGGCCTGGAGAAGTGCTCTCAGGTTTCACGTCACAGCTCAGCCTGCTGCATCCCAAAGTGGATGGTTTCTGTCTTCTTACTTCCTTACCTGCAATGACTCTTCCTCCTTTATAAGCTCCTTTGGGGGGAACAAGTCCTTGGCCTGGATGTACTCCAAACTGGGGGGGCCTTCCTCACCCTGCATTGCAAAAAAAACACACATTGAGAGAAGGGCCCCAGCTACTGCATGCTATGAAAAAAATCAGGGCTGCAGGATGTCCTGGCATCACAGCATGTTGGGGATCCCCCGACCTGTGGATGGAAATGGATGTTCTGCCTCTGCACACAGCTCCCTGACCCCAGCTATGGCACAACACCCACAGTGATCTGAAACAGGTCTCCCAGTTGTGTCTCTTCAAGCCCCATGGTTCGTGGAAAGCTGAGCAGATAACCTCGATGATGCACCTCGAGGGATGTGACAGTGACTTATCATGGCAGAGGTGACCCTGTGAGCTTCATTATGGAACCACAGCAACGCATACACACAGGGTTCCAGCCACAGCCCAGCTCTGACCTCTTCCTGCTGTTACCAAGGACTGCTTTCTTTGGGCAGTCTTTATTTTCACTCTTAGCCCTGAGGTAATTGTGCAGACCCTGATTTTTTTTGAGAAGAATATGGAAGCGTGAAACAATCCTACAGCAATCAGGTGCAGGTATACCCACATCATAACAAGCCTGACCTTAGCAGTGCCAGCAGCAAAGCAGGGCATTCTTCCTGCAAAGCACTGAACCTGGGAAGCCTGACATGGCCTGGAGAGATGTCCTGAGGAGACACACAGAGCCTAGACACCTCTCCTGGGGCAGTGAGGAGTGTCTCAATGGGGAACCTGTCAACATGCAATCACTCAGGAAATCCCAGTCCTATCTTACATCGGCTCTCAGCCTGGTTTCTACCTGACCACCTCATGCAAGTGAGCAGCACCCAGACGTCAGCAGAGGACTGAGGATGCATCCATTCCACGTGTTAAAGGGCTTGGGTGCAGGAGCACTTAGTCAGAATGCCTGCTGCTCCCCACCGCTCCCCTACAAGCTCCAGCAGTTACTAGGGAACACTCTGTCCTGCAAGCATTACATATCATAGAGAATTTAAAACAAAATACATTTCTGGCTGAGCTGCCTGGGCTAGAACCTTCAGATTTCAGCCTGAGGAAATGAGAACCCAACCCTTTTGCTTCAGTTATATTTAAAAGGATGCCGAATCTCCGTATGTTCTCATCAGAGATTAAAAAGAAAGCGTCTGTGGGCCACGTCCAGTGCTGAACACCCGACTTGGGACCCCCTCGTGTTCCAAAGGCCCACGGCCCCATAGCAGAGCCCTTCCTGGGACACAGGCAGGGAGATGTGTGGCATTGTGGGGGTCATGGCCAGCTGCCTGAGCAGCTGTGAAACCCAGCATCCATCCCAGCACGGGCGCAGCACCTCCTCACGCACCCACCAGGCCCCACGTGCTGCTGGGGGAGCACGGGGAGCAGCACTGCCCTGGGTGCAGGCTGGGCTGTGGGTGGGTCCAAGCAGGGAGTGCAGCCCCTCACCAACGCCTGGCAGCTCACAATGAAAACCTGGCGAGCAGCAGGAACTGGGACAGAGCAGCCCCAGTGTCCTTGAGTCCCCCCGTGCTGTGGGAAGATGTGAGGCTCAGCCCCTCCTGGGGCGGCCACTTGGCACCCCTCACTGCTCACAGCACAGTGAGCTCCTGAAGCCGTTCGGCCACAATCCCTGTTGTGGGGGCTTCCTGCAGATCTCTGAGCAGAGCCACTTTCTCATAAGACACAAAAGATGGAGCTCAGGGCCCCCAGGAGGGATCTCGCAGCCCTGCTGTGTGGGAGCACAGAGCTCCCCTGGCACTGCAGCTCTGTACGGCAATTTCCCAGCACCAGGCAGGGAGCCACGGAGCCTTCAGCTGGCTGCTGTGCCCTTGGGTTGGGGCATGGCACCGGGATGGTGCCCCACGGTGTCTCCTGGGGCACGTGGAGGGAGGAGAAGGGCCTCCCCTCGGTGACAGGCAGCGGGATGCCAAGCTGGGGCAGCAGGGCCCGGCCTCAAGGACAGGCCTGATCCGGGGCAGTGCCTGAGCACAGAGCTGGCACAAGGCTCTGGAACAGACAGGGAGGTGGAAAAAACACAACAACAGCAACAACAAAAAAAGCACTTACAAAGCAGTTGAGCATGGAGCAGGAGACGCGGCCTGGCAGACTCATGTTCACTTCCCGAGGCGGCAGCTGAGCGCAAGCAGCATCTCCTTCCTTGGGCTCCGTGCTGCTGCCGGCAGCGGCTGCCGGGCGCCGGCGCAGGGATTGCCGCAGCCTCGCCAGTGCTTGGTGGAGGGTAGGAGCATCCCTGCAGCCGGCAGCCGGAGCAGGTGCCGCGCTCACAGCGCTGACAATGGAGGGAAGGAGGGCGGAGGACGGCCAGACTCCACCTACCTCGCAGGGACGCGGAGCAGGGCTCTGCCATCTAAGCGTCTCCCCGACAGGCGAGACAGAAAATGGAGAGGCCGGCGGGGATCACCCCTCCTCTCCCCCTCCCGTCCCCATGCGCAGAGCCCGGCGCGATCTCCTCCTCGAGCGGCTGCCGGGAGATGCGGTCCGGGCCCGTGGCAATGGCTGCCAGTGCTGGGAACAATAGCAGTGAGCAGGCTTTGTGCCGCAGCTCTGCTGCAACACTCGGCTCCATCCTCCGGCACAGAGCTCTCCATTTTCTGCTGCTCCGCTGCGTTTTGCTGAAGGACACCCCGGCAGCTGCCGCGTGCTCAGGGATTTGCAGGATGCCCGGCTCCCTCCCGCTCTCACTGCAGCCCCTGTAGGTGCTCTGCACGCTCCCAGGTCGCAGCCCTGCCGTCCCAGAGCCGCAGGACGGCGTTCTTCTGGGAAATGCCACCTCCGTTCCCATCACCGGCTGCCGCTCTCCAAGAGGCAGCTGCCACGTTGCACCCTGCCACCGCCAGACAGCTCCAGCTGGCGACACCAACAGCATCCCAAAAGGTTTTCTGCGCTCACATAAAGGGATTTGTGCATTTCTCTACAAAAATGTTAAGAGTTAGAGCTTTGCAGCGCTCAGCTGTGCTGCCTGCATCATGGCAGGATAGCAGTGCCCAGGCAACGAGCTCCCTGCAGGGAACCCAGGAGCACAGACCACGCAGGCTGTACTATTTGGATGCTGGATAAAAGCCCTACCATGCCTGCCACCAAATCCTATTACCGTCTCAGTTCCGCCCTGTTCCAGCACTTGCTTGGCACACATGGGTGCCCCAGCAGACCTGACTGGAAGCCTGGTGGGCTGTTAGGACCAGGTGGGTGGGATGCAGTGCTCCCCTTAGGGCTGGCACCAGGGCTGCTCCCAGCTCGGGTTGCAGAGGGACCTTTACAGACCTAAGCTGCAGCTGTGCAGGGCTAAATGGCTGCTTGTCTGATCCTCGCTTTGAATTTCCAATCTAAGCTGCCCTTAACATCCACAAACAGACTTTGCCCTTTAAGTAAAATATTTTTGCATTTGCAGCATTAGAAGAGGACGTGGGGCAGGGTTGACTTGAGTTAGAAAAGCTTAGGGCACCCCCAAAGCCAAGCCTGGTGAACAAGAGACCGACCCCTAAACAACATGTAAGGGGCTTGCAGAGCTTCAAACTGCACCACCTGCACCTCTTCCTGCTGCAAGCACAGCCCCTGGGACCATCTCACATCACTAAATCCCTGCTCTCGTGCCCATGCAGTCTCCTTTCAGCTGCCTTCGCTCACGGCATTTCCTAAATGCCAAGTCAGGTGTCTCCCCAGCTGGTATTCCCTCTGCTGTTGCTAACACCACGAGACCAAACCAGGATGACACAGCTCCTCTCACACAGCCGGGCTCCTCCAAGCGCTGTGCACACGTACATTCACACAGGCACAGAGAACCTCCCACAGCCAAACCCCTGAGCACAGGTGTGCCCTTCCCAATCCTGGAGCACTTTTGTCCTCCATTTCACCCAGCTGCTGTCAGTGCTCCTACGTTAGGCAGAGGGCAGCACTGCTATTGCTTCTGCGTGGCGGTGGTGGGGCTTTCTGTCACTGCAGCATCACGCTGGGAGAGAACTCCTGCAGAGGGAGAACGGGGCTGTGGCAATGGAGGCAGAGAGGAACACAGTCCTGCACCTGGGGCTGCCCTGATCTGCCCCACTGGGAGAGAACAGCAGGGGAAACAGGCAGGAGGAGGTAACTGCCTCGGGCAGACACTCCCACATCCCAGAAGTGGAAATGGATCCCCATTCTGCACACGAATGGATGCTGATGGCTGAAGAGCTGCGGCCAGCAGGGCTGCTTGTCCTGCCTCCCCTGCTCCTGCAGCACAAAGGGCAGCTTTGTGTTGAGTCTCTACAAAAATAGCTCATTTCCTCAAAGCCTACAGCGGTGCTTGGTGAACCAAAGGCCTGCTGAGCCACTCAGGTGGCCTTCCAAAAATAGAACCCTCAGCTCACGTGAAGAGGAGAGTTACTGCTTTATATCCCATAAACCAGGACAGGGATGGTCAGCGTCAGCTTCTGATCTTTAAAAGATGACAGAAGAGGTTGTAGGTCTGCCATGCTCTTGCATTTAGTGATCCTTTAAGCTCCCAAGGGTGAGCATGTAACACAAGCAGGGGGTGAGGAGCCTTTGGGATGAAGATGGAAGGACACGGCTCCCCGTGCCAGCCAGATGGGATGTGGTGGCTGAGCCACCCCACAGCACCTAACCCTAAGGGAACGAATGGAGGTGGCAATCTCAGTGCCTGCAGTCACAGCAGTGGGGCACAGGGAGCAGTAAGGTACATGGGCAGGGCTGAGCCTGCACCACTCACCTGCAAGGTTAGTTTTAGGTAATGTATTAAGGTGCTGGCTGCTCATTAGGATCTCAATTAGCCACAGTTAAGGATTAAACCACCAGTAGTCCTTAAGGTCGTTCTCAGCTGCAGTTAGTCTTTAGGAGAGAAATGAAGAGATTCTTACAGTCAATGAAAACAAAGCCCTTAACTGCTGCCCCACCAAGCATGGCAGAGCACCCCACTCTCGGGTGCTGTGGAGCAAGGAACCAGCTTTGGGACATGTCCTTGTTAACCAGTGGGCACTGCTGCTCTGCCCTCCGACTGCAGTCACTACAGACACCACGAGTAATTAGTTACAGCTCGGCCTGCCTGCAGGGAACTGCACTGCCAAGCAGCCAATGGAGCTGGATGGATCTGCCCAAGCATTGCCAGCACTCAGCCTCCAGCACCCCCTGCAGATCTGCACTGAACCCAAAATCCCAGCAGAGCTCAGGGAAGGACCCAGCAGAGGTTGTCGGGCAGCTCTACCTTCCCCTGCTGCTACAAGAAATCAAACTATTCATAGTTAAAACTAAGGGCTGGCTCAGATTAAGCATCTATCCATACACGTAAGAGAAGCCCAATGAAAAGCAAAGGCTTCCATGTCTACATAAGTCTGAAGTTCCAACCCATATACTCCAAAAAGGGGTTGAGAGCCCAAGAGCAGGGACAAGGAATAGAGATATGAGCAAACATCTGAACAGAGATGAGTATGGCTCTTTGCTGCAGCATGTCACAGCTGCAGCTCCCCAATTGGTTCTGAGGGCAGGTTAGATGAATTCGTGGAAGAAAAACCTACCAAGGGCGAATAAAACATTGAGAAAGCACAGTACAAAATCCTTACCTCAGTTTATCAGCAATCTGGCTGTCCTGGCTGCGTTTCAGCCCCTCCGCATTCTTTGAAACCATGCTTTTTGCAGACTAATTATTGTGCAATCTCTGCTATCTCAGCATCACCAAAGCACATTGTTAACATGGAGTTAATTCTTCATTAAGAAGTGGGAGAGGAACAGAAGGAGAACTCCCAACTTTAAGATTTAAAGTAAATCAGCCAAAAGCAATGCATGGGTGACTGTCTCTCTACTCCAAGGAGGCAGAAGAGGATTCCAGCCTTACTTGTATATTCCAAGAACAAGTTTAGAGGTAAGTTCATCTTACCAACAGCATCATGGATACAGCCAGACCTCAGAGCTCTTTACGTTATGCAATCACATAACATACACAGTACGACAGCATTCTTAGAATCACAGAATGGCCCGGGTTGAAAAGGACTACAATGATCATCCAGTTCCAACCCCCTGCTCTGTGCAGGGTCACCAACCAGCAGACCAGGCTGCCCAGAGCCACATCCAGCCTGGCCCTGAATGCCTGCAGGGATGGGGTGTCCACAACCTCCTTGGGCAACCTGTTCCTGTTCTTTCTCCTTCTCACATTTATTCTCACATTTAGCAGCAGCACAGCTGTCGGCCACAAAAAACAAGCAGCCCCACTGGGACATAGGTAGACCAGACCATGTACTCACCATCCTTGGCCACCGTCCAAAACCTCCTGGCTCAATCACAGCTCTGCCCCTTCTTCCACCAGACACACCTGAAGCAAAAGAAAGGTAATTTGCAGCAATTCAGATCAACAGCAGCAATACTTCAGTATGATTAGAGCTCCCTGCCCATTTTCCACTTTGTGTCACCTCCATGCCCGCTCAAGACACCAAGTGGGACGAGCCTGCAGCTCGAGCAAAGGGCAAACCTCAAAATTAACAGTTGGAAAGCTCGTTAATGAGGGAGAAGTTCTCCTTTCAGTCTCTATGTTACTCAAGGGCAGGAGGAAAGGAGTCAAGGAGGAACGTTCCTCCTCCTGACAATGCAGTACACGCTGGCAGCTGTCCTGATGGAAATGGCTCAATGGGACACAAAGCCCCCAGCTCTGTGTGTGTGGGGGAGCTGAAGGTTTGGTTGCTGTGCTTCAAGGACCTGGGGAGGATCCTTTGATAGATGCTCGGGATCTCAGAGATCCCTGTGATCCTTGGCAAAATCACCCTAAAATCAAACCCATGGGCTCAAGAAAGACATTCATTCCATCTCCTCCTGCCAGCTTTGTGCCCGGAGCTGCACTGCCCACAGGTGGAGGTGTTTGTGGGGCAGCAGGCATTGAGCCAGCCCTGCACAAGCCCCTGTGGTGTCCCTGCATGGTTCCACGGGTGATGCTGGGATTTATGGGGAGGAAGAGAGCCTTCCTCAAGGTTTCTATGCTACAGGACCATCTGACCACCGCCATCCCTCTCCTTCTGCATGCCTGCTCAGCGCTTTCCCTCCATGCTGGCATCTCCATCCCAGCACAGAAGGATGTGTGGTTGCACACCTACACAACAGCAATGGCAGCAGTGAGGAAGCAGCTCAGAAATGCATTCCCCTGGGAGCAGCAGCATGCCAGTCAGCGAGGAGCAGAGCCTGTAGGACCCACCAGCCAGGTGAAAGCACACTCAGCTCAAGGAGGAAACTGCTTAAACACACTCTGTTTGCTGATCTGCAGCCATCTGAATTATTGATAACACCCGACCACATGCAGGCATTTTTCCTGCTGTACGTTTTGTATCTGTTCACCAAACCTCTGCTCATGGCCACTGCAGTTCCTCGCTTCCTCCCTCCCGCAAAGCGCCCGGCCCTGCAGCAACCATGAGCTCAGCACACAGGAATGCAGGCAGCCCAGGGCTTCCTCCTCCCTCTGCCAGGATGGGCGAAGAGCTCCTGCAGTCCTGCGGGCTGCAAACCACAGCCCTAAGGAAGCCACAGCAGTACCTGATGGCAGTGCACACCAACACATGGGCATGGAGAGGGGAGGACACAGCGATGCCCACTGCTCGCCCCGGTGCTCAGGCAGCACTGCCCAGCCCACCCGGGTTGGGCAAAGCACCGCACACAGCTCACCCTGCTTTACAGCTTTTATAGCCCATGCCCTGCTCCAGCATTGCTAATCATAGAGCCAAGCCTTCGGATCACGAGTTACAAGACCTCGTAAAAATTTTGTTCTAATTTCAGTTCAAATGGTGCAGTTAGCCCTAATGCACTTAGCAGGGGAAAACAGTCCGGATGTTAAACAGGGTGCATTAGAAGCAACAAGCAGGAGTCCCAATAGCCTTATTTTGATCCCAAGAGACATAAAACAGCCATCTTGGGCCTCTTGGCTAATTAGAGGCTACAGATAGAATGGCCAGGCCCCTTGGTTACATGCACAGTAAGTTGCATGGGATGCTCCCTGTTCTGTAAGCAAAGCTGCTGGCCCAGGGGCTGCTTCTATCCAAGAACAGCTGATCTGCAACAAGAGAAAAGTTAGGGCTACCAATGTGGTGGCAATACCAAGTCATGGCAAACACCGGGCCGAACATCCAGATTGCTCTGCTATGGGAAGCTATCCGTGCAGCGTAACCCACCTGCACATGGGCAGACCCAGAGGTAGGAATGAGATGGTGAAAAGCACCCGTTTGGATGCCTGGGATGTCCCCATGAGCAATGGGCAGCAGGAAGCACCGCTGTCTGCCTGCAGATGGCTGGAGCCCCACGGCACACACACAGCAGGACCCAGCTGAGCTCACACACACAGCTTAAAAAATAACAAAGAGAAGCCTTGCTCAATGTGTGAAAGTATTTATGCAAAATATACTCAGCTCTGGGCAACTCCGCTGACGGGGATATAACTCAATCCAATTACTGGCAGGTGAAGTTTCAGAATTGGATAAATTCCATCAGGCTTATGAAAAAGCCTTTGTGCAGCTGATGGGAGATCACACGGGGGAGATACCTCTTCTCCAATGAATCCCCAGTCTCCAGGTAACACCCTGGATACCCACAGCTCCCCCAGCTCCAGGCCCTGGGAGCAACTGGAAGAGCAGCGAGGTGGGATCACAGGGCACATCTGTGCCCCAAGTTGGGTCTGGGGAGGGCAGGGAGAGTTCTCTGGGCAGAAGGACAGGCACTGTTACCCCCAGGGGTCAGGTGAGCAGCAAGCAGCCGGGGCACCAAACAGCCATGTGGATCCCAGCGAGATGCACTGCAGAAGCAGAGGGAGGAGAGGGGCAGCCAGGCAGGGAAGGGACTTCACGAGCCACGGAAGTGAACAGCCTGAATGGTGTGAGAAGAGTGCAGAGATCTGCCAAGTTCAAGGGCTTCGCATCAGTGGTTGTGCTGCGGTAGGAAAGATGGATGGGAGGTGAGGGCTGCCAGCCGGATCAGGCTGCACACCATGAAGGAAGGAAATATTGGTCGTGGGAGAGTTGCTTAAAGCAAAAGGAACCATGCAGCATGGGGAAGGGTTCAGAGGAAGGCGAGAGGAGGCAGGGGTGAGAGGAGCCTGTGTCTGCTGTGGGGAAAGGGCAAAGCTGCAGGAAATGCAGAGAAAGGAAGCGATGCTGGCATGGTAATTTGTCTTCTCATAGAAAAATAAGTTTCTCTGCAGCAAAAGGGAGGGGGAAGGACAACAGGAGGACTGGAGGTGCCAGAGGTGTTCACAGAGCTGCACTGAGCCCTGAGCACAGTATGGTTTTGGGGCAGAGGTGAAGAGGGCCAAAGGGGGGAGGGAAGGGAGCAGGAAAACAGAATGGGGTGCGGAGATGGAAATGAGGGGCGAAGGTCAGAGCCTGGGGGGAAAACAGAGCCTGAAAAATGCCTCTGGGGAAGGGTTCCACTGTGCCACCCAGCTGTGACCCAGGAGTGCAGGGGGCAGGGGCCAAGGACAGAGCCCTGCACTGTGGCAGACCCCCACAGGGCACTGTCATCCACTGCCTGTAAGCACAATTAACTTCAGCATCATGCCTGCCAGCCAGCTGGCCCTGCCACTCACATCACTGGCAGCAAAATCGCCATCCCAAGGGGCAATCAGTAATCACACACAAAACCCCGTGCAGGACAGAGCGTCTCCTTTCTCTCACCCGAGCCATGCCAGGACAGCACCTCGCTCTGCTCTGCAGGCAGCGGTGGCACCAGGTGGCAGCAGCACCCCAGGGACGCTCCCTGCCAGGTCAGCCTCTGCACCTCCTTCATCTTCCTGACACCTCCTTCGTCTTCCTAAGGAGCTGGCAGAGAGCAGGGAGCAGGCACAGCTCTGCACACCGTGCTGGCTGCATCCATCCATCTCCAGTGACAGCCCGGGAGGAGCCGAGGCTGCAGCAGGAAAGCTCCCAGTTCTTCCCTGTGACACTGGCAGGAACTACAGCACTACAGAAGCCCCAACCGTCTGCCCCCACACCCCAGACCCCACGTCAGACCAGGCAGAGCGACTCACAGCACCGCTCCGTGCCCCCGATGCTGCACGCAGGACTCGCAGCCCCATGCAGAATGGCGATGGGAAGCTCGCCTTTGGCCAACACTTCCAACTCCCCCCTCTAGCCCCGGCCCGTTGTTCTCCAATTTCGTTTGCTTTTCTTTAAAAAAAAAAAAAAAAAAAAAAAGAGAGCAGTTGGGATATTTCTAGTCACAATTGGGCCTTTATTCAAGTACGAACAATTGCCTGGTCCCTACCCAAAGCGGCACAGATGGACCCGTCCCAGCTGTGCTCCTGCTTCTCACCATGGAGCTCCAGCCTGGCACTGCTGCAGGGGCACTGGGGGGGCAGGGTGGGATCTCAGAGACAGGGGAACACTGCTCCCAATACATCCAGGAGAGGCAGGGAGGAAGTCAAGCACCTATCACCACCTCATCACCTTTCTTTTCTGCTCTAACTCAACCCTGGGAAGAACCAGCAGCAGCTTCAAGGTCATAGTGCCTGCAATCCTGAGGTCACACTGCAGGCTGCGGGAGCACTGCTCAGCCTGGACCCCTGCAAGCACCCATGTCTCCTCACCCACAGAAGCAGCCACACTGGTGTCCCACCAACCTGCGCTGTCCTGGGCAGCTGGAACTTGACAGACAGCGAGCGCAGGAAAAAAAGCCTGAAATGCGTGACCCACATGCACCAGCAGGCTCAGAAACCAGAAGAGAAAGCCCAAACCACGCTGGCCACAGCTCCCCCCACTGCCCAGCCTCCTGCAGCCACGCTCACGGCTCTCAGCTGCAAAACACCCACACCAACAACCCGGGTGCTCTGGAAGAAGCTCAGACACACAGCAGCAGCGCAGGCTCAGCCCCAATCCTGTTGGTATCACAGACAGGATTTGATTATTCCTCAACATGGGTGCATAAACACCCCCATCGGTGCTGTTTTATGGTTCTTGGTACCACAGCCATCTGCCTGCACTGTGGATGGGACCGACAGGAGAACTGTATGCCTTGGTAGGAGATGCAGCCAAGGGAGGAGAGCCCTACTGATAAGCTCAGAGCTCAGTTTCAGTGACCTGTTCAGCTTGAAATCTTTCTGGCTTTTTTTTTTATGAACATGGTCATCCAACAGCCAGACCTGCCAGCTCGCAGTCATAGAATCACGAGGCTGGGAAAGACCTCTCAGATCCGCAGGTCCAACCCAAACCCACCCCACCATGCCCACATCCCTCAGTGCCTCATGGTTCTGGAACACCTCCACAGATGGTGATCCCTCCATTCCATAGGCAGCTGTGCCACTGCAGCACCACTCTTTCTGAGAAGAAATCCATCCTAACACCTAACCTGAACCTCCCCTGCGCACCTTAAGGCCATCACTTCTTGTTCTATCGCTGTAGTCACTGTCACCATTCTCCTTTTCCATGCCCAGTCCCCAGAAGCTCTCCTTTAGGAAGATGAGACCAAGCTCTCCGGTTTCCTTCCACCTGCAAGCAGCTGGACCCATCCAGCTCAGCATCACAGCAATGGAAAACTGCCACAAGGGACTGCCCGCCCAGCACTGCCCTGCTGTGTGCACAGCTCAGCACACCATGCAGACAGGACGGGTGGTCCAGATGAGCATCACTGCCCTCTACCATCAGCTTAACTGCTTCTAAAAACAGGGATGGCTGTGACGTCCTCTTAGCAGACACGCTTAGAAAGGGAAATCCCCGGCCAATCGATAAGCAGCAACCCGATATATTTATAGCAAGTTCCCTGCTTATCTGCAGAGCAAGCTGCACAAACACACACTGCTGTCCCATCCCACTGCCCAGCACTTGGGCACAAGCACAAGGCAAGCTCAGTGCCAGCACAGCCGGGGGGCTTCAGTGCATCTGCTGCAACAGGCACAACTTCTCATGGCTGCGATTACCAACTGCTTTAGGGCTCACTAAGCACCAAATTCCTGCTTCCAAGAGATTTGGGACAAAAGACAACGGGATTCCTTTTCTTCTTTGCTTAAATCCAAAGCAGGCACCTTTTGCACATCAGCACCTCGCTGACACGAGCAGAGGACACCAAAAGCCTGGCAGACCCTGCACGGATTTATCCAGAGCCAGATTTTCCCCAGCACTGCTTATTCATCTCCGCACGCACGCTCACACCCAGGGCTGCAACACAATGGCTGTGGATAGCAGAGTAATGAGAACCAGGCGGGAGGGGAGCTGGCACCTCCAGAGCTTGCAGCGTGGGAAGCACCCAGCTCCCAGTGCCCCCAGCAGAACCCCAGCTCTGGGATTTCTGGGGCCGGGAGGAAGCACCGCCACGGTGGGACTTTGCCTGCTGGTGCCCTGAGCTCCAGGGAGCTCCATTTCGTCTGTTTCGTAATCAGTGAAACATGCCAAAAATGTGAGTTCCTCTCGGTACGAGGAGCAGAGCTACTGAACCTTTCCTGAGGAGTCCAAGCAACTTCCTCTCCTGTTTCAAGGAAGAGAAGATGAGCCCCCAGGTCACACAGAAATGTCACACTGCCGGAAATTCCTCCAGTAGAAAGAGCTATTGATGCAGCAGGAGGGAGAGGGAGGGGGAAAGGGAGGCAAGGAAGGAGGTGGTTTTGCTTTTTATTAATTGCATTTTATCACACAAAACTATCACTTTGCTCTATAGCACAAAACCACTTTTACTTCCTCTTTCGTCCTGTTTAACGCTGGCAATGGGAGCTCTGCACACGGCTTTCTAACAGAGGGTCTGCACAGAGCCTTTGCACTGGGCAGTTTTACGGCGTGACAACTTCCATAGGCTCTCCTTGCTGAGCAGGATGCACAGCAGCCCCAGGCACCTCACCACCCCTTTCCAATGGGAACACAGAGCGATACTGCCATGTTGGGGGGACACTTCCAGCAGGGGGCTGATGGGGAGCAGAGCCAGTAGGGAGCACACACAGACTTGGAAAATAAGAGAGGAAAGAGCAAAGAGCAGAGCTGTAAGAAATTATCTCGGGTCAACTCAAGAAAGTGCAAAGGACAGAGGGAGTGGAGCAGGTCACTCGTTCTCTGGCACAAGCAACCCTGGCACTCAGCACTCGGGTCCCTGTGCCCAAGCTGTGCCACCTCAGCACCCCTTCGAGCCACCCCAAAATGAGCACAACACCCAGGTGCTGGCAGAGCAACAGAGCTGAGCCATGGGCATGAGCAGCTCCTCAGTCTGCTCAGCTCCTCTTCGGATCACGCATTCATCCCTGCACGTGGCAGTGGCTTCCTGAGACCCAGCATGGCTAAATGCCCAAGGGAAAGAACAACAGAGCCCAAGTCAGGTCCCCAAAAGATGCTGTCCACCCTTCCCCCCATGCTCACCCAACACTGCTGTGGTCACAGCAGCCAGGCCAGCAACAGCAGATCAAGGATTGCTACCTTTGCTTAAGGCACTGCTGCACTGTGGGCAGAGAGCCCTCAGCACTGAGCTGTGGTGTGGTGTGGGCTGGTAAAGCTATAAGGGAAAGTTTGGGAAGTGTGTTAGGATCCCCCTGGGGATTTCTGTACTGACCTGCAGTGTCCGGGTGCCTCCCATCACTGCCCTTCCTGACCACAGGGTGTGTAACAGTACTCGCTGGATACCCCACTATGTGCCTCTGGTTACAGCTGCCACCACAGGGCTCAAAATCCCCTGAAAACAGGGACTTCACAGCTGAAATGAGCACTTCTCCTTTGAAATCAAGGGACTTTCTCTTCCTGCAAGCCACTGAATGCAGGCACCAAAGCACAGCACACATTGGTGATGCACTCACAGCCCCACGTCCTCATCTGCCCCAGTCAGAGATGGCACGGCCCTAAAAAAGGCAGCACTGCAGGAACAGATGCACAGGGTCCTCAGCACCAGGCTATCTGGGGGATGACAAAACTCACTGAAACCTGGTAATAAATCACTGCACTAAAGCACTGCACCACAACAACTCCAGCAACAGCCTGAGTGCCACCAGCACCAGGAACTTCCCATTCACAAGGCAGTTGTCTCTATCAGCTGCTTGTCAAGGCTGCCGGTATGACAAATGCGAGCTCAGAGCTCCACTGACAGAGACAACACCAGGTGCTGGCACCTTGCAGAAGCAGGAGGGCTCCCTGCGTGCCAGGCAGGTGATGGATGGCCTCGTGCAGGAGGGAAGGATGTTTGCAGAGGATGGAGGAGAACAGGGCGTATTGTCTGCAAGCACAAAAGATTCAAACACGCAGAAAGCAAAGCTGATACCCCCGAAACAGGAGATGCAGTTAATCCTCTGCAGGGATCCCAGAACTGCTCTGCAGCTCGCCAGCCCCGCAGGGAAATGGCTGCCCAGCAGCACACAACACACAGCACACCTCGGTCCATCCCCGCACAGCTTTACATGTGAGCTACAGCACAAAGGCCGGGTAAGCACTGAGCTGTGACAAGCCCCAGCATCACAGCACTGCACGCTGAGGGAGCACTGCAGAAGGACAAGGGCTGGCAAAGCTCTACACCTACCCAAAGGCACAGGAAAGTTGATGGTCTCTGAGCGATTTGACACAGCAAAGATGCAACGTCTCAGCTTGCCAGCACGGTGCAGCAGGAGCTCCTTAAGGGGCCCTTTGATGCTCACAGCACATCAAACCCCACTGTCTCGCAGATCTCCCCACTGATCCACAAAACACGTCACTGCCGTCCTCCCCCCGTACAAACACAGCCCTCACCCTTCAATTAGGGAACAGAAACACGCCTGACTTCAGCCTCCATGACTAACAGTGTGATTCCCACCTCCTCAGGTCCAACCTCTGGGCAGCACAGGTGTGCATGCAGTCAGCACGCAGGCCCACTGCTCTCACTCGGAAATAAATGTTCAGTAAGATAAAGGCATCCAGCCTTTGGAAAATCCACCTGCCACAGGACAGCCGTGCCTCTGGCACTGAGGCAGCTGAAGTGGGAGGCAGGAGTGGGGCACAAGTTCGGCCCAGAAAACAGAACAAGCACAAGCACAAGCCCAGATGATGCTGATGTGTGAGGAGCAGCATCCCCAGGGCATCCTGCCACACCCCCACCTGGCTGCAGAGGCTCGCTCTCCCCAGCACCCTCAGCAACAAGGTACACCCAACCTGAGTGCAGACATCTCATCCACGAGGCACTGACAGGCAGTGCCGTCCCTCCTGTGCACCACTAAAATCACCCCAGAGGCTCTGCTTGGCTGCGTGGCACTGAGTGCTGCATGCCAGTCATGCTCCAGCTATAGCAGAAGCTTTAGCGTGCTTCTGTTGATTATTTGCAAATATATATATATTTTTTAATTAAAGAAAGATCATTGTAGAGGCAGGCAATGCAGTTGAAACTGAATAGAGGCAACTGAATAGATTGATGCTGGATTGCCACAAGGCACTCAACCACCAGCAGGAAGCTGGCTACTTCAGCAAGCTCCCAGGCTAGCAGAAAACAAAAGCCCTCCGAAGCTTCCAGAAGAAACAATGCAGGCGGAACCCCTTTGCTCAGAGCAGTTCTCTATTTCATCAGAGAACACCAGAGAAAGACTGGCAGACAGCAAGCAACTGAATGGGCTGTAAAGCAGAAATGCTCGGAGGGGCCTTACCATCACGCTGTCACTCGCAGCAGCACCACGGCCCGTCCTGCAGAGTGAACAATTCCACTGCTTCAGTTTGCAAAGAAGAACTGAGCGGGCTGGAAAAGGCACAACTCCTCTCTCCAGCCAGCGCTGCTCACACCATGAAGTGGGAGGAAATACTGCCATGAATGTGGGCTTAAGTTCAGATGCGAGACTTTGCCCCCAAGCAGATAAGTTGCAGAGTGGTTTCCACCTACATTCCTGCAGCCAGGATGGGCTCCTCCAAAGGGGAGGAGCTGTTTGTGCCGAGCAGCTCCGGCCTGCAGTGCACCCAGCACCCGGCCCACGCCGTGCTGTGCTGTACTGTGCTGTCAGTGCTATGGCCCCATTCCCAGCCAGCCCCACGCCAGCATCCCTCCCAGCAGCACTGTGCTGACCCCCTGGAGCTGGACCCACACAAGAGGCCGCTGTGTGCAGCTGGGAAGGCTGAGCTCGGTGGGGTTCCTGGTGCAGCCTCAGCCAGAAGGTAAGCGAGACCAGCCCTGCTCTGAGTCAGGTGCCAACAGGAGTGATGCACCTGCAAACAAACACAACGAGAAAGGACGCCTCTGGGCTTGGTAACTGTGTGTGTCTTCAATCAAGCAACACATAACTCTCCTCCCTAGGGACGTGCCCTGGGCACGCTTCTGCTCGAGGAAAAGAAGTTGAGGGCATCTCTCAGTTGAGAAAGGACAACCACATTGAAACAAAACACACCAGCAAAGTCAACAGCACTGCAAAGAACGGGGACCGCCCGCTTTGTTTTGCTTTTGCTACGTCCCATTAATGTTCTGTGCCACACAGAAGGCAGGGTGCTGCCTTCACATCTACCCTGCACAGAGCAGCCAGGTCTGCAGAACCTGCTGCAAACCAAGCACCAGCAGAAGCAGCCCTGGGACCTGGCCCCAGGCTCTGCACCAACACCTCAAGGAAGATGGAGCAGAGATCAATTCCGGCTCCCAGCTAAAAGCCCATTTCCTTGCACCACCCAATAACTGGAGACCACCTCAGTGCACAACGGCAGCACTGCACATCGCTGCCGCCAAAGCTCTCCACATCAATGACAAACAGCTGGCTGCAACTCTCACAGCTGCCTTGCTCAGAGGCCGACCTGTGCAGGAATTCACCATCATGTGCAGGTTTGGCTGCATGCCCCGCGCTGCAGGCCAGGCTGGTGGAGCAGCACGCGGGCAGTGAGGCTGCAGCCCGGCCACGCCGCGCCACGCAGGCTGAGCAGGCATTTGCTATTTATAAGCTCACAGCTGATCCTGTCCAGGAAATCTTATCCCTCTGGGTGTGGGACAGCAGCGAGGAGCTGTGATCCCAGCGTGCGTGGAGCGGCACCGGCCTGAGGAGCCAGAAGGGCTACAGGTAGCAATTAGTCTGTTATGTTAATTTACTAAGAGTAAAGTAATCCTCTAATCAGCTCTTCTCTCCATTCATTATTGTCCAAAAAGGACTCTGATCCGGTCCCACACCTCGGTGTTTTCCTGTATGCTGTGATAGAGAATAGGAGAGGGAGGCACAGAGACACATCCCAGCCCCAAAACTCTCCAACAAACACGAACACGAGGGAAAACTTCTTTGCTGTGAGGGTTCCAGAACCTCAGAACAGGGAGCCCAGAGAGGTGGGGGAGGATCTCCTTCTCTGCAGGTATTTAAAACCCACCTAGATGCTTCCCTGTGCCCCTGCTGCAGAGAACTGCACTAGGGGGGGATTGGATGGGGGATCTCCAGCCCCTACACTTCTGTGATTCTGTGAAACAGAAAACCAAGGGGAAGTGAAGCTGGAAGGAGGGACAGCAAGGACAGAAGAGAAAGGTGCAGACTTTGGTGACTACAAACACATTATGAGTTCCTTGGGACATGCTGACATCCAGGAGGATGCTCAGAGGACGGAGCACCTCTGCTGTGCAGGGAGGCTGAGGGGGCTCTGCCTGCAGAGGAGAGGGCGACAGGGAGAGCTTTAAGGATGGAAGGCTGCAAAGGAAGCTCACAAACAGGAGGGAGAACGAATTCTTACACATGTGACAGCGACAGGATGAGGGGGAATGGCTTTAAACTGAAAGGGAGGAAATTCAGGGCAGATGTTACAGGGAAATTCTTTGCTCACAGGGCAGCGAGGCGCTGCACGGCTGCCCGGCGCTGCGTGCCCATCCCTGGAGGCGCCCCAGGCCATGCATGGACTCCGGGCAGCCCGAGCTGCGGGCACCCAGCCCGTGCAGGACCTGGAACGGACCGATGGGACCGACGGACCGCTGCGGGTCCGCGGGGCTGCCAAGCGCACAGCGTGCAATTTCCTCCCGCCCGCCTCCCTTCCCCGGGACGGACCGCAGCCCGCCGTCCGCTCCTCCCCCCTCCCCCCTCGGCCCCGGGGATCGCGGGTCGCCAGTTCCGACCCGTGCAACGCCGCGCTCCTCGGGCCGCGCCGCGCCGCCCACGCGGTCCTGCGGGAGCCGAGCAGGCGGCAGGACGGGCCCGAGGCGGAAGGCCCGGGCAGCCCGGCGGGGCGGGGCGGGGCGGGGCGGCGGGCAGGGCCGGGCCCGGGGCCTGCAGCGGGGTGGGGGAGGGGCGCGGGGGTCGGCGGGGCCTCACCTGAGTCCGAGCGCGCCGCTCCCGCCTCTGCCGCGTGCGGCTCCCCGCCCTGCCCCCACCGACCCGCGCGGCTCCGCCAATCGGCGCCCGCCGTCGCCGGCAACGCCGACCAATGAGCGGAGAGAACGCGTCCCCGCCCAGCGCCGCCGGCCGCGGGGACGCGCCCACAGAGCATCCCGTGACCCGGCGCGGCGAGCGGCACGGGGCGGGACCCGGCGAGCGGCGCCCAATGAGAAATCACAGCGCGTCCCGCTGCAGCCAATCGGAGGGCGGGCAGCCCCGCGCCTCAGACAGCCGCGCGGGGAGCGGGGGTTGGGCTCCGAGCCCGCCGCCCCGCCCCGCCCCGCCCGCTGCTGCTCGCGCCGTGACGTGGCTCCGCTGCGCTGCTGCGGGACGACGTGCGGGGATCGGATGTTGTTTCCGAATTAGAATTGGATGATACTTCTTTTATTTCATGATCTGCGCTGGCATAGTTCTTTCTGGGAGTCTTTCTCCTTCCCCTGGGGAAGCTCTCCAACAGTCCACATCTCTTGTCCTCCAGACGAACCTTCCCAGGAGCGCGCTCATGTGCAGGGGTACAAACCGGAGAACAAAGGATGGCATGCCCGAGGAAGCGCTGAAGAGACGTCAGAAGGCCGGGCATCACCCCCTGTGCAATTTGTTTAACAAAGACTTCGAAGGAAATCACCTCAGCGTGGGAACGGAGTGGTGCTTCTGCGTTAGACATTAAAAACAGCAATGGGTCTGAAGAAGTAGAACATCATGCTTTTGTATTCTGTAACGTCCTTAGAAATAGTTGATCTGAGAAGTAAAAACACTGTGTGTGTTCGCGGCATGTTTTAGAAACATTGTTGCTGAATTATGTGATTAATCCTTTCTTGCAAATAGTTGTTAAATGTTCCAGACAATGCGAGCATAGTGTTAGGGATTAGAAAACATATTGTAGAGCTGCTCTGTTAGGGTAAGAAACTGCCAGCAAGAGAAAAACAGATTTAGCAAACATCAAAGAAGCCAGGGCCTCTGCACAACTCCGTGAGAAGTTGGGGTGTGAAGGCCGGCACCAGGACGCTGCCCTGTCTTCCTCCTGAGCTGATCCTTGTGGAAGGGAGGACAAGCCGATATCCGCAGAATAACGATCAGGCGTGGAATAAGTTAATTAATTAACTGCAGATTTACGCTTAGGCAGCAAAAATTTATGTTCACCCAGTGTTTCTGTGTTTAGTGAACATCGAGAAGATTGTGAACCTGAAGTACTCCGCCAGTGAGGAATCGGGGGAGAAAGAGATCAGCGGTGGGGAATAGGGAATAAAAGATGTAACGCTGTTTTCTGTGGGCTCTCCTGCTTGCGGGACGCCCGCCACTGCAATTGAGAATAAAATCTGCTTTATCAGAGATACCTCCTGACCACAATTATTTGGATGTTTACAACAGACATAACGAAAAACAGCTCCGAAAGAGCGTGTGGGAATCAAATGTTGTTTCTGCATTAGAATTAGATAATATTTTTTATTTCATTTTTTATTTCCACCGTTGTAGTTCTTCTTGGGAGTCCTTCTACTTTACCTGGGGGGTCTCTGATAGTTCGCACCACTTACCCTCTAGATGAGCCTTCCCCAGGAATGCACGCTCAGCACATAGGTGCATATATGTGCATTTTGTCATACATACTGTGAGAATACCCTGCACGAGGTTGATCAAAACAAGTGATGGCGTGCCCAAGGAAGCGCCTGAGGAGACATGGGAAGGCCTGGCATCACCCCGCACCGCTAACGAAGGCTTTGAGGAAAATCGCCACATGGATACGACAAGAAGAGCGCTGAGACAGCTTGGAAACAACAGGATGGCTGCCGGCTGACACCAGATAACACAGCAATTAACAAGTGTAAACCGTGATAAGATTCTGAACCTGGAGCACCCAGCCATCGGGGAAGCAGGGGAGGGGGACAGGCAAAGGGGAAACAAGGTACAAAAAGCTGTCACTGTGTCCTTAGGGGTGCTCCTGCTTGCGGGATGCCCGCCATTGCAATGGCAAATAGAATCTGATAAATTGTTTGGATCTTTCCAACACGCGGTGCCGCACGGGGCTGGGGGTCACCATCCTGGAGGCGTTCAGAGCCGTGGGGATGTGGCACTATGTGGGCATGGGGGCTGGGGTTGGACGTGGGGTTGGTGGAGTCTTTCCTATGATCAGTGTCCTTAGCATCTCGATTCCCCATCACAGGTTCTCCTTTCCCCATCAGATGAGCCCTGGGCAGATGAGGTTGTTGCTCCCCACAGGAACCCAAAGGGACAGGCCAGGCTCGGCCCACAGCGGATCTGCAGCACGATGGATGGGATCCTGAAGTGGGAGAGACCCACAGGGATCACTGCTTCCAAATCCGACTCCTCGCAGCACCACCCGAGACGAGAGCATGTGTTTGTGAGTGTTGTCCAGATGTCAGCCTGTGGCTGAGAAGCTCCCTGGTGCAGGAGCTGTAAGCAGCACCACTGCGTGGCATCGCCCCTCCTCGCCTGGTAGTGCTGCACCCCCAGGGAGAGGTGATGGGGGCTGTGATGGTGCAGCTCTGCGGGCTCACTGTGCTGTGCTGGGGCTGGCAGGACTCTTGAGCGGGCGGTGACAAAGTCCAAAAGGCGGAAACAGGAAGCAACAATTTACTGTTTCCACAAGAAGCGGATGCTGAGCAGTTCGGTGGGCCGGGCGGGGGCTGAGGGCCGATGGCAGGTGAGTGCAGCCAATGTGGGGGGCACTGGGGGTGGGCTGGGGGCTGCTCGGATCCTGCTGGCCCTGCTGAACCTTACATACCACAACATGTGGCAAGGGCCACGTGTCCCGGGCTCCGAGTCCTGCAGCACTTTCTGTGGCAACAGGGAGAGGGGTGGTGGCATGGGAAGCACACTGGGGCAGGTGTGGGAGAGTGGGGAGCTATGTGGGGCGGCTCTGGGCGCTGACAGGGCTGACGTACAGACCAGGAGCTGCTGAGAGTGCGTGCCAACTTTGTGAGCCGCGTGAGGAAGGCTGTGATCTCCAATCTCCTGGACGAGCTGCTGGCCCACAGGGTGCTGAACCAGGCAGAAGTGGATGAGGTGCAGGAGGCCAACCCAGTGACAACCAACAAGGCCCGGAGCCTCATAGACACCGTACGCCTGAAGGGCCCTAAGGCCAGTGCCATCTTCATCGACAGCCTCAGGAAGCATGACAGCAACTTGGCAGAGGAGCTGGGACTGAGTGCAGGTACAGGTGAGAGGCAAGGCCATGGCCTGCCCTGGCCACACTTGGGCTTCCAGTGCTTCCTGTAGCTTCCAAAACCATGGGGCAGTCAGGAAATCCCATTGTCACTGTGCTGTGGCAGTGGGTTCCCCTCATCATGTGGTGACAGCAGGGCTCTCAGGTGGCTGTCCCCTGTAGGAATCCACCGTGGGGCAGAGATGGGTTCTGCTTGCCCCCCATGCACTGTGACATCCTCCTCTTGCCCTTTCCAGTGTAACCATGGCCTTTGTGCTTGCAGAGCCTCCTGGTGCACCGCCGGCTGCCCCCAGCACTGCAGGCTCCTCCAGCCCCCCCATTAGCAGCCAGAACCTGCAGTGGATGCAACAGTGCACCGAGAGCGAGTACAAGCGCATCAAGGAGGCAGAGGGAGATCAGGTGCTGTGGGTGGAGGAGACGAGAGAAGGGCTGGAGCATGCAGCAGCTTCTCTGTCAGAGGGGGCAAAGGCTGCCAAGGGTCCTCTGCAGTCAATGAGTAGGGCAGGAGCTTTGGGAAGATTCCCAAAGGCTGGGGAGATGTGGGTGCTGCATACGTAGGCCTTTGCTGCCGTTTGTTTGAGGCCGTTGCCTCCACAGAGAAGCCTCCTGTACTCACCCACAAATGTGCATCACCTTGTTCTCTCATCACAGATCTATGACATATACCTGCCACGGGAAAAACGAACCCGTAGGGCCTTGCTCATCTGCAACATCAATTTTGAGCACTTAAGCAAGCGGGACGGGGCTGAAGTGGATGTGAAGGAGATGACAAAGCTTCTAGAAGGGCTGGGCTACAATGTGGAGTGCCATAAAAACATAACTTCCCAGGTAAAGGAAGTTGCAGAGACCTTTGTGTGTAATGGAGATGGGGGGCTCAGGGCAGACATGGCTGTGAGGGATCTCTGACACCACAAGAACAATTCTGTCCCCAGTGGCAGTGGCTCCTGCTCACAGCTGGCAGCTGGATCTCCACACAGCTGGTTGCAGGTGGCTGATGCCCCTTTTTCATGTTGTTTTGCAGGAGATGGTCACAGTCATGAAGAAGTTTGCAGATCACAAAGATCATGAGACCTCTGACAGCACCTTCCTGGTGTTCATGTCACATGGAGTCAGTACTGGGATCTGCGGGACCAAGAGTAATGGGACCACAGACATCCTCTCCTTCAGCACCATCTACGAGAATTTCAACAACAAGCATTGCAGGGCACTGGTGAGCAAACCCAAAGTGGTTATTATCCAGTGCTGCCGTGGAGGTGAGTGCTGCAGGGTGCATGCCAGGTGAGCAAGTCAGTCAGGCTCACCTGGAGCATAGGCTGGGTTTGGGGCACCCCATCACTGACGGCTGGCCCTACCTTCCTAGACAACATAGGATCTGTGCTGATATGCGACTCCATCGACCCTGAGATGCCCACTTCCACCTCGGACGGCGTTAGGTCTGTACAGCTGCAAGGTCCTAAAATCAGAGAAACTCACCTGGAGAGTGATTTTGCCACTTTATATTCCTCCACACCTGGTAAGCAATTCCACAGAGAGAGTTCTCCTGTCTGAAGGAAGGCAAGGGGGCAGGACTCCCATTCCCTATCCCATCAGTTTCTCCTACATCTCCTTCTCAGGGTGGGTTGACAAGGTCCCCTCCATTTGGTGGCCTGGCATGCATTGCTCAGGCATTGCTCCAGCAGCCTCTGGAGAGTGCAGCATCCTCCCAGTGTCAGAGTACACAGCCACTCCAACCCCAGATCCCTTTCTGGGTGAGTGCTACCAAGGCTAGAGTTCTGTGCCTTCGCTCCAGCCTGTGCTCCTGCTCCTGCCCATTTATCTCACTGTAGTGGCTAGCTGAGGAAAGTTGTTTTCTCCTGTGGAAAGTTTGGCTAGGTCACAGATGGCTCCAGGCCGTGCAGACATGCATGCACTGGGAGCGTGGCTGGGAGCAGGGAGAGCGGGGAAAATATCACACCCAGCATTCCAGGAAAGCTCTGTTCTTTTCCCATTCTTCATCCTGTTGGTCAGGTGGGCCATCTACAAAGATCTCAGGTGTCTTAGTCTCCTGCTCTAGCACCCTGTGTTGATTGCTGCTGCCATGGGGAACACCAGTGGAATGACACTTAGCATCTTCTGTTTCCCCAGATACTGTCTCCTGGAGATGCCCAAAAAAAGGTTCTTTTTTTATCCAGAGACTGGTGGAGCAGTTTCGAAGCCATGCCTTTAACAATGACTTACAGGAGATGTTCCGAAAGGTGAGGCTTTGTAGTTAAATGCAAATACAGCCATGCCAACAGGTAGAGATGCTGCTGCAAGAACAGGGGCCTACTCGCAGCTCTGGCCAGAACAGGCTTTACTCTGCAAACCTGGGGAGCAGGCTGTATCCTAAAAGGGCCCAGGTGTTCGGGTTTCATTCTTTATGGGGATCAGTGTCCTGCCACGGGGCGGGCACGTGACAGCCTGCTGGGTTGGTGCAGCCCATGGCTTCATTTGCACCAACTCACCTTCCTGGGGATGCCCTGCACTGCAGCAATGCTGGAAAGGAAATTGCTTTCATACTCCTATGCTCTCTTTCTGTCTCACTTCAGGTCCAACGTTCCTTTGAAAACTTTCCTCGGCAGTTGCCAACACAAGAGAGGACTACAATGCTCAAGAAGTTCTATCTCTTCCCAGGCCTCTGATCTCCTGCCCATGGTGAGTTTTTCCACTTCAGTCCTCTGCAACAGCCTCTTCTTTGTGCTCCACACCTGGTACTTTGTCAGTGGGCAGGAACAATTCCTCATCACACTTTGACTCCAGAGCACACAGCTCGGGCTTTATGTCCCAAGGACTTATGCGCTGCGTACAGGGGCCGGACTCCCCATCTCCTGCTGGCTCTAGAAGATGGGTGCTTGAGGAAGTCATTGCAGCAACCTGTGTCTCAGGAGCTTTTTTTTGTTCTAACATTCTCCATGGATTAAAAAAAAAAAAAAAAAGACACGGACAGAGAAAGTGTTTGAATTTGGGAGTAACACAGCAGAAAGCTCAAGCTCAGGGAATGCAGTGGTGCTGCAGAGATGTACTTCGGAAAAGGAAATGAAAAAAATAGTCCAAAAGCAGCTCTGCAGAAACAGTGAATCTCTAAACCAGCTTCTTTTGCTTCCTCTGCTAGGCAGCTACAGAGCCAAAACAAAACAGTCTTCAGTCTTCTCTTCCTCCGTTTTGAGGCCTCTGAACAACCTCAAACTGACCAAATTCTTGCTAGGGAGCAGCAAAGATACTCAGCAATAGAACATTACGCACACACCTGGAGAACCACCCCAACAAAGGCTGTGAAGCAAGCATCTCCCCATTTGTGACAGATAACATCTGTCACTCTGAGAGCCACTTCTGCCCTGTTTCTGACTCGTTGACTAATAAAAGGATTAGAACATGAAAGCACCTCTCCTCTGCCTCTAGCCTCTGGTGATGGGTGATGGGCCAGCAGCAGCTGCTGTGTTGTCTTCTTGGGGACAGCTGAGAACAGACAGGAGGTCATGAATTGAATTGAGGGAGGAGGGGGCAGCCAGTGTGGGGGGAGGCTGGGCTCCTAGAGAACCCACTACTGCTTGGTGTGCATCTTCTCTCTGTGCTGGTGGGACAACCTGCACTGTTTTCTGCCTCTTCCATCCCTCCTCACCCAGAGCTGTGTTAGAGCTACACTTTGTCCTTGCAGCAGTGCTGCCCCATGCCCTGGTGTCCCTGCCTATCTCCTGTTTTTGCCCCGTGTGCTCTCCTGGTTCTCATCTTCTTGGGATGAACCTGGAGAGAAAGTGAACGCAAACCCCTTCCATATGCAGGCCCCAAGCCTGCCCAAAGCAGAGCAGGGTGGGTATCCATGCTCCCACCACTCCTTCCTCACAGCTCCCTTCTGCAGCACATGGCATGGCCTTTCTCAGGAGGCAGCTTCCTCCATATCCTCCCGCTGCCTTGGAGGTGGTGGAAGGATGTGATTCCCCGTCTGGGAGCTACGAAGGATCCTTCGGTCAGAAATTCCCAGTGTCACTGTGCTGTAGCAGTGTTTACCCCACAACACGGCTCTCAGGTAGCTGTCCCCTGTGGGGCATCCTGCCCCCATGCACTGTGACAGCCCCCTCTTGTCCTTTCCAGCGTAACCACGGCCTTTGTGCTTGCAGAACCTCCTGGTGCACAGACTGCCAAACTCATTTCTGGAATGTTCTTAAGAACTGAGCTCCTCCTTGGGAGGCGGGGAGGTGAGGCAAGCACATAAAAGGCAAAAGAATTATGCAACATTTCTGGATCTAAGGGTGGTGGCTCTCTCTTTTCTATCTTTGTCTGTTTCTCTTTCAAGTTGTATGCGAATGTAATCATTAGCTTACTGCTAATAGGGTATTTCTTATGTAGCACCAATAATTATGTTTCTCAGGCAAATATGAAGCTACCTTTTGGCTGAATAAAATTGTTAACTATTGGTTAGTGTTGATTCACCTTAACTGACCCCAAGGCGATTTCAAACCTTGTGTCATCCATACATTAGCTAGGGTTACTCAGAGTTGAGGCCTCACAAACTCTGAGGGGTTCTCCAGGCTCCCTGTGAACAGCCAGGTCCATCAGTGGATGCTCCCCGAGTACCTTTACATCAAAAACACAAAGGGACTTCAGGTGCTGTGAAAAACACAACTGCTCAGCACGGGTCTGTTCCCTGTGCTGGTAGGACATGGACTGCTCTGTTTTCCACCTCTTCCATCCCTCCTCACCCAGAGTGTGTGAGAGCTACACTTTGTCCTTGCAGAAATGCTGCCCCATGCCCTGGTGTCCCTGCCTATCTTCAGTTTCTGCCCTGTGTGCTATCCAGGTTTCCATCTCCTTGGGATGAACCTGAAGAGAAAGTGAATGCAAACCCCTTCCATATGCAGGCCCCAAGCCCAAAGCAGAGCAGGGTGGGTATCCATGCTCCCACCACTCCTTCCTCACAGCTCCCTTCTGTAGCACATGGCATGGCCTTTCTCAGGAGGCAGCTTCCTCCATATCCTCCCGCTGCCTTGGAGGTGGTGGAGGGAAGTGATTTCCTCTGGAAGCCATGAAAGACCTTTAAATCTGCCTCTAACAGCACAGCTGGCACCTCCCACCACTGTCCCCTCCAGTAAGCCAGAGCCTTTTCCAGTGCCTATGAGTGCTCCCCTTGTCCACAGCCACATCCAAACCATTCCCTGCCTTGGCATAGATTCAGGTTTATTGCAAGTGCTCCAAATCACTGTCAGCTCCACCACCAGGTGATAAGGTGGTACGAAAAAGAGAGGGCTCCCCTGCCCCCTCCTTGTGTACAAAGCACTTGGGTGCATGCAGGCCATATCCTTGGCCAATGCCACCCTGTGTCCCTGGGAGGTGGCAGGAGGGTTGGGCCTCTGCTCTGGCTCCATGCAAGCAGGGATGGGAAATGTCCTCAGACCGCAAAGGTGGCAGCTACTCTGGGCTGATCCTCTCCTTGCTCTGCCCAGAGCTCCTTGGGTCCCATGTGGTGCTTGCAGAAACACTGGTGGCCAGCACTATGGTGATGACAAGAAATTGAGGACAGCAGTGATGAACTCTTCAAACTTGTCTTGATGGACTATGTGGCCTGCGCCTTCGATGAACTGGACATCTGCTTTGGGGAAGAGGCGCTGGATCTCTGGGTAGTCTCTGGAGCTGCAAGACAAGGGAAAACAGCATGAGAAGTGTGGTCAGAGGTACACCCAAATGCTTTCCTCCACCTCCTGAAGCAGAGTCTTAGGTCTGACCTTCGTCACTGCTAGGAAAGCCTGGGGCTGCCCTCAGGCTCCACCTCATTCTCCAGCACATCGGTGTCACTGGCTGCTGGAGGTACAGAGCTCACTCCAAGGCCTTCCCTACCTCAGTGCTTCCTCCCAGCCTCAATAGCTGCAGAACGGTACAAGGAGTCAGACCACAGACTTTGAACAGTTTGTCTTCAGTCTCACCTGATATAGGGCGATTTGGATCCTCCCAAAAACAATGCAGGGCCTGGATATGGCTTGTGGAAGACAGGGAAGCTCATGATATCTGCAAAGTGATGGGAAATAGCATCCAGGTTCACTCTCCAGATGTAGCGGCCCTCCACCTCCACCAGGTTGGTGAGAAGAAACTGTCTCAGCTGAGGGTCCTGCCACAAAAGGGGAATGTGCTACTGGATCACATATACTTCACTGAGAGCAATGAATCCTTGGGATGTCCCACCCATCTCACAGCTCATGCATGTCATGTTCCCCAGTGCCCCTGCAGCCTCTGTGACCCAGCTGCCCAGGTCAGGATTGAGCTGGCAGGAATTAGGGTCCCAGGAACAGGCTAGGGGCAGAAGCCCCTTTCTAGGAGAGGGATTTCCCCACCTGGACCACGGAACTCAGCTGATTGTCAGCCAGCTGGCGGGCTGCAGAGCGGGACAGACCGGCCGGGATGTTCACTGACTTCATGGCAGAGATGTAAGCAGGGAACTCGGAGATAAGCGTGGTTGAGGTAGGACTGATGTCTACGGAGATAAGACGTTCCACCAAGTCTGGCTGGGGACACAGACAGAGCAGACTGAATGCTAGCTGAGATCTCCCAGCCCTGCTCTGAACAGTGAGGCCAGGCACAGCACCCTGATCCCAGCAAGGCTCTCTGAAGGCTTTTAGCTCCCTCCTGCCCTAGCAGATAGCTCCACAAACCCTTCCTTGAAGTCTTACTTCCCTGCACCTCCGTACATGAGACCTCTGAGCTCCTGTGCAATTGGTGCCAGAGTGGCGGGCTGAAAGCAGAGCCCTGCAGCCCAGCTCACAGCTCTGAGCAGGACAGTGCAGGGCATAGCCACTCACCATGGGCTCGTGGCTGCATCAGCACTGCCCTTCTCAGCACCACCTCCAACACTCACTGAGCCTCATCCCACCACCAGGACCCCCAAACACCCACCCGCTGCAAGGCCAGCACCATGGCCGTCTTGCCACCCATGCTGTGTCCCACGAGGATGCACTTGTCGATGCCCCGCTGGGTCAGGAGGTGCTGCACGTCCAAACTCATCGCCTCGTACGTCATCAGTGGGCTGTGGGGGCTGCTGCCGTGGTTGCGTGCGTCCAGTGTGAGCACCTGCCCAGCCAGGGGACACTGCATCACCTGGGGCCGGGCACTGCTCGTGGCCCCCAGACCTGTGGGACTGCCTGTGAAGCCGGGGCTCTGCGGCTGCCCCCCGTGGCCTCACCTGGCCGCCAACACGCCGCACCAGTGCCTTGGCCACCGTCTGGAAGTTGCCGTGGTTGCCGAAGATGCCGTGAAGCAGCACCAGGGGGGGGCGCGTGCCTCGGACTCCAACCTCGGCGTGGGCCAACGGCACGGCCCTGCGGGGAGAGAGGGCGGGGCTGGGAGCAGCGAGGGGGCGGGGCTACGCGAGGGGGCGGGGCCACGGAACGGCAGGCGCGGGCTGGGGGCGGGGCTGCGCGAGGGGCGGGGCTACGCGAGGGGGCGGCGAAGAGCCCGGGACCTGAGGGGAGGGGCCCACCGAAGGGGGCGGGGTTAGAGCCGAAGCTGGGGGGCGGATAAAGCACAGCTCCTCCTCGCGGGACCACCACCCCTCCTGCCCCCGCCCATAGCGCGGACGGGCCCTTACGTTACGGCGGAACGGGCTGCGGGAGGCGGGCGGAGACCTCGTGGCGAGCCCAGGGGCAGGCGACGGAGCATGATGGCGGCGGGCGGGCGAGCGGCGCGCGGCCGTGACGTAATGGGAAGCGACCGCGCCCCGCCGTTAGCCGCGTGCGCCCCCTGGCGGCGGGAGGCTCTTGGGCGGACTGCAGGCGGCGCCGTGACTCAGCGACACGGGCTGCGAGCGGGGAGACCCGGGACGGAACGGCACGCGGGTCGTGCCGTGCAGTACCCTGCCGTGCAGTTCCGTGCCGTGCCGTGCGTGCCCTTCCCCGCACAGTCCCGCACTGTGCTTGAGCTCACCCCAAATCCCGGTCCCCCCGGGGAGCTCTGATGCCACGTGAAGGCTGCAGCGCTGTGGCTGTGTGCCCACATCCCGGCACAGGGCACGGGGAGCGGGCAGGAGCTGCGGGGCACCCAGAGCACAGCCAGGCACAGGGACATCCCCCCCTTCTCCCCGTTCCTTCTGAGGCATCGGCCGCCCCCAACGCCCTCATCCCACGGCCCCCGCCCGGCACGTGGTGCTGCGGGCACTGCGCTCCGTGTGCCACCACTGCCGCCAGAGAGCCGACATGGGAAGGGGGGGGAGGGCAGCCCTCAATGGTCTCCTTGTGCTTCACTGGCAGCAAGGTCACCACCCGTCTGCGTGTGGCCCAAGGCCAGGGCAGGCCCCGCGTCCCGGGGAGCCCCAGGCCGGCCCCAGCAGGGCCGCTCCGCTCCGGCTGATCCTTATCGGGGCGGCCATGTGCGCGGGGCCGGAGGGAACCTGAGCCGACCCCCCCTCACCCCCCCCGGCGGACCGCCAGCGTGAGCCGCCCGCGGGGCCGTCGAGCGGGGAGCGGCAGAAGCAGCTGCTCAGCCCTGCCTCTCGGCTGCGATTTTCTGACAGCGGTAGCGAGACGGCCTCGGGGGCCGGGGAAGGGGAGAGCGGGAGGCGGCGATGCACCTGCGGCTTTGTCCGTGCTCGCTGGAGCGTGGCGGGGAAGGCGGGGGCCGTCCGGAGCCGGGCAGAGCTGCACCGTGCTGCCGGACCGGGAACGGGCGGTGCGGGCGTTGTGCAATGCGGCCTCGCCCCTGCTTTTACGGGGGGGAAAGAGCCGGTCTTCGCCGCCGGAGTGCCAGACTTTGTACCGAGCGGCAGGGAGTGCCGATGGTGGGACGTCAGCTGGGCAGCGGCTGGAATCCTGCGGCCCGGAGCCCCCTGCGTGGGGCTGGGAGGCGGGCAGACGGGGAAGGAGCCGAGAGGGGCTGGTGGGAAAGGTGTGGAGATGCCCATCCCCAGTCCGCCGTCAGTCCCGGTGCCGCCCCGCTCCTTGCGTGGGGACAGCTCTGTGCTCACGGCCCCGTTTGGGGGGGACGGAGGGGTCCTCTCCACTGCAGCACGTTCCCATTGAGGCTCCAGGGCTGGCGTTGTCCTTGCTCACGATGCTAATCTGCCCCACTCTGCCTTCCTGTGGGGCCGAAGCCATTACCTCCCCAGATGGCTCTCACCCTCCGTTTCCCCCCATCCTGTCGAGGGGTCCAAGGACACATGGATACCAAAACAGGACTCGTTTATTGACAAATGTAACTTGTACAGACCACGCGTAACAGGGAGAGAAGGTGCCCGGCCGGCGGGGGGGGGGGCGGGGGGGGGGGGGCCGGCGGGGCAGGGCGGGGGGACACGGAGCTTCCTCCTGGCGCTGCTGCGCACAGCTCTCCTGGCAACCCGAAACCGGCTCTGTTTACATGAAACCGTCGGTATTGACACAGCCGCCCGCCCGGCTCCCGCTCACACTGCCCGGCCCTGACCCCGGCACCGATCCCATCGCCCCCCCCGTCATTCCCCTGCCTGCTCCCACCGGGGCCGGGCATCCTCGGGGACGGGAGCTCTCTCCCCGGCCCGCGGGGCGGAGAGTCCCCGACGGTGCCGGTTCCGGCGGTGGGGCTGGAAGTGGGCGCAGGAGCTGCCGAGCCCCCCGTAGGGCTGGGCCGGGGGGATGCGGGGGCTCACACATAGTTCCTCTTGTCGTAGCTGGTAACGGCGGAGCGCGGGGCGGAGTAAGCCACCTTGCTGGGCGCGTACCTCTCATCTTTGGGGGGGCAGGAGCAGCAGAGCAGGGCCCCCCCGAAGAGCAGCAGCGCGGAGGCCGCCCAGCCCACGTAGAGAGACGTGCCCAGCTCCCGCTTCTGAGCGTCGATCACCAGCGGGTTGTAGAAATCCCGGATGATGGTGTTGGCCGACCAGGAGACGGGGATGAGGGTCATGATGCCGGAGAGCAGGAAGATGACGCCGGAGACGATGGTGATCTTGGCCTTGGTGGTCTCGTCCTCCACGCAGCGCGTGCACTGGGCGCCCACGATGGCCACCATCAGGCCCAGCACGGCCAGCACGATGGCCACCACCAGCAGCGCACGGGCGGCCTGCAGGTCCTGCGGCAGGGCCAGCATGGAGTCGTACACCTTGCACTGCATCTGCCCCGTGCTCTGCACCACGCAGTTCATCCACAGCCCTTCCCAGATGATCTGCGCCGTCACGATGTTGTTGCCGATGAAGGCCGTCACCCTCCACATGGGCAGCGCGCAGCAGATGATGCTGCACAGCCAGCCCAGCACCGACAGGGTCACCCCACCGATCTCCAGCCCCATAGACATGGTGTCCGGCTCCCAGGCGATGGCAGAGAGGAACCCACTGACCGAAACCACCCCGTGCTCCGCTCGCTGCTGCAGCCGTGGGGATCGGCTTACACCTGGGTGCACCTGTGCTTATAAGGGCTGGCGGGGCCGGGGCCGGGCTGCGCTCGCTCAGCGCCCGCCCGGGGTGGGGTTTCTCCACCGGACGCTCCTCTCCACTGGCTCCGTCGCCGTGTCCCACACCCTCCCCTTTGTTTGTGGAGATGGCGCAGCGGAGGGAGGGGGAGAGCCACCTGAGATGGCCACTGCAGCACAGGCCTGGTTTTGGGGCGTGGGGTGGGATGGGTGCCGTCGTCGCAACCCGATGAGATGGAGGGCTGTGGTGCACGGCCAGAAGCTGCCCAGCTCTTGGCTTGCTGTGTGCCCCGCTGCCCACCTGCACCTCAGTGCCCTTTGGGAACCCGCGGCCACCGCTGACCCCTCCAGCCTTCTCTAAAGGCAGCAGCGAGAGCTGAGAACCCCTTGGCTTCACACTGGTAGTGCTGGAGGTGGCCAGGGATGGGGGCTGAACCCCCCACCAGGCACAGAACAACGTGGCACAACGCAGAACAGCATGCTCTCCAGCAGGGATGCTGTAGGTCACAGCCTGTTGTATTTCTGGAGTGCTTTATCAGATCTCACGTTTAACATAGTGTCCAAAAGAAAGGCAGTTTATTTAAGATTACGGCCTTGTCGGTATTTTTATCTGCACGCAGATTGCTCCTTATCTCGCCGTGGCTCAGCGAGAGCAGGGAGCACTCGGGCACCTTTGCATCACCGTGCAAAGTGCAGCCCCTTCACCTCTCCACGACGTGCCCTGTCCTGCTGGCCCTGTGCAGCCCCCCGCCCCACACAGCCCCCAGCCCACCCACACCCACCTGTCCCCTCCTGTCCCCTCCCTTCTTCTCCTGTCCCCTTCTTCCCGTCCCTCTCCCCCCCCGCCCCGTTCCCTCCTGTGGGACGTGCAGTGCTGGGTGTGTCTACGGGAATCCCCAACCAGGTGATAAATGTCTTTACTCATCGTGCTCAAATATTTTGTCCTTGAAGGAAGCAGACAGAGCACGTAATGCTCCCACAGTGTCACCCCATCCGCCTGGCTCAGTGGCAGCAGGAGAAGGAAAAACAAGGCATGTGTGAGCTGACCCTGCCAGCGATCCCATCCTGGGGGGCAGCGTCCCCCCAACGGGCCCTCTGATCGAGCAGGGTGCTGCTGTGTGTGGCCATCCCCCCCAGCTCTGCACGGCCAGAGCGCTGCAGGTATTTCAGCCCCCACCCCAGGAATGCATTTGCCCCCTGCTCTTGGTGGATGGGTGCCTGCAGGCATGCTCCAGCCTGTTCCTGGCCACTGCAGAGGGCTCCCATATAACTCATTAACTGCACTAGAGCACGGTGGAAGAACTGTGGCTGGAGATCCCCCTGCTCAGCCCCCCTGCAGCACCCTGACACCCCCACTCTGCTGGATCAGCTCTGCTGCCCCACGGCATGCCCACAACCTTGGTCTGGGTGCACCCAGCACTGCATTGCACTGCAGCACCCCATGCCCGGCCCTGGCTCCCTGTGGCATCCTGCCACCTCACTGCACCCCGTGGGGTTGGTGGGCACATGGGGGTCCCGTGGGGTCCCTGTGCAAGCAGAACCCCAGGGGCTCACACCAGGTGAGGTGCTGCTGGGGAGTGTGCCCAACCATCCCGAGGATGGAGATGAGGCAGAGCAAACTTCGGGGTGCACAGGCACTGGGTGCACAGCAGATGCTGCACACACACCCAAACACACCCCCCCTGCTGGCTGGGATGCACAGACACAGCTGTGCAGACAGACAGGGAAAGGCACAGGTGCACAGGTGCACACATGCGCAGACCAGCACACGCAGGTGCTCATAGGCACACAGAAATACACAGAGACACAGTCAGACAAAGAGAAAGGCACAGGTGCACATACACACAGGGAGGTACACATAGACAGACAGACAGGCGCAGCAGATGCACAGACACACGGCTGCGCGCACACTTGGCACACACATAGGAGGATACCTGTGGGGAAATGTGCACAAGCAGACGTACTCACCGGTACACCTGAGAGCAGACAGGTTCACACATATGGCAGCACAGACAGAAGAGGAACGAAAGCACAGACTGACAGGTGCACAGACACACACGCACAGAGGGGCAGGGGAAGGACCTGGGGCAGGGGATGTCCCACGTAGTGCTGTGGGGCAGGGGCACGGGAGCGAGGTGACGGCTGCCCTGCAATCAGCCCCCACGCGCCGCGCCGCCTCCCCACCCCATCATCCCAAATTGCCCAAAGTACAGGCTGTTTGCACGCCGTGCCGCCGGCCTGGGGCAGCAGCAGCTGCCTGACTCACAGCAGAGGAAGGGGCAAATCACCGGGGTTTCGGGGTGCCGGCTGCTGCACGCTTTGGGACGCATTCCTGTGGTGAGGAATGCAGCCTGATGGTGTTTACCCAAAACAGCCACGGGGATGGCAGGCCTATGGGGGTCTCCCGTGCCCCCTGGTGAAGCTGTTCCATTGCAGCTCGGAAGGGAAGCGTCACTTCCAGTGATGGGGACCAGAGGGGCCACACGATGACATGGGGATGGGTCATGACATGAAGGTCAGACCCAAGAGGTGTGTGAGCTTTGTCGTGCTGGTGGCTCTTCTCCATGAGCACCTGCATGGGGACAGCCACTATGGGTGACCCCATCCCCGACCCCATCCCCATCCCCATCCCCATCCCCATCCCCATCCCCATCCCCATCCCCATCCCCATCCCCATCCCTTCTCCATCCCGGTCCCCATCCACACGTGCTGTTCGGAGTGCCGGCTGCCCCGGGGCGGGTGACGGCACAGCAGCACCAGCAGAAACCGCCCCGGGCACCGCGGGGCCGCGTCCCGCTCACGTGCGCGGTGCGGCGGGCGCGGGGCATGGGGTGTTCCCCCATGGTTGCGGTCGCGGCGGGGCCGGCGCCTATCCCCCCCAGGGCAGCGAGATGAGCGCTGCTCCCTGCTTATATTTCAGGCGCGGGGCTGTCGATCTGCCCCGGCCAGGGCACACAGACGTCCATTGTTGAAGCCCCTTTGGCGGCGGCGAGGAGCAGGTAAGGCGGCTCCGGCATCAATGGCAGCTCTGTCTGGCGGCGGGGCGGGGACTGCGCTGCGGGGCCTCGCAGGGGGATGGCGGTGCGCCCCACATTGCGGCGTGCTCGGGGCATCCCCACCCCGAAAGGCTCGGAGCGGGCCCGGGTTTTGCTGCGGTGCCGACCCCCGAACTTCGCCTGCATGCGGACCCCTCACAACGTGTCCAACCTGTCACCTTCCTGGGACGTGGCTGCAGGCTTGCACGTCCCTTTGGCTTAGCAGCACTTTTGCCCATTTGGTGCTGCTTTTTGCTCAGTAAGTGGATAGGGGGGTTGTTTTCTTGGTGAACTCCTGGCAGCTGTTCCTTTGCACAGTGCTTTCCATGGGCTCTTGGCTGAGTCTGGAAACCTTTGCTTTCAGGTAGAGAAAAACAACCTTAGTGTGCACATTTCAGCCGGTCAGGGGGGTTTATGTCAGGCACAAACTTTTCGGGAACATTGAGTCTCTGAGGAGCGTGGGTAACTAATCCCTGTGTGCGCCGCGGGGAGCGGCTGCTCAGTGCTGCGCCGGCTCCAGCACAGCCCCTGCTCCAAACCCAGCTCCCTCTGCTCGCCCCATTGGGACCTCGAGGTACGCAGTGTGGTTGTTTGCTCAGAGAGAATGCGGGGTTGAGGGAGAGGGGGAAATGCTGTCCATGTCTGACATGGGGACATCTGCCAGCCCTGTCCCCACAGGTGTCCTTGGCACGGCACAAGGTCAGGTGTGACACAGGTCTTTCTGTGACCCTGTGGTGCTGAGGATCGTGGTGAGCAGTGGCTGCCCGGGTCCCTGTCTCTGCCCTGAAGTGGGCTCAGCACCTTGCTGTGGGGCTGTGGCATGAGCCCCATCCCACTGTGATGAGGGCCGCAGGGTGGGGTGAGCCCCCTGTTTTGGTGAGGAGGGGTTCCTGCTGTCTGCAGGTGGCTGGAATCCTTCAGCTCCATGCGATGCTGCCATCACTGCGCTGTTCCCCGCCGAACCCCACGTCTGTGGCAGTGCTGGGACATGGGGTGCCTGCGGGTCATGGGAAGGGCACGAGGGTTGTTTCTTGGTGGCAGGCACCACTTGGAGGACGTGTCACATTTTGGCTTTAATTATGGTCATCAGCTGTCAAACGGCCATGCTGGCGCCTGCTATAGCTCTGGCATTGCCACACAGAGCATGGCCATGTCTTGCTCCCACCTTGCCATTTGTCCCCAGACCCAGGCATGGCCCCGAGCCCTGCAGGAATACAGCCTACGCAGGGCTGGGCTTTTCCTATGGAGCTGTACACACGTGTGCACACGCCCACTGTAACCCCAAATGACAGTGTGGTTGGTGCAGCCGTCTGCGAGCCCAAGCCACATCCAGCCTGAGGCAGGGTCCAGCCCTGGCACTGTCTCCCCATGGGGCTGCCCCAGGCAGGGGATGCTGTGGGGTGGGTGGGTCCCTGCCACCACCCTGCTGATTACAGGGAGCCCTGAATGCGCTTTGGCTCCACGGTGGGCACGCTGGTATGCCAGCAATGTGGGTGCTCCAGAGGTGTAGATGGCTGGATGGATTGAAGGAGCACCCCAGTGGTGCTCCCCAGACAGCCAACAGGGAGGGCTGCAGCAAGACCCAAGTGTCTCCATTGCCTGGCCTGGCTGGACGCTGGTGTCCCCGGCCATGGTGCAGGTGGCATCCTTGTGGCGTGGACCACGGCATGGACCATGGAGCCGCAGCCACCCCTGGGCTGTGTGTTGCAGCAGGAGCCTCATCTGTGCCCAGAGACACCTGGTGTGCTCAGAGGCAGCTCCAGAGCCCATCATGCTAAACAATTAGCAATTAATTAGCAAGCCACTGTCATGCTTCACCAGCAGGTCTGAGGATGCAGTGCCTGGTGGGGGCTGGCCCCTCTGACCCCACAGGGTTTCCCTGATACCTTATCCACCCGCGCCTGCGTGCTTGGGAAACTGAGATAACCTCGGGCCCTGCTATCATTCCCAGAGATTAAGCCGGAGGGGAGGGGAGGGAGGGGGTGGTGGTGCAATGTCTGTCCTTGTGCTCTGTCTGGCTTTGTGCTGCTCCGTGTACATGCCTGGGGGCTTAGTGGGGGTAATTTGCATTTGCGAGGGGCTGCTGGGCTGGGGGCTGCCCCTGCACACTTCGAGCAGTGCTCTCTCTGTTCCGTGGCAGCTCCGACCGGTTTGTGGGGCTCGGTGGGGAGGTGCCTCCTGCCCGAGGCCGAATGGAGGGATGGGAAGCGCTCACACGATGCCAAGGAACAAACAAGAGGTGCTTGTGCCCTGCCGGCATGGAGCCCAGCACGGGGCTGGCACGGGCCCATGGAGGCAAGGGCAGGAGCTATGGGGAGGAAACAGGCACAGAAGCACAGAGGCATCCGTGCAGGTCATGGAGAAGGAGGTGCTGGGTGCGATGCTGGAGAAATCCCCATCCCGGATGCCACTGTTGTCCTTCAGCACCCCGAGCTGGGCTCAAACCGGGCATCTCCCGCCCGCGGGCAGCGTGCGGCCGTGCTCCTGCTCCTGGGTGGCCTCATCCCGGCCCCCTGCGCCGTCCGTGGGAGCAGCGATTGGGTGTCATGGCCGTGGGGAGAAATGCGAGAGGAGGAATCCTGGGAAACTGGTTCTACCCCTCCGTCCGGTGCTGGCGGGATGGCGGGCGGCGGCGGAGCTCCTCCCTCGGCGAGGGCATATAACGCCCGGCATGGTCCCGGCGGGCGGCACTGCGTGGCGGAGAGCGATGGCCTCCATGGGGCTGCAGGTGCTGGGCATCGCCCTGTCCGTCATCGGCTGGCTGGCGTCCGTCCTCTGCTGCGCGCTGCCCATGTGGCGCGAGACCGCCTTCGTGGGCAACAACATCGTGGTGGCTCAGATCATCTGGGAAGGGCTGTGGATGAACTGCGTGGTGCAGAGCACGGGGCAGATGCAGTGCCGGGTGTACGACTCCATGCTGGCCCTGCCGCAGGACCTGCAGGCTGCCCGCGCGCTGCTGGTGGTGGCCATCGTGCTGGCCGTGCTGGGCACGCTGCTCGCCATCGCCGGCGGCAAGTGCACCACCTGCGTGGAGGACGAGACGGCCAAAGCCAAGGTGATGATTCTCTCCGGCATCACCTTCATCGTCGCCGGCGTCCTCATCCTCATCCCCATCTGCTGGTCGGCCAACGCCATCATCCGGGACTTCTACGACCCGCTGGTGGCCGACTCCCAGAAGAGGGAGCTGGGCTCGTCGCTTTACGTGGGCTGGGCGGCCTCCGCGCTGCTGTTGCTGGGGGGGGCCATGCTGTGCTGCACCTGCCCGCCGCGCGGTGAGAAGCCCTACTCCGCCAAGTACAGCGCGGCTCGCTCGCTGCCGGCCAGCAACTACGTGTAGGGCCGCCGCACCCTGCGGTACGGGGATGCCCCGCGGGGAGCGGGTCTGGGGCCGGGGCGCTGCGGAGGGGATGGAGCGAGGGGGGCAGACAGAGCCGCCTTTGTTCACCGGGATTGGAGCTGGTTCTTTAATCCTGCTGGGATGGGAACAGCGCGCTGCCGTCCTGGCTGCCTGCCCGACAGCTCGGGGGCATCCGCGGCATCTCCTCAGAGGGGACTGGGGGGTGCTGTGCTGTGCCGGGACACTCAATGCGCCGGGTGCTGCCCGGTGACACGCGGCTCCGTGCGGCTCCGACTTGTCCAAACACCACTGCGGAGGACGGGGAGAATCCCCGGGAGATGTCCGTCGAATCTGTCCCGTGTGGCCAGAGGACGCGGTGGCTCAGTGACACACAGCGCGATCTCGAGGGGCGTTTGGTGCTCTTCCCCCTCCGTGCCCCCAGTTCTTACTTTGACCTACTTTCGGGGATCTCACCTCGCTGTAAGCACTTGGGATTTCTCTCTACAGCTCGCCGGGGTGCGGGTATCATTATCCTGGGAGTGGGAAGGCAGCGGCTGGGCTGGGAGAACCGGTCCGGGAGGCGGCACCGGGCTCTGTGCTGCACTTCTTCCATCCATGGGGCAGGAACAGCTGGGGGGCTCGTGGTACCCCCGGTGTGGCAGCACCTGACCCCGTGCTGCAGCCATCCCACATTAAATGGCAGTGCTGCACCCACTGTGCTCCGTTGTCTTTATCTGCTGGCCTCGGTGATGGGGTGACCTGCAGACCCCGTGCCTGGGAACACCAGCATGAAACATCCCAAATCTGGAGGGACAGCCCCAGCCTCCCATCCCCTGCACCTCACCCCTGGCCCTTCCACAGCCGTGCTCCCCTCCCCGGCCACCTGGGAAGGTGACAGTGGGTGGCTCAGCAATGAGATGCCTTTACAGTATTGAGGCCACCCCACACTATCACAGGGCCCCGGGCATTGGGGCCATCGCCCCACGCTGCTCCTGTCTGACCGGCTGCACCGAGCAGGAAGGAGAGGCGGGCGCCAGCAGGACGTGGGGTGTTGGGATGGGTTGGGATGCCCCAGGGCTGCTTGGAAGCACCTTGGGGCTGGTGTGGGTGACAGCAGCACTTTGCCTATCTGCCTTCTGGCCTTGGAACTGTGCAAGTGCACATCTGATGTGTGGCCAGCCCTGGAAACGTCCTTCACGGACACCTTGGGGCATGTGGGGACAGCACACAGTGCCCAGCATGGGGCAGAGGACCTGGACTGTAGGCTGTGGTGCTCACTGGGGACTTTGAGGGCTCCCAGCTCCAGCACTTTGCTGGGATGGGAATGGAAATGGGCAGCCCAAATGTGTTGGAAATGGTGGCAGATGATCTGCAACAGGAGATTGATGATCCGGCTCTGGGATCCACTTGGTCACTGTCTGTCCCCAGTGAGGACATCCAGCCCATGTCCTTATGGCTGTGTGGCATCAGGGGTGGCTGCCCACCATCCCAGCCCTGGCCCCTTGCTTCTCCTGGGGGAGAAGGACATTATTATTAGCCCTAATACTCAGGCTCAGCCAGGTGCCCGACACAGTGCAGTGCCAATGGGTGAGAGGTGCAGGGATGGAGCAGGAGCACAGCCGGGCAGGAGAGGCCACAGAAACCGAAACTGGGAGCAGGAAAACCGTGGTGAAACCTGGAACAGCTGCAGGGTGTGCCAGGTACAGCCGATACCCACTGCCACACCAGGGCCATAAAAACTCAGCTGCTCCCAGTTGTCAAGTGTGGGTCCTGGCCACTCAGAGGGTGCTGTGGGGTCTGTTCTGCATGGGGCCGAGCTTGAGATGAGCCTACAGTCATGGTGTGTTGCTGTGTTTGGTGCCCTGAAGTTCTCCAGCTCAGAGCAGCACCCTATGTCTGCAGTGGCCCTGTCTCTATAGCACCCTGGGAGGTCTGGACCAGCCTTGGTTTGTCAAACATGCTCCTGGTGCTGCTTCTCCAAAGGATGAGGAGCCAGTATCACTGAAAGTGCTGAGCCCTGCAGCTGGTATTGCAGGCAGACCTGGGCTCGTGCCCATTCCCAGAGTCCCAGACAGGAAACTCAAAGGGTCCAAAGAGTACTGCAGTGCGGCCACCAAGGGCAGAGTGCAGCGTGGGGCAGCCATGAGGAGTGCCCTGTGCTGAGGGGACACTTTGGGTGAAAGCAGGATTTGCTTGGGCTCCTGCAGCTCAGCCTCCTCTGGGCCTGGGAGCTCAGTGCAGGACAGGTCCCCATGCAGCCCTGCAGCAATGCTCCATGCAGCACATATCCCTGTGCAGCTCTGCAGCTGTGTGCCATGCAAGAAGTGTCTCTATGTCCTCCTGATGCTCTGGAGCAATGCTCCATGCAGCAATGCTCCATTGAGGACATATCTCCATGCAGCTCTGCAGCAGTGCTCAATTCAGGACCTGTCCATATGTCCCCACGGTGCCCTGCAGAATGCTTCATGCAGGATGTCTCCCCGTGTCCTCATGCAGCCCTGCAGCAACGCTCCATGCAGCAGTGCTCTCCAGGTAGCATATATCTCCATGCAGCTCTGCAGCAATGCTCCATGCAGAATGTGTTCCCCATGTCCCCATGGTGCCCTGCAGCAATGCCCCATGCACGACGCATCCCAGTACGTCCTGCAGCCATTCCCATCCGGGTGGCAGTGGGATGCCTCCGCACAGAGGCACAGCTGCTGTGAGCAGCTCGGTGCCCACATGTGTGATGTGATGGCTGTGCCTGTCCCCACAGGTGCTGATGGCGACGATGACGATGCAGCTGGGCGGGCTGGTGCTGGCCGTGCTGGGCTGGCTGGGCTCCATCCTCACCTGCGCGCTGCCCATGTGGAAGGTGACGGCCTTCATCGGTTACAACATCGTGGTGGCCCAGGTCTTCTGGGAAGGGCTGTGGATGAACTGCGTCTATGAGAGCACGGGGCAGATGCAGTGCAAGGCGTACGACTCCCTGCTGGACCTCACCTCCGACCTGCAGGCCGCCCGCGCGCTGGTGGTCACCTCCATCATCGTGGCCTTCCTCGGCCTCCTCACCGCCATCTCGGGGGCCGACTGCACGCGCTGCATGGAGGACAAGAGCTCCAAGGGCCGCGTTTCCATCGTGGCAGGGGCCATCTTCGTGCTGGCCGGCATCGTGCTGCTCATCCCCGTCTCCTGGTCTGCCAACAGCATCGTCACCAACTTCTACAACCCCATGGTTCCCGAGGCCCTCAAGAGAGAGCTGGGGGCTGCCCTGTACATCGGGTGGGCCTCCAGCGCCCTGCAGCTGTTGGGTGGGGGTATCCTGTGCTGCTCGGGGCCACCCGTGGAGCGGGACCACTACCCCAAGTCATACCGTGCGGTGAAGGGCTGTGGCCCCATGGGCTACCCCATGAAGGACTATGTGTGAGCTGCCCCAGCTAGGCACCAGCCCTTGGGCACAGCACCACGGTCCCCAGCCCCCCCACATCCCACATCCCCTGCTTGCACACCGTGTCCCCATGCCAGCTGTGTCCTCCCTGTGCTTTGCCCTTCCTGCAGGCTGGTGACAGCATGTGGCCTCGTCCCGCTGCCCTACTGGGGCACTGCTGCTGCTCCCAGCTCTATAAAGGTCTTGGTGCCACTAAGGCTGCCTGGGCTCATTTTGAAGCTGTGTTGTGACACTTCCTATGTCTCTCACACCTCCGTAGGCAGCAAAAGGGCTTACTGTGCCATCACCCACCATGTCCCTGTGCCCCCTCACCATCCCACAGGATGGCCCTTCACATAGGAATCACACACCTTAATCATGCAGTGCACATAGGGTTTATTCATTAGCCAAGCACGGGACAGGGACAGCCACAACCCCTGGCCACTCAGCTCAGGGGCAGTGCTGGGGATAAAGGAACAGTGCCTGTGACACCGAGGGGAGGCAGGGGCTGGCACCACAGCACCGTGACATGGTGAGACAGTGCACACCAGAGCCCAGCCAGGGGGGATGATGTGTGCTGGAGACAAAACGCATTCAGCACATCCAGCCTGGGGTGCTTGGATGTCCCAAAACTGTGGGCTCAGCTCCTGCAGTGGTGGCACCGAGGCGGGTGCAGAGCCACTGCTCTGATGGGGTGAGTTTCCATGTGAAGGAAATCACAAATCACATGGATGGATGCTCTTCACATCCATGGGAATCCGACAAGCAGCAGCAGGTCTGTGGGAAGGAAAACAAAAAGATTCCAGTGGGAGATTTGGGTAAAAAACTTCCCAAGGAAGCAGTGGAGGAGGAAAGGGTGGAGGCACCACGCGAGGGGCACAGGGAACAGGATGGGCAGGAGATGCCGGGTGGCTCCAGGGTGGGGAACAGCCACCCTGAAGCCTCTTCCAGGTTCATTTCCCACCCAGCCCATTAGCTACAAAGCCATAGGAAAATGAAGGCTTAAGCAGGCAGGATGAAAGGTTGACGGTGCTTGAAAACTTCCCTGGGCGGGCGTCGTGCTGTCACACTGCTCCTGGTGCGGTCAGTCTCTGCCACCTCGGTGTGCAGGGTGTGGGGGGTCACTGCAGGACACAGAACAACCCCCCCAGGCACGGAGCTGGGATCTAGAACAGGGGTGATGGGGCAGGATCCAGGGGGTGACCGTGGCCGTGAGGGAGGTGGACACTGTGAGGACAGGGGTAGCTCTGCGGCGGTGTCACAGCACGGACCGGAACCGAGGTGCTGGGAAGGAACCCTGGTGTTTGAGCCTGGTGCCAGGAGGGGGTGGTACGGCCATCGGACGGGGGACACCCGCGGGGCGGCACAGCACCAGGCACTGCGCCGGGCCCCTTCAAGGTGTCTCAGCCCTCCTCGGGGGGCGGGACGGGGCACTTGCGGTAGATGTAGATCACGCCCGAGATGTAACCGCTGCCCCGGACGTTCTCCTCCTCCTCGGAGGTGGCCCTCTCCCAGCGCGGCACCTCTTGCACCAGCACGCGCTGCCACGCGCCCTTCTGCTCCAGCTGCTGCAGCGCGGCCTCCAGCTCCGCCCGGTACCGCCGGTTCGAGGGGTTGCTGCGGGTGGTCAGGCACAGGAAGCCCCCTGCCGACGGCGGATGGGTGACAGCCGCCTGCGGTGCCGCGTCACCCCGGGGTGCAGCCGGCTCGCTCCTAGCCGGGACGCGGGGCCGAGGCCTCGTCCCGTCGCCGGAGGTCAGCGCGGGGACGCCGCCTCACCTGCCCTGGTGACGCGCAGCAGCTCCGGCAGCGCCGAGCTCGGCACCTGCCCCTCGCCCAGAGCCCCCACCAGCGTCACGGCGTCGTAGTGCTCTGCGGGGCGGGCACGTCAGCCACCCGCGGGGCGCATGTGGTGTCACCGCTCCCGGTGCCGGCCGTTACCTGCGGGCGCGGGCAGCGGCTCCCGGCCCAGCTCGCAGCGCTGCAGCTGCCGGTACAGCCCGGTGCCCCGCGCCAGCTCCAGCATCCCGGCGCTGCCGTCTACGCCGTGCAGGCGGCGGAACCCGCGGCGGTACAGCTGCGGGACGGACGGACGGACGGGAGGATGAGAGAACCGCTCGGCTCGTCCCGTCCCGTCCCGTCCCGTCCCGTCCCGTACCTCCCGCGCTACGAGCCCGGTGCCGCACGCCACGTCCAGCACCCGCGCCTCGGCGGGCGGCGAGGAGAAGGCGAAGGCGAGCGAGGCAGCGGCCAGGTACGGCGCGCGGTACTCCAGCGCGGCCACATCCTGCTCGTAGCGCCCGGCCCAGCCGTCGTACAGCCGCAGCAGCTCCGACAGCTCCGCACCGCCGTGCACCGCCGCGACGCGCTCCCGCACTCCCGCCGCCGGCTGCATCGTAGCCCCGCCCTTCGCCCCGCCCCTCGCCGCTCCATTGGCTTAGCGCTCCGCCCCGGGGCCGCCTGCCGCCGTCTCATTGGTTAGCAGCAGGGCGGAAGGCACGGCCCCAAGCTCCTGATTGGCTGTCGGCGCCCGGCCGCTGTCGCGCTCCGTTAGGCAGAGGGCGCGACCAAGTGCGGCTGCGGGGGGCAGCGGGGAAGTGCGCCGGGGGGACGGACCGAGTGCTGGGAATGGGGGCACGTGAGCAAACGGGGCAAAAACCAGAGATGGCAGCGAGCGCCCCGGGGAGGACACCGGGTGCCGGGGGTGGAGTGACACCAAGGGCCTCCTGGTTAGAGAGTGCTTTCAGGAGGAGAGGTGACACTCAGTGCCGTGAGGCTGTGCCCCGACGGGTGACCCGGAGTCCCGGGGAGGTGACACGCAGCTTTCCCGGGGGTCACTGTGTGCCCCGGGTCTCTGCGGTGTTCACAGGCACATCCCGTGCTGCTGGTGCTGCGGCAATGGTGCTGTTTGTGTGGCATCGTCCCTTTGTGTCACTGTGTCTTCTGCACAGTGCTCCTGGGACAGCTCACCTCCTGTCACCACCCCCACGGCTCCGGTCCTGCACTGTCACCTCCATCTCACCTCTATATCTTCTGCCTGCACAAGGCCATGTTCCTCTGTCACCGCCAGGACGTGTCCTGTCCCATGCTGGCGCAGGTGACACCGTGGTGCTGAGCGGCTCCCAGCCCTCGATAAGGTTCTGCATCCCCTGACACACGTACACCCCTGGCTGCCCATGGGAGCAGGGTGCGTGGTCACAGTGTGAGGTCTGAGGATGGAGGAGGGTCTGAGGGGGAGCAGCCTCGGGGGGCTGTGAGCAATCACTGAACCATTAAGGTTCTTTTCTGTGAAAAGACCTCTGAAGTCATCCAGTCCAACCCCAACCCATCCCACCATGCCCACTGCCCACGTCCCTCAGTGCCACATTTCGGGAACACCTCCAGGGTTGGTGACCACACCACTCCCTGGGCAGCTGTGCCAGATTACTGAGTCTGAACGTTTCCTAAGACCCAACCTGAACCTCCCCAGGAGCAGCTTAATGCCTCTCATCCTATCGCTGTTACCTGGGAGCAGAGGCTGAGCCCCATCCCCACCAGCTCCTTTCAGGCAGCTGTAGGGAGCAGTGAGGTCTCCCCTGAGCCTCCTCTGCTCCACACTGACCCATCCCAGCTCCATCAGACGTGTGCTCCAGAGCCCTCACAGCTCCGTTCCTTCTCTGGACACACTCCAAGTCTCTCTGCTACAGAGGGGCCCCGCACAGAGCCGCGGGGCTCCGCCCCCCATTCCCCTCGGTGGGCGCGGGCAGTGCAGAGCGGGGACCTCGAGAGGGAGCCCTCCGCCCGCGCTCAGCCCCGCGCCGGGCACTGCCCGCCTGGCCGATCGGCGGGGCGGTGGGCTGCAGCACTCAGAGCAACCTCGTGGCTCCTCGCATCCCCATGAGGTGGCCTCGAGGTGACAGAGCGGACATGTGGGGCTCGGGGCTCAGGGGTGGGCTGCTGCCCGGTGACCCTCGTGCCGGACGTTGTCACTTCGTCCCCTCTCTGCTCACGGCTCCCATCCCTCACCCCGGGCGGGTGGCTCTCCTGTTGACACCGCATTTTGGAGCCGCTTTCCCGCACCGAACATCATTTTCCCCGGCCCCGACACGCGTGGATCCGCTCTGCAATTTGCCGGCGCTTTTCTAAACATCGTGTTCCCGGGGCTGGCGCGCACCGAGTGCTGTGCACAGCTGTACAAACAGCTCCTGCTCCCCGCAGCTTTGGGCTGGATTTGGCCCAACCCCGGCTAGCCAAGCTGCGGGCCGGCCCCGGTGCCGGCACCAAGGACCAGGGGATGCTTTGCCCTGCGGGACATAAAGAGCCCTGCGAGGGTTTGGGTGTTGTGGCAGGAGCTGTACTGAGGCTGTGCTTTGTGCTGACACACAGCTCCACGACGATGGGCTCCTGGTGCATTTGTTCATGCTCGAGTCACCCTCTGTGCAGTTCTTCAGGTGTTGTCCTCATACTGTGCCTGTGTATGCAGCATCTCCCTGTGCTGGTACCAGTTTGCTGTCTGCCACAGAGAGGGGACAGGCAGTGGGAAAGAGAAGCACTAATGCATTTTGATGCTCTGCAGGGCCAGGCACCCCCAGACCCAGCAATGTTAACCATCTGCTGCCTTGCCTGCCTGCAGGCCCCATTGCCTCAGCCTGTCCTGGGCTCCTGGGTTTGCTCCAAGCTTGCACCTTCCTGTAGAGCATCCCTAACTGTACCTTAGGGAAGTCCCTAAGCCTGTGGGGTGGAGCAGAACACCCAGCAGAAGCAGTCTGTCTAATCTAGGATGTGGGAATCATGACCAAGGACTGTCTCAGGTCATCCCATGGTGTGCAGCACCCTGAGTCCATCTGGCAGTGGCGATGGACAGCCAGTCCCTGACATGGAGGGAGATGTGCTCCAGTGCTTTTGTGGGTACCCAGCAGGTCTGGGTGGTTTGTGAGTGTTCACCAGGGCTGTGCTAGTGGGCGATGGGTGTGAGGCTATCAGGAAAGGGGGCATCAGTGCTTATATATGTTCTCTGAGCAGCTCCTGGCTGCAGGGAGCCCCAGGAGCTGCAGCCATGCCTGATCCCAGATGTTCCCCACCAAAGCTGCCCCAACACTCATGTCCCTCCTTTGCTGGCATCTCCCTCCTGAGTTAATGGGAAATCAGTGGTGCCCTCCCATGAATGACTTTGCTCTGATCCCAGATATCCTGCATAAACCCCATGGCCTGGTCACCCCCCTGGAGCTTGGGTGTATTTCAGCCCTGGCATGGAAGCGACTCCTTGGGGGTGGGGGACAGGTGGGGGACAAGGGGACAGATGCTTCCTGGTGTCAGCTG